TTGCTCCAAACTTCCAGGAAAGATGCCTAAGGGAACCTAGAACGCATTCCCACTCGATTTTTGGAGAAAATTGTATTGGAAAAGTAATTATGCGTCAATATTTTGGGGTAAAATCAGTCAAAATATATGAATGTTTTCTTCGAAAAATGATTATATTTGCCAAAATATTCGAAATTATAGCTGTTTCAATATTGAATGATACTCCCCTTCAATCAAGAGGCATTTCTGCGAAGTTTGAAGAAAAGTCATATTTGGGCCAAATTTTATCAAAAATGTAAGGCTTACCCCTTGTAATATTTTCAATTTAGGCCAAAAAGTGAAATTGCTCCAAACTTCCAGGAAAGATGCCTAAGGGACCCTAGAACGCATTCCAATTCGATTTGTGGAGAAATTGCCTTTGAAAAGTAATTATGTGTCAATATTTTGGGGTAAAATCAGTCAAAATATATTAATATTTTCTTCGAAAAATGATAATTTTTGCCAGAATAATCGAAATTATAGCTGTTTCAATATTGAATGATACTCCCCTGCAATCAAGATGCATTTCTGCTAAGTTTGAAGAAAAGTCATATTTGGGCCAAATTTGATCAAAAATGTAAGGCTTACCCCTTGTAATATTTTCAATTTAGGCCAAAAAATGAAATTGCTCCAAACTTCCAGGAAAGATGCCTAAGGGACCCTAGAACGCATTCCAATTCGATTTGTGGAGAAATTGCCTTTGAAAAGTAATTATGTGTCAATATTTTGGGGTAAAATCAGTCAAAATATATTAATATTTTCTTCGAAAAATGATAATTTTTGCCAGAATAATCGAAATTATAGCTGTTTCAATATTGAATGATACTCCCCTGCAATAAAGATGCATTTCTGCGAGGTTTGAAGAAAAGTCATATTTGGGCCAAATTTGATCAAAAATGTAAGGCTTACCCCTTGTAATATTTTCAATTGAGGCCAAAAAATGAAATTGGTCCAAACTTCCAGGAAAGATGCTTAAAGGGACCCTAGAACGCATTCCAATTTGATTTGTGGAGAAATTGCCTTTGAAAAGTAATTATGCGTCAATATTTTGGGGTAAAATCAGTCAACATATATTAATATTTTCTTCGAAAAATGATTATTTTTGCCAGAATATTGGAAATTATAGCTGTTTCAATATTGAATGATACTCCCCTGCAATCAAGAGGCGTTTCTGCGAAGTTTGAAGAAAAGTCATTTTTGGGCCAAATTTGATCAAAAATATAAGGCTTACTACCACTTGTAATATTTTCAATTTTGGCCAAAAAATGAAATTGCTCCAAACTTCCAGGAAAGATGCCCAAGGGACCCTAGAACGCATTCCTACTCGATTTTTGGAGAAAATTGTATTGGAAAAGTAATTATGCGTCAATATTTTGGGGCAAAATCAGTCAAAATTATTAACATTTTCTTCAAAATCTATTATTTTTGCCAGAATCTTCGAAATTATAGCTGTCCCAATAGGAATGATACTCGACTTCAATCAAGAGCCATTTCTGCGAGGTTCGAAGAAAAGTCATTTTTTTGGCCAAATTTGATCAAACAGTTGGATCATTTTTGCCCTATTTTCATGAAAAAAAAAATCAAGGCTAACCCCTTACAATTTAAAAGTCAAATTGTGGCAAACTTTGATACAAATGCAAGATTAACCCCTTATACGAATATTTAGTTGATAAAAAAGTCAGATTTAACCCAATTTGGAGGGGGGAAATGCAAGGTTAACTCCTAACAATTTTTATTTGAAAAAAAGTGAAAATTTATGGAATTTTGATAAATTAAAGGGAATATACATCATTTGCTTTTGCTGCAATTTTCAGAAATGGACGGAATTGGGGGGTTGGGAATATATAGCAAATATAGTTACACTGACTTTTTGAGGTTTTGGGTTCGAAAATGCTATAAAAACCAAGAAAAACAATCATTTTCCTGTAGTCTGGTTCCCTGACTCCATATAAGAAGAAACAGAGCAGTTTACACACATTGGGGAATTGTAAGGTCAGGGAACCAGTCTAGCTGGCTTGTACCCGTTCATAGGTGTGTAATCGATTGCAAACAAGTGCGATGGTCAATTGGGGCCAGTATTTGTAAAAAAAGCCAGTTTTTTCCAACGCTGATCGGCCGATCAGCGTTGGAAATTGATACAAAAATAGCACTTTCTTGAAAATGAGAGTATACCAGGTGCCGTGATTTTACAGGATGCTTTACACTGTCATTCACTAACAGTCCAGCAAGGTATTTCAAAATGATTTGGTAGTTTTATTTTTTGATGTTTGCAAATGTTGTATTTTCCCTTTAAGAAAGGTCAATATCTGACGCGTCTGTTGATACCAAATCTGTTAAGGCACTTTAATAAAGCTGCTTTAAGCTGGTTGCACATTACATATTTTCATCTTACAAATTAATCAAACGATAAACCTGTTTTCCCCCAAAACAGTGAAATCTCGACAAGTCAAACTCTGATACCTCAAAAAAACTCTTAAGTCAAACAAAGAATCCATTGCCTTCAGCATAACAATGATATACAACTCCATTTAACTGAAAACTCTGTTCAAGTCAAACCTTGAACCTGTTCCCTTGAGATTTGGCAAAATTTCACTGTAAATGGCACTTACATGTATTATCTCGTCGTGTGCCCGGCAGAAGGGCATAAGTGTGCATATGCCCTTATGCAATAGCGCGTAATGACCAACATGTTCCCAGCAAAAGGGCATATGCAGAAAACTGCCTCCATTTTAATGAAATTTTAACATTTTCGTCAGAAATTAATACAAGTTGTTCCTAAACTTATGATTCATACGTGTGACAAATTTCAAATTCGTACGATTTATATTACGTGTGGGAGAACATTGGATACATAATGCGCGCGGGGGAACAATGGAACCTTTCAATGCAATTTTCTTGAAAATGATTTTTGCGTCAGAACGCTCATATGCCCTTCTGCCGGGCACCCGATTCTATTATTAAAAAAAAAAACATCTTGAACAGAAATGAGAGGTTTGCAGTTATACCCTGTGAATGATATCTCTTTGTGAGTTGTGTGGCTGTATCAGGCAGTCTCCTAATGACGAACAGAGCATATTCTTCGAAACGTCGAGTAAACCAACTGGTTCTTCTCAGAACCACACAACTCACAAAGAGATATCATTCACATGGTGTTACAGCAAACCTCCCATTCATTGATCATGTCCACCAAGCAAACCTTTAAGTCTAATTGTTATAATTATAAATGTATATAAACAAGCTGCTTTTTAAAACCAGAGAATATAATAAAGTAAACTTACAATTGAAAATGCATGAAACATCTACGCCTTATATGGCCGACTTTTGATGTAAAAAATACGTTCTATTTAGCATGTAGACTGATATCTACATTGCCTTCACCCGCTGCAATACACAATCATAACAACAATTTTGAACTATTATAAGAAAAATTGTTGCCGTTGTCACATTGCCTGGTTTGATATACAGTCGAGTCTCGTTATAACAAACTCGCTCGGATCTAGCCAAATTGTTTGTTATATCAGAATTTTGCATTAAGAAGAAAATCAGTCTCATTCATTGTGCACACAAATGCACAGTCGGGACCAAGGCTTTATGTTTGTTATAACCAAAATTTTGTATTAACAGAGTTTGTACTAACGAAATTCGACTGTATATATATATGTATGGAAACCTGGAACGTTCAATATCGCAAAAATCTTAATATTTGACTAAGTACCACACCAAATTTTTGTTCCTAAAAGTTGAAAGAAAAAGGAAACATTGAATGATCCGGCTTCCTCATAAATTTTATTCAAAATTTGTAAATTGCAACTTCTTGATTAAATATCAATATTATGGTTTTGACTTTAAACTTTAATTCATAAATACCTATTACAGTTTACCCATTCCTATTGGTCGAGAGAATGTCACGTGGCCGGTCATAAACGGATGACTTGATAAAGACATGGCTGGCTGGTCTTAAATACTTTTCCAGAGTCGCATGAAATTTGGACTTCTATGAAATCCGGTACGGTGCCTTTTAACGTTTCATTGGTTAAACGTTCCTCACGTATGCATGCACAATACTACCAGTGAATCATTATTTCATAGTCCGAAATTCACACTACACCAGCCCAGCTCATTTTGCGTGACACCGCGCAGTACGCGCGACGCGCACGCCAATGTCCTTATCAGGTATGGAGTTGTAAAGGGACATTCCAGATTATATTCAGAGGGGTGTTTCATAAAACATGAAGTAAACTGGTTGAACAAAATGGTTGGCAACGTTTAGTTTTTGACTTGTTTGGATTTTTGGACCGAAAAGATTTGGGTTCTTTTGACCGAAAAGGTATTTATGAATAGGAATAAATATATGCTTGGTCGGTATTAAACACTCTGTTTAAGACCGGTTGGAGTCTGCATGCTGATATATCACCCATCCAGACTCCAACCGGTCTTAAACAGAGTGTTTAATACCTCCCAAACACACATTTATCCTGTAATAATGCAAACTATTATTGACATATGAAAGCTGTGTACAAGCGATTGAGTTGAATGCGTTTCCGATATATTATTCAATAAAGTCACTAATCACATTAATAACATAACAACTAGGCTCTTTAGGCCTATTTTACATCCTGGTCAACAAAAATACCTGTGTAAATAGATGTAAAACATAAGTTTAAAACAAAGCTTCATACACAAAAGCAAAGCTGTATCAAAGCTGTATAATATGTTGCGATATTAAACCATTTCAGTGTTTCCCCTGGCTAATGAAATGAGCGAGATAGTAAACAATTCAAATTGATGATTGAAACAAAATTGACGCAGTTTGCAAACTCAAAAGGATGCTGCCCTTACAAAAATGCGAGATGATTCCATTTACACATCCAAATTGTGAGTTCTTGATACATAAAGGTCAAGGAAAACACTCATAAATTACACAAAATGACAATTTTTCAACAAGTATTTCCTTTATTGCAAATCTTCACAGCGATGTGGTGTTATTGGCAGAAAATTGAGCGAGGTGATCACTGAAAGTAGCGAGGTGGGCCGCCTCACGTTTGAATGGGCAGGGAAAACACTGAACTATTTTACATAATAGATTAACATGCAGCAGGCTATATATTTCGCACAGGAGTGCCTTCGCAATTCAATCTTCAAAAGAATCCTATGTCAATCAATATTGTTCCACTGGTCATTCCGGGGTCTTGTTGCATTCACAACCTACAACAAAAAGCAAGACATATGTGAGATGTTCTGGCAAAATGCAACAGCATTAGGTAGAGGTCGAAGTGAGGGTATTAGGACAGAGAATACAATTCTCCTTACAATAGTGTTTGTTGCACTTCAATCGGACATTCCGTTGACAAGATATGACTGTTTAAAGTTCTTGTTCATCGACGTGTCAAAAAAGTAAAATGCTGAGAAAAGGGCCTTTAAAGGGAATGTTTATAATTGGCTTTTGCTGTAGTTTTCAGAAATGAACTATTTGAGGGGTTAGTATAATAGATCAAATATTGTTACACTGACATGTTTGAAGTTTTGTGTTCGAAAATGCTGGAAAAACCAAGAAAAACAAAAATGTTCAAGTAGTCTGGTTCCTTGACTCCACTAAAGATAAAATGGATCAATTTATAAATGCCAGAAAAATTGTAAGGTAAGGGAACCAGTCTAGCTGGCCTGCACCCGTTCATGAACATGTAACCAATAGCAAATAAAATTTGGACTGAAAAAGTGTAAAGTTGGAGCAGTAGTTGAAAAATAGTTAGGTTTTTCCAACGGTGGTCAGCCGACCACCATTGGAAATGTATACAAAAATACAATTTTCTTGAAAATGACTTCACACCAGGTGCCATAATTTTACAGGATGCTTTAGACTGTCATTTACCAACATCATAGTAAGGTATTTCGTAAAAACTTGGTAGTTTTATTTTTCGATGTTTGCAAATGTTGTATATTCCCTTTAAAGATTTGTAGTCGTGAAAATGAAAGACTCCAAGTGTTGTACCTTAAAATCACTTTTACTCCACGAGATTTATACTATTTCTTTAAAATATGTGTAGTAGGCGTATCAAAGATTACAAATATCAATAAATTTGAAAATCTTAAAAAAAAAATCACCCACATTTAGTTTTATTTTTGCATTTTTCCTCCACTGAGGCCTGTGCCCAGTTCCATCCTCATCAAATCAATGAACGAGTGTTTTCTTGTCTTTTTTTTTCATGATGAGTGGAGCTACACTGGTGTTTCTAGAAATGACATTAATTTGGAATAACTTCTACTTTTTCTTCATACATGTATAAAGTATAATTTTAACCATAATTATAATATTCGGGACATTCTTGATGGGTACTTCTATTTATAACTCCTTTTACCAATTCATGATAAAAGGTTTTATACTCGGCCTGGAAGGGGATATTTGATCTGAGTCTGTTGCATATGATGATTGATGGGTGGGTCATTGGAGACAGCATGTCTGTTATTGGGGGGCCTGACCAGGCATCCAGGGGGCACAGGAATGCCATCACATCATCATCATCATCAATCTATCTTATAGCCAATCTTGGTATGTGGGGCCTCTGGTCACTTAAGCATACTTGAGGCAAGCACCTGGTCACTTGGTAGCGCTCTCAATTTTCCCGAGGCTACGTTTTCCTGACTGAATGTTACATCAGTAGGAAGCTAATTTTTATTATTCAAGTTAAATTTTTCATTAATGGCCATATATCTCATTTTCATACATGTATTTCATTTATTGCCAAGTATATCGTGTATGCCGCTGTGGCTTTGGGCCTCTGGTGTTGCCCACTTCTGGTCGGGCCTGGTGTTGCCCACGTGTTATGTGTTTGATAACATCATGTCCGTTCTCACATGTGAACTCCATTTTGTAATGTCTGTAAAATATTCGTTTTTAATGTATGCCGCTGTGGCTTTGGGCCTCTGGTGTTGCCCACTTCTGGTTGGGCCTAGTGTTGCCCACGTGTTATGTGTTTGATAACATTATGTCCGTTCTCACATGTGAACTCCATTTTGTAATGTCTGTAAAATGTTCGTTTTTAATGTATGCCGCTGTGGCTTTGGGCCGTTGGTGTTGCCCTTTCTGGTCGGGCCTGGTGTTGCCCATTATTTTTACAAAACAATTACAATTGACAATTCAACCGGTTTGCCCTATCACTGGTATCCGGAATAAAACACTCCTCTGTGGCTGTGGCATAAACACAATGATTTGTTTCCCTTGTCCTTCATTTCAAGTCTGAGTATAATGACGGTATAGCGAACCGTTCATGACAGCATTTTTTTTTGGTCTAGTTTTGTGTGTGCTTAATGTGTTGCTTGAAAAAACCTGTCCGGAGTTAACGTATTCTGTGTTAATATATAAATCGTTTTTATCATTTGTGATGCGATCAATCTACATGAGTCGTTTGTCGACCCTGGTCAATCTTTATTTTTTTACAGATTTGAAAAAAGCACAATCTCAGCTTAAGTACTGCGAAAACCACATGCTGATACCATCTTTAGTTCAAAAATTATGGAAGTCGGAACATCAAGAGATGTGATGAAGTGATGTGATGAAGTGGCCCTATTTTGGCCTGTATCTCCAAATAAATATTCCCGACAAACGACTCATTTAGCTTGATCTCATCACATTTGGTGTTCGCAAATCAAATCTTACCATTTCAGTACATATTGTATTCCATTCGGAGGTCGTGGGCCATCTGTGAAGAGAAACATTCAGTCATTGTTATATGACTTGACTATTTCAAATTACTTATGATCACTGATTAGGTCAAAGGTCAAGGAAAAACTACAAAAGTTATGGATGTGTTACATGTGTTTTTGTTATGTGCTGTTTACGTTTAAAGTTGTGTCCAATTTGACAGAAATCCATACCTCAGATTTACAAGTTTAGTGTTCTATTCCCATCTAAGAATTTACTTCACACAGAAATTGCGATAGAAAAAACAAGCACCTCCAAATACAGGGCGAGTAAAAAAAAAGCAAAACCCAAATGTCGGGACCATTGTTTTAGTGAAGTTCTGCATGTAGCACTTTCAAAATCTAGGATATAAAAGCCCCATTCATGAGCTTTCTTTTAGTACAAGAATCATTCAAATCACTCATGTACTTTTCAAGTTACGGTATTTTAAACGCAACCACTGTTTTCCAGTGTTCAGTGTTCTTTCAGCAAAACGAAAACAAATCACATAGGGATGTGTGTGAATTGTTTTTGTTTTGCTGATAGAACGCGCACCTTTTTTGTGATCCGTGGACAGAACTTCAAAACGGTGGTTGTGTTTAAAATTCCTTAACTTGAAAAGTACATGAGTGATTTGAATGATTCGTGGACTAAAAGGAAGCTTATGAATTGGGCTTTCATATCCTAGATTTTGAAAGTGCTACATGCAGAACTTCACTATAACAACAGTCCCGACATTTGGATTTCGCTTTTTTTTACTCACCCTGTACAACCAACATTCTTTTGGTTTCAAAACGGGTAAATATGGGCGTATATGAATTGTTAAAAAAAAAATTAGAAAATCAGATGAAATGATCTTTCTTGAGATGAAGAAAAACATTTGCAAAGAAGCAAAAGAAAAAGGAAAAATTGAAGGACAGACCTGTTCCTCGTCGCCGGTAGCAACATAGGGTCGAGTAAAACCCGGATGTCGTGAATTGGGAGAAAGGTAACGACCTTCACCCAACTGGACACAAAATACAAACAATTAATTTTTAAAAATACGATTAAAAGAACTTTCATTTTATTTACTGCAACACAGTACCTTGTTTGGATTCACGAAAGTCAATTGATAAAGCTAGATCTGGGGCTGATTTCACGAAACTAATCTTATCTTGCGAATTTTCTTAGAACTTACAACGAGTCCCTGCTCTTAGATCGTTCTTAGCTTAGACGCGATCTAAGACCAATTTCACAAAACCCATCTTCAGCAAAACTTATCGAAAACTACTAATCTGATGGCTGTTTCATATTTGTTTTTCCTGCTTGATGAAACAGTCGTTGAAAACGAACACGCAAAACGTGAGATGAAATGGAGCAATTTATAGACTTTGAGGAATTGTAAGGTCAGAGAATCAGTCATCAGGTGTGTAATCAAAGGCAACGGAAATGCGGAATAACTAATATGAAAGACTAGGGGCAGTTTTTGATAAAAAGCCAGTTTTCTCCAACGAAAAAATACAGTTTTTCTTGCAAATGTCAGCACACCAGGAGCCACAACTTTACAGGATGCTTTAGACTGTCATTCCCTAACAATCCAGTAAGGTATTTCGTGATAATTTGATCATTTTGTTTTTTGATGTTTACAAATGTTGTATCTTCCCTTTAAGCTTGTCAACTGGGGCCAATTTCACGGCGCTGCTAAGCACAAAAATTTGCTTAGCACAAAAAAGTCTGGCTTATAAAAGCAGGTTACCAGCCAAAATTCCACGTGATGTATATTGCTTGTGATTAGTATTCAGCTGCTGTTTGCTTAGCATGAAAATCACATGGAGTTTTGGCTGATAACCTGCTCTCATAAGCCAGACTTTTTTTGTGCTAAGCAAATTTCTGTGCTTAGCAGCGCGGTGGAATTGGCCCCTGCTTACCGCTCTGGGAAGGACGTTGGCACGGTACAGGTACCCAGGCCATGTTGGATACTCATGCTCGGCCTCATACATACGAATCTTTTGTCTTCTGGAGGAAGCAGCTGACAAGCAGCAGCAACACAGCAAACACATCATGACGATAAACATCACAAGCATTGCACTCACTGCTATCAAGACAATCGCTAGGGTTGATAAGCCTTGTGTAGGCTCAGATGTTGTCATCTTAGGCTCGTCAGTGGCTGCACAAGAATAATAGTCAGGTGAATGCAACTGTATAAGGATATCCTAAACTCACAATCACAGAACTATATACACCTGTTTAAACTGTTACCGAAATATTTATCTACCAACAGCGCTCTGTTTTGTCATCAAAGTATCTGCAGCCGATTTCAGGAAAAACTGCGTAGCTTGCGCCATGCGTTAGATTTACGCAACAAATTTGTTGCACAGCTGCGCAATAAACTTAAGATCGATTTCACAAAACTTGGCGTAGCTGCGAAACGTTTCAAATAATCTAAACATCTTGTACGAGGATAAAACAGACTTTACGACGGCTGTTTATTGTGTGTGAATTTGTTTGTTCACGAAACAGTCGTTGAATCACCTCAGCCCGCCATTTTGAAAAGTATTTTGTCTGACTTTCTTCGGAATCGTGAGGCAACTCTGAGTGTCTTGTATCTATTAAATCACGATTTGCTGGTAAAATAGGTCATTTTCAGTCGCTACGCCACAACTTACGCCACCAAAAATGATTGCGAAAGTTACGCCATAACTTATTGCGCAAGTCGCGTAGTTACGCACTATGAGACTTTCGTGCAATGTGATTTATGTGAAATGTTGCGCAGTGTGAAATGTTGCCCAGCTTACGCAATAAATGGTGGCGCAAGGCGGAGTTGCGCCATTGCATAAAGATTCATGAAATTGGCTGCAAGTAACATAAATGTGTATCAAGTTATAATCTCACTTGGCAGTGTCTGCTGCTCACACCTGTCTCCAGTGTACCCTTCCAAACACCTACAATGAGAATTCATTTTGGCAAAAACAATGAGAATTCATTTTGGCAAAAACAATAAGAATTCATTTTGGCAAAAAACAATGAGAATTCATTTTGGCAAAAACAACAAGAATTCCTTTTGGCAAAAAACAATGAGAATTCATTTTGGCAAACGCAATGAGAATTCATTTTGGCAAAATCAACGAGAATTCATTTTGGCAAAAAACAACGAGAATTCATTTTGGCAAAAACATTGAGAATTCATTTTGGCAAAAACAATGAGAATTTATTTTGGCAAAAAACAATGAGAATTCATTTTGGCAAAAACAAAGAGAATTCATTTTGGCAAAAAAACAATGAGAATTCATTTTGGCAAAAACAATGAGAATTCTTTTTGGCAAAAAACAACAAGAATTCATTTTGGCAGAAACAATGAGAATTCATTTTGGCAAAAACAATGAGAATTCATTTTGGCAAAACAATGAGAATTCATTTTGGCAAAAACAATGAGAATTTATTTTGGCAAAAACAATGAGAATTCATTTAGGCAAAAACAATGAGAATTCATTTAGGCAAAAACAATGAGAATTTATTTACGCAAAGAAGGGCAAAATTGCCATCCAATCATCACTGGTCAATCATTGTGACTGGCTGAATCGCAAGTCTGTCGACATTTCAATTTGATGCCGTTTTGGGGGCCCTGTATCGCCAAATTATCTCAAGGAATTCTTACCGGCATGTGCTTTGGTAGTTCATTTGACTGGCTTGGCATGTCGCTCCATTCAGACAATAACCCTCGTCACAGACAACTGTTGGATTGAATGAGATCGACTTATGTCAGTGATACAGTTTAAGTCCTCTATAAATACATATTTTAGTGGTCTATAAATGGGCAAATCTTGTCCTAACCAACGTTTTCGAAATTAGTGGCGTCAATTATAGACCTTGGTATGCTTTACCGCATCATTTCTTTTCAATTTGTAACAGCAAAGGTGATCTCACAATTGGGGAGTCAGGTTGGCGTTAGCGGTACTTTCCTCGCCTTCCACCGCGATGACCCGGGTTCGAATCCCGCCTGGGTGAGCCAACACGTGGATTGGCTTTTTAGTCCCTGCCTGATTTCGTGGGTTTTCCCCCAGAATATTCCTCTGGGCTTTTCCTCCCACCTCTAAAACTGTAATTTCTTCTCATTGTCTTCTCTCTACAGGTTTCTTCAGGCTTGCGAACTACAGTGCCTAGGGCGCTTTTGAGGAATTCTTGGTTTCATTACCAGAAATAAAAATGATAATACAACAAAAGAGTGGGAGCTTCCGCATCTTGAAACCGTTTACAATGGTCCAAAAGTATGATTTTTACTTACTCTCGTGCGCTTTTATGGAACTCGGAGTGACTTTGTAAATCGATCCAGCAAGAAGATCGCCGACGGTGATGGAGTCGTTCAAGGTTTGCTCAAACATCTCAATTGACGTGTTGGTTATGTTATCGAAAGTACCGAGCATGGTAAAACCGATACTGCCCGAGAAGAAGTTGAAGACTCGGATACGAAAGAATCGATGAAGTCGGCTGAAAATCACCGTCAGCTGAAACATAACCAGGATTTCAAAAATGTTTCGTAACTCTTATATGTTTGTCTTCAATCTTTTAACAATGGGTTTTTATGCAAGTCAAGTAGTAGTTTCAAAAATGAGCTTTTTAGGTGCAGTATTTGTTTAAACAGATATTTCTCTTGAAGGTATTTTTTTCTGGAATGTTTTGATCTGAGATGTTAAAAGGTCCATGCAATGTTATTTATTTAATGTAATCCTTTAAAATGCACCTTTGGGCCACAGTTAAGATTAAACCTTATTTTCAAGTTTCGTTTTGCCTTTTTCTAGGTGTTTTGGTACCTTTTTGGTTTTTATGTTAAATGCAAATTGCCATATTCATGAGCAAAACTGTGATGTCATTCTGGGCAGAAATCTCAATGTTACAGCTATTTCAGCACACAAATTTGCTAGAATTTTTGAAAGTTGCTTCCATAAATGTTCTTTTCTTTGGTTATTCGTTGTTGTGTCGGTACATGACAGTAAGCCAATGAGCAACCCTTTCTCACAAATGTTTTCAATGAACACATTTTGGGTTCACAATTTCAACAGAAAACCCCTCAACTGAACAGTGTCTTCCTGAAATGACATCACAGCAACAGCACCTCAGTTGTCCGGAAAAGCATGGAAAATGTGAAATGTTTAAAGAAGTGCACTTTTCAATAAAAAATTAACCGAAAAAGGGATATCAAATGGTTTTCATACATTTAAAGAGGAGTAGAAAGTTGCACAAAATGTGTTTCTCAGAAAATTCATTTCCTGGACCCTTTATCCCTGAATGTAAAGCCGGATCCAGAACACAATTTGGGGTGCGGGGCCAAAAACCACTTTGTTTCTGAAAGAGGGGGTCCAAATATTTTGTCTCTGCCCCAAATTTAAAGCCAGAGGCCATCATTTGCAGCTATCCAAAAAGTAACTGGCGCGCGTGGTTGCTATAATTCGTCGGATCAGTGCGCGACATCGCGTAGCAGCAATCGGCTCAGTGAAAACGTGTCTCGGACGCTGAATTCAGGCCCAATTCAAAACATGATTCAGCAACTTTTGATTTGAAATCAAGATCCTAGAATGTTGTTTTTCTCGAAATATACAGCTGAAGCTGAGCTGAAACTTCATCAGGTTAGTTGTTCAGCACCCTTCTTTAGATTTTGAGCACTTTTGTTGCTTCAAATGAACAAAATGCACACATTACAAATGATGGACTATACCTTTAATATTACAAAAGCAAGGGGAGTCAGTTTTAATGTATTGCTTCTGTGGGTGGTGTACGCAATGGCTGCCTTTTATGCGCCGTTGCCCGAATGAACAAACTTGAACTTACGATTCTTTCTAGATCGGCTTGCATGACATGATATTCGTCTGTTGTGGGATCCAGAAGAGCGTCATTAAAGGTTGCTGGCAGCACCAAGTTGGGATACACAAACTCTACGATGATGATCGTGGTTCTTATCTCGATGGAGCCTAGAGGAGAAAGCAAGGGCGTCAATCACTTCTGAAAAGGGGTACATACCTATGTTCCCCAATACCAATGTTCCCCGAAATCCTTACCCTAACCCTAATCCTAAGGATTTCGGGGACATTGAGTAGACCCCCAGGGGAGGGGGACTTCACGCAAAGCGTAAAGCCTTTACGGAGTGGGGTTCACTTAAGGGCCCACTTAAGGGCCCCGAAAAAAAATATTCTAGATGGGGCCCACTTAAGGGCCCCGAAAAAAAAATATTCTATTTGACCAATTTGACCACTTTAACCTTGTTTTTCTGTTAGCAAAAGAAACTCATTTAAACATCATTTAGCGAGTTGGAGTCATTGAATCGGCTACTCTGAGCTAAAGGCATGGGGTTTGGGCCCGCTGAAAGGCCCTGAAAAAATTTGGATTCTATGTGCCGTGAAGTGCGGTCCGAGGAAATTTCTGACAACTTTAACCAATATTTTCTTAGCAAAAAATAAATTGTAGGTTCATAATTGTAGGCCCTGTAAATGAGACACACACGCTCAAAACTTTTGTCCCCTATTTCCTATTTTTCAAAAAGTCCCCCCCCCCCCGATTGATGCCCATGGGAGAAAGGGCATCAACCATTTCAAACTGAAAGTATCGGAAAACAAGGCTGTGGTAAGTCAAGCTATACCATTTCCCCCAAGTACTGCTATTCGAGTACGAGTACTTCGATGATCGAGTACAATTTCGACATGTAGAGTAACAGCACTTTGCTGCCCGAGTGTGAGTACCATCATTTCGAGTACGTGTACTTTGACATTCGAGTAAGAGTAAGTATACGAGGACGAGTACTCAAAAAATAGTACTCGAGTAGTACTCGAGTATGGGTACCAAGTACGAGTACTACAACACTGGTACCAATGCTTGAGCATGTACAGAACCTTACCGAGACAGGTCATGGTGCCCGGTGCACGGTAGAATTCCAATGAGTACGAGTACGAGTACTCCAAAAAAGTACTCGAGAAGTACTCGAGTACGAGTACTGAGTACTACAACACTAGTACCAATGCTTGAGCATGTACAGAACCTTACCGAGACAGGTCGTGGTGCCCGGTGCACGGTAGAACCCCAATGAGTACGAGTACGAGTACTCCAAAAAAGTACTCGAGTACGAGTACTGAGTACTACAACACTAGTACCAATGCTTGAGCATGTACAGAACCTTACCGAGACAGGTCGTGGTGCCCGGTGCATGGTAGAACCCCAATGAGTACGAGTACGAGTACTCCAAAAAAGTACTCAAGAAGTACACGAGTACTGAGTACTACAACACTGGTACCAATGCTTGAGTATGTACAGAACCTTACCGAGACAGGTCGTGGTGCCCGGTGCACGGTAGAACCCCAATTAGTACGAGTACGAGTACTCCAAAAAAGTACTCGAGAAGTACTCAAGTACGAGTACCGAGTACTACATCACTGGGACCAATGCTTGAGCATGTATAGAACCTTACCGAGACAGGTCGTGGTGCCCGGTGCACGGTAGAACCCAAATGGGCACTCACACTTGAAGATCCCCGAGTAGTACTCGAGTACGGGTACCAAGTACGAGTACTACAACACTGGTACCAATGCTTGAGCATGTACAGAACCTTACCCAGACAGGTCATGGTGCCCGGTGCACGGTAGAACCCAAATGGGCACTCACACTTGAAGATCCCCGAGTAGTACTCGAGTACGGGTACCAAGTACGAGTACTACAACACTGGTACCAATGCTTGAGCATGTACAGTGCCTTACCGAGACAGGTCGTGGTGCCCGGTGCACGGTAGAACCCAAATGGGCACTCACACTTGAAGATCCCCGAGTAGTACTCGAGTACGGGTACCAAGTACGAGTACTACAACACTGGTACCAATGCTTGAGCATGTACAGTGCCTTACCGAGACAGGTCGTGGTGCCCGGTGCACGGTAGAACCCAAATGGGCACTCGCATTTGAAGATCCCCGTGATGAAAATACAGGTCAGATCCCCGGGGCAAGCTTGGGTATCATTAACGTCACATTGATCTGCAAATTCACACACAAAAATGTCAGCCAAAAAACACGAAAATGTCTCTCCGGTGGGACTCGAACCTACGACCTTCTGCAGCAGGGGCAGAATGACCTCTCGACTAGCCCCATAAATGTGGCCAATTTACTGGACTACTGCCGTAAATAAAAGCCAAACTTGGAACATGTACCCGAAAATGAACTTTGTCAATTTTGTATTTTCACATTTAGACTTTGTTTGTAGTTTATTTACGCTTTAGAAGCACACTCACCCTCTTTAAAGCGATAGAAAATTAGTACCCCCCTTTTTCAGACGTCTAATTTTTGTGTAATTTCGTGTTGGAATTTAGATACGCTAACGTGTGCAAATGAATCTGGAAATTACACGAAAAATAGACGTCTGAAAAAGGGGGGACTAATTTTCCATCGCTTTAAAAAGTGTGAGTGTGCTTCTAAAGCCTAATTAAACTACAAACAAAGTTTAAATGTGAAAATAAAAACTTGACAAAGTTCTACATTTTCAGGTACATATCATGTTCCAAGTGTGGCGTTTATTTACGGCGGTAGTCCAGTACATTGGCCGCATTTATGGGGCTAAGTCTCATCAACCACAGATCTCCTTTACACCTGACACTTGTATCATTTACCTGCGGTCACTACAATGGCGAAGGTGCAGGTATCCGTGAGGCCGGCTGCATCCTGAGCCGTGTACACCACACTGTACGCACCAACGCCCAATGACGTAGCATTCTCCATGTTGGAGCTGAGGCTTTCTACTGCGACATTGTCGGTAGCCGTTGGCAGATTCCAGCTGACTAGGGCTAAGGCTGAGGCTGTGGCTACGGGATAAGTGGCTCCTGGTGGGCAGTTGGTGATAACAGGTGCTTCATTGTCTGGGGGAAAAAAATTACAATTAGAAAAATAATGCAAGTACAACGTTAACTTGCGCGATCCCCCTGGCATCCTGGCAGTTTGTATACATGTACAGGCAGTTAGTGAGGACAATTTTCAGTGAAAACCTTGATTGTCCACCCGGCAGGTACCAGTTCTCAGTTGAATGGGGAGTTTGGGTTGAATGGAGATTTTCGGTGAGACACAGGAATAACATATGTTAGAGTCATTAGTATCTCTCTGGAGACCTCGTAAATATCCATATTGGAAAGGATTTTTATGGCGTCGGCCTTCTCGCCACAGACCACCTTTCATTAGTTTGGTTGAGATGGATGACTGAACTGTACACTGAAATGGAACTCAAACACACCCCCAGACACGTTTGTTTATGGTGTAAATCGAGGATTTGCTTTTGTTCCTCTTCCCTTTTCCTTTTGTTTGTACTATAACTTTTTCGCAACAGCTCTCATTGGTTTTGTACATGTTTTCTAATCGAGGTCGTCCTCGATTTGGTTGTCCTCGATTCACAGATGATGTTGCACGTGTGTGCCCTCGATTTACACCATTAACAAACGCACGCAGACACGCACCCACGGACACACAGAAGGAATACGTGATCGCAATATCCCCCTGTCTGGCTTGAAAGCCAAGGGGTTAAAAAATGAGCAGTTTACTCACCAACAACACTGACATTGAAGGAGCAAGTGGCCTGGTTCCCGCCCTGATCACTAGCTGTGTAGACAACTACAGTAGTACCGATCGGAAAATTGAAGCCCATGGCAGGGCTGGATGTAACGGTCGGTGTACCCTGATCATCCGATGCCGTAGGAGATTGCCAGGTTGCCGCGGCAGTCACCAAGCCCTGATCGGTGGAAGTCAGGATACCAGACGGGCAGCTGATGGTTGGTGGGATGGTGTCTGTGGGATCTGCATTGGAGCAAACAACGATCAATTCTATCAAACTCCATTTTCAAACTTCGTCTATTATGCATCCATTTTTCAATGAACGCCTCTTCAACTTAAAATATCGTGGTTTTACTAGAAAGACAAGGTTATCTCTATAAAATCAGTCCATCCACGAGTTTCCTTGTTTCAAAACGAACATCCATATCACTTATATCCACTCTCCTTTACAAAGAAGAACCATATTTAGAAAAAAAGCAACTTTTTATTTCAAATTAGGTTTTGCCCTTCACCGACGTATAAACACTGTATACTCAGTGTGTTACCTCCCTAGTGAAAGTTGGAAAAAATCACTCGGGTGGGACTCGAACCCACGACCTCCTGCTTTCTAGTGCAGACGTCTTACCACTCGACCACCGAGCTAACGGGATCGGTTGGCTGGTTTGAATCTGATGTACATAGCAGCGGGTACTGCATAAACTATGCATAAGATGGAATTTTGCATCGGGTGATGTAAATCAAATTAGGTTTTTGCCCTTCACCGACGTATAAACACTGTATACTCAGTGTGTTGAAAGCAGGAGGTCGTGGGTTCGAGTCCCACCCGAGTGATTTTTTCCAACTTTCACTCAGGAGGTAACACTCAGTATATAGTGCTTATACATCGGTGAAGGGCAAAAACCTAATTTGGTTTACATCACCCGATGCAAAATTCCATATTATGAACTTTATATTTTTAAAATCATCTTTTCTTTGGTTCCAAGAAGTGAATTCATGCCTATTGACTCTCCTGGGACGATTCCAGTCTCCTGGTGACGGGCAGAGCATACTGTCCAAAACCGTAAACCTTTGTCTTATTATTGACTCTCGGTTAACCCTGCATTAACCCTAACCACCCAACTCCATCAAAATCCATCCCCCATTTTGGTGGATTTGGGGGACTTGGTCCAGAAGGCCTGGCGTGACTCAATATTGATGGAGTATGATGGACTTGGGCCTAATGGCCTGAAGCAGTGCTAGGGGTATCTGATTGATTCTACCTCGCTTCCAGTATTGCTATTGTGATAAAAGCCATGTGTAGCAAGTCCATGAATGTCAACCAGTGCGTCAGTGGTGGATTCCATTATGTCATGTACAGTTTTGTATTGGACGCACGGTGATTGATAGATTTTGATGGACTTGGTCCAGTTCCTAGTAAAAGACGCTAGGGAGTTAGGGTTAAGTAGCCACATCACTCACCTCTCACGCTGACTGTGAAGGTGCAGACTGCAGTATTGCCGAAGGGATCCACGGCCGTGTACGTGACGGGAGTGTCGCCGATGGAGAACCTGGACCCAGGATCAATCGATGAGCTCAAGGTCAAGTTACCTGAGTTATCGGAAGCGTTAGGAGTCGTCCAGGAAACCTGCAGCTGCGTCTGTCCGTCAGAAACAAACTGGATGATATCTGAAGGGCAGCTGTCTATTACGGGATCTTCCTCATCAGCTATGGATAAAACGGAACGGAAGTTAATGGACTTTGCACAGGAAGATGATGATGTTTGACCTAAAGCTTCAGTGTGCATAACATACCGCGTGCGCGTGACAGGAGCGCGTCTTGCGTGCGTCCAGTCAACTGTTCTTCATAATCAGAGTGCATGCATAAACTGGTAAAAATAAGAACCACTCTTAAGTCTGTTTAAAGATAGAGTACATCATTTGTCATTTGTGCAGTTTTTTTTGTTTGACAAAGGGACAAAAGTGCTCAAAATCTAAAGAAGGGTGCTTAACAACTAACCTGATGAATTTCAGCTGCTTATTCCCAGAAAAACAATATTCTAGAATCTCAATTTCAAATCAACTGTTTCTGAGTCACGTTTTGAATTGCGCCCAAAATCAGCGTCCGGGCACGTTCTTATTCAGTCGATTGCAGCTTCACGATGTCACACGCGAATAATAACAACCGCGCACACGTCAGCATCGTGTCAACGCTTGTGAGCACTCATTCACGGCTTTGCCAAATTAAAAAACGAAGTACTAACAGAAATGTCTAAATATGCTTCTTCTAGCTTTTAGACACATTGTTGGAAAGGGCCTTCTTTTATTTTTTTCTTCAAAATGACAGCATGCCAGAAAGAATAATTTCACAGGGAGTTTAGTGCCATTACCATCTTTAAACCAAGTATGCTTTACAACAATATTTTTGTCAGTTTCTTTTTGGATAGCCGCAAAGATGTACTCTGCCTTTAAGTATTGATGCGTAGGTTCATTTATTTTTTTTTTTGGGGGGGGAGTGTCTCTTCACCTGTGACAATGACACGGAAGGTACAGCTGCCAACGTTCCCGCTGTTGTCGTTGGCGAAACAGCTGACTTCGGTTGGACCAATAGGGAAGAAGCTTCCAGCCTGGCACCGCACGTCAGTGATGACGTCGACGTTATCGGTGGCCGGTACGCTAGGAATGGTGACGAAAGCCCCAGCTGCGCTGACGTCAGTGTGGTGGTAGATGTCACTAGGGCAGGACAGGACTGGGCTCTCACGATCTGACGAAAATGTGATAAATAAAAAAAACGATCATGACCATAGTCGATCCCAATTCAGGTTACTGAAATACAAGGTGATCAATGGATTGCACGCGTTGCCTTTTTTCGAGGTCGATCCCTACATATTGTGTGGTCTGTTTAGCGACCTCAAATGACCCCCTCGGATGAAAGTTGAAAAATGTTCTCTGATGATCCTACACGACCTTTGACCTCAGTAATCCGATGAAGAATTGTGTCTTCCCGCCCAAGGGTCACTGCATCCAAGTTACATCAAAATCAATGCAAGCTTGTTAGAAGTTAGGCAAAAAAAAAAAGTCTCCGGTTTCTGGTATGCGTGCACGTCGCCATGATAGCCATGCGCATCGGCAAAATGAAAAATATTTTCAACGTAAGATGATGTCTCAAAACTGCCAAACTCACTGGTTTGACTGGAATCCTGCTGCTGCACAAATTTAACGTGTTTTTAGATGGGGTTACAATTGAGTATAAGCTTCATGGGGCAAGCTCCATACCGGAAACCGCAGACTTTTTTTTTTGCCTTATACATTTTGGTGCATTTCAAGTGTTGGGGGAAAATAAGCTTGTAATGCTTATTTTTATTACGTACATCGTAAGTTTGTACATTTTTAGTGGCCTGTAATAGAATTTCTATGCAACTTACAAGCCCACAAGGTATTAGCCCGAAAGTCGCCAGGACTGACCGCGAACATCTAAAAATTATCGATGTTGTAAAAATTTTGGCCATGTTTGTTTACAGCTTTTTGACACTGTTTTTGGTTCAGCGTTTTTTGTGCGCATGTGTAAACATGTTTTTGGTTATCAAGTTGACGTCACAAACATGTTTCTGGTCACGGTCACGAAAAACACGCCCCAGTGCACTATAGTGATGGCTTAATTGTTTTAAACTCTACCTATCAGGTGTAAATGCTTCTAGCAGCTTTCCTAGTTAGGGCCTGTAAACTCGGAAAGAATACAGTACTTCTAGAGGTACACTTTATCTTGTTAATACCTTTGTCAACAAACTGGCCCCTGTTATCAGATACTGCTGCTAATCCCCTGCACTTGTCAATATCAGCTGTGTGACAGCACATGTGGCTTTATTATACTAAGTGTTAGGGATTATTAAGCCACTGTTTGGGACGAAGGATTAAGATAGATTAGAGGGCTGGCCAGTTTTCAGTTAGATTGACTGTTTTCTCTCAAAAGTTTCTAGTGGAGGTTACTCGCAATGCACAGATACGCATTTTAATGAACCATGAATTTGCGACTGTACCTTGAATTGAGACAGGGAACGTGCACGTCCCTGTCAGCCCAACGGCATCTGTGGCCTCATAGGTGACGACACTCGCACCGAGTGAGAAGGTAGCCCCAGGATCGGATGTAGAGGTAACCGTGACAACACCTACATTGTCTCCATGTACCGGGATATCCCAGAATGCCTGGCCGAGGTCGCTACCAGGGAGGGTGGTGTTCTGAATGCCTTGGATCGGGCAACCATCGAACGTGGGTGCCTCGTTATCTGAAATTACAACCAACATGAGTGGTGTCATTATTCTGTTCTTCATGTTTGAAGAGATAAGACAACTGAGTTCAGGTTGCCTAAGAAATCCTTGCAAAAGTTGCAAATATGTTATTTGTAACATGTTGCAAACATGTTATTTGTATTAACATGTTATTTGTAACTGGGAAGTGTGGCCTAGTGGTTAGGGTTTGTGACTCATGATCAGAGGGTCAGGCGTTCAAATCTAGCTGCTGGGTCATATGTTGTGTCCTTTGGCAAGCCACTTCACCCCACTTGCCTCTCTCCACCCAGTGGAGGGTGGCCTAGTGGTTGGGGTTCGTGACCCATGATGAGAGGGTCAGGGGTTCGAGTCTAGCTGCTCGTCATATGTTGTGTCCTTGGGCAAGCCACTTCACCCTCACTTGCCTCTCTCCACCCAGGAGTATAAATGGGCACCGGCATTAGCTGGGGAGTAACCTACAATGGACTGGCATCCCATCCAGGGGAAATAAAAATATTCTCAGTCGTTCATGCTACTGCAACCGGAGATAAATGCCGGCCTGATGGGCCACATTGGCTCATGACAGCCTTTACTTTACAATGTACTTACTATTTATAACTGGAATATGACACCAGAAAGAGAAAAGATTTTTGTACAAATGCAATAAGCTCTGTAAAGTTGAATGTAATCCAAGAAATTTTCCGTTTTTTCCTGACTAGCTGCCTTCATCAAACCTATAACGAGACTTGGTTTTCCTTCTTGAGCTGAACCCAAAAGTTTCAGTAAAAAATTATTTATACTCGGTGACTCATTCAGTCGGGGAGTCAGTCAGCACGTCAGTCAGTCGGGGAGTCAGTCAGTCAGTCAGAGACTCACAGGACAGCACGCTGGTCATACGGTTTCAGGAAAAACTAGCAAACCAGTTAATTTTGAGGGAGAAATTGCAACTTCTAACTCACCATAAACGGTCACCACAAAGCTGCAGCTTGCCATGTTGCCGCTGGAATCCACGGCAACATAGCTGACGTTCGTGTCACCAAGATTGAAGACACTGCCTGGTTGGTGTGTCAGGGTGACGGTAATGACACCTGCGTTGTCGGTCACGACTGGAGGCTGCCAGCTGACCGCGGTGGAGGTATCTAGACCAGGATCGGTAGGGAACGGTGGTAGGTCCTCTGGGCAGCCAGTCAGTACAGGTGGGGACATGTCTGATTTGGTAAGAACATGTTATTTTTCTTGTTACATAAAATTCTTCATTTTGTTGTTGCTCTACCATTATTCTTCAATTTGTATCTCTATTCTCTTTGGAACAACATGAGCTCTTCAGATCTCAGAAGCTATTTAGCTCTGCATTAACCACTGCACGCCGGGATTATTTTTGCCGAAAATTTCAATATTCGCAAACGGCACAATTTTTCAGCCAACTTCTGATATACAGCCAAACGCCACAAATACTGATTCGCAAGAGTCATTTCAACAGTATTTGTACGATATTTCTTGCCGAAACCTTATAATGTTTCAATACTCTGGGGTGTGCACTGGAGTGTAAATTGTACAATAGCTGTGCACAACGGCCAATTCAAGATCAACACACGGTCCGCCTCCACGGACTTCACAGCGTTTGATTATGGTGTAAATCGAGGACACACACGTGCAACATCATCGATGAATCGAGGACAGGAACAAAATGGAGGACTCCTCGGTTGGAAAACGTGTACAACACCAATGAAAGCTGGGAAGAGGAACAATAGAAAATCCTCGATTTACACCATAAACAAACGTGCTGGACTGTATGTGTGTGTACAAAAGGCACAAGGGATTAGCGTGTTTAGACATCACCCGGAGGCGAGTCGAGACAATCCTGACATTTAAGCCCGTCAGCCGTGCCTGTGTATAAAGACAGCCAGTGCCTGTTATGACGTCCTCCGACGCAAACTGGTTAAAGACATTGAACAGCTTCTCTTCGCACAATTTGGTTTCATTTCATGAACCGTCATTATTTTAGTAATAGCCCTTCATCTTCTGGATTTGTATCTTCCTTTCTCTCTTACCAATGACATTGATAGTAAACTGACACGTGGCCGTGTTTCCCCTTGCATCAATGGCCGTGTAGATGACCAGCTGGCTGCCGTACGTAAAGACACTCCCCGGTAAATGGGTGACCCTGGAATCAACTACGCCCACGTTATCCGTCATATTAGGCTCCGCCCATGTCACCCCAATGGAACCATTGATGAAGTCCTCTGGTGGCTCGTTAACTTCGATATCCGATGGACAGTCAAACAGAACTGGTGGCTCCTCGTCTGAAAAAATGTATCAATCAAATTATAATGTGAAAAAATGTAGACAAATTGAAAAAAATTTAAAACTGAAAGACTTAATAGAGGTAGGGTAGATCATTTGTCATTTGGGCATTTCCTTCCGTTTGAAGCAACATGGCCTAGCGGTTAAGAACACTGGACTCATGCTCTGTTGTTTCAGAGGCAACAGTGGCGTGGGTTTGAGCCCGCCGGGTGGACACTTGTGCCCTTGAGCAAGGCACTTAACCATTATTGCTTCGTCCTTCGGATGGGACGTAAAGCCGTAGGTCCCGTGTGTTGTGTAATCCAATGCACGTAAAAGAAACCAGTGACACTTATCGCTAAGAGAAGGGGTTTGCCCTGGTGTTTCTGGCCTCCTGTACAAACTCCCACGCGGAGTATTTAGGAGATGAACCAACAAAGAACCAAGAACAAAAGTGCTCAAAATCCAAAGACGGGTGCTTAACAACTAACCTAATGAAGTTCTGGTTCTGTGAATGCTGTACAGAGCAAGTAAAAAAAAATTAAACCGAAATGTCGGAATCATAGTTTTAGTGAAGTTCTGCATGAATCACTTTGAAAATCTAGGATATGAAAGCCCAATTCATAAGCTTTCTTTTAGTGCAAGAATCATTCAAATCATTCATGTACTTTTCAAGTTACAGAATTTTAAACACAACCACCGTTTTAAAGTTGTGTCCACGGATCATAAAAAAGGTGTGTGTTCTTTCAGCAAAACAAAAACAATTCACACACATCCTTATGTGATTTGTTTTCGTTTTGCTAAAAAAAAAAACTGAACTTTTTGTGATCCTACATACCAGTACATTTCAGGTTATTTTATTGTAAACATACCCAGCACCAGAATGAAGAATACACATGATGCAGAATTGCTGTAGGGGTCCGTGGCTACACACGTCACCGACTCTCCAGGCACGGCGATGTCAGACCCAGACGAGGGGTTACAGGTCACGGAAACCTCGCCGCTGTTATCACTCGATGTGGTCGCAAAAGAGACCTGGGCGGTTGGTAGCCCTAGATCAGTGTCCACGATCATTGATTCGGGGCACTGGATAGATGGATTCTCGCTGTCTACATTGTGAATTATTTAGAGAAAACAATGAGAATTTACACTTTATCTACATAAAAAAGAAATTTAATGAGTTCATTAAAAATGTAACCAGTCCTCAACGTCTTCAAATTAAGTTGAGACAATAATTCATGTATATGCACTTTATATAACAAATATAAACGCCATAAAAAAAACAGGCGCGGTTCTAGATCCAATATTTTAGGGGAGCTGGACCCTTCGCACTGACGTCACTCTATGTTATCAAGATTTATTTTTTGCTGTTTCAGCAATTGCTGAAACAGCAATTTCTCATATACCGTGGACTCTTAAAGGGAATATACAACATTTGCAAACATCGAAAAATAAAACTACCAAGTTTTTACGAAATACCTTACTAGGATGTTGGTAAATGACATTCTAAAGCATCCTGTAAAATTATGGCACCTGGTGTGCAATTGCTGAAACAGCATTTGTTTTTGTTAAGATTTTTTCTCTCTTTTTTTTTCTTCAGCCATTTCCAATAGCATTTGTACACGTTTTCATCGCGCGTGGCACTTTGGGCACAAAAATCAATCTGATTGTCTTTATACTTGTCTTTAAACATCTAGTTTTCAATTGCATTTTTGGGGGGTGGGCTAGACAAAAGGTTTTTTTTGGGGGGGGCCTTAGCCCCCCTGCAAAAAAAAAGTCCACACTCATTAGATGGGTCACAATTTTGAATCTGATAGTCTTATAATAACGTCATGTCTATAGACCTTTGGGGAATGTCGTTAGCTACATATTGATACCCCATTTGCTACCAAAGGCTGTAAATCGTCCAACATTGACAAAGGTATATGAAAAATGATGCAGTTTGAAATGTTGCAAATTTAAAGAGTACGCGAGTGGAAATTGCTGCATGGCAATGTTGCACTGCCGGAAAAGAACGGCAGGAAAAATCAATCGCACAGTGCTTGCATGCATGGGAGCATTGAATTACCCGCGTTTTGTTCGGGCAATGTGCAGTCGATAGGGGCCAATTAATTACGGGCATGTGTGGTTACGCTTAGCAATTTCTCTTATAGCGTAATCTTCAAATTGGCAAATTTTCAAGCTGCATCATGTTTCTTATAAACTGTCGTCAATCTAAAACGATTTACAGAATAGCAAATGGGGTATCAAAACAGAGCTAACAAAATTCACCAAAGGTCTATATTAATGACGTCATCGTAAGACGATAAGATTCAAAATTATGACCCCTCCAATGAGTGTGGACTTTCTTTTTTTGTGTTGTTTATAACAAACATACACCTTTAATGGCAATAAATGTCTCATTTACCCCCCACGATGACAGTAAAAGTAGCAGTTGCTGTATTTCCAGCCGAATCCGTGACGTTGCAGGTTACCAGCGTTTCTCCAGTGTCAAAGGTATCACCTGACGAGTGATCACATGACACAGCCATAACCATGACATTGTCCACCGGTTCCAGGTCGGGCCAGTCTACGCTGGCAGTCGGTTCACCAGACTCAGTTGGTACCCGGATAGTCGCTGGTACTTGGTTGAAGTGGGGATCCTCATTGTCTGAAATGGAATATAGAGAAGTACGTTGTTGTTTACGAGTTCATTTGCCTTTTAAACCCAAGCGTCTTTTCCATACCAGGATTTCATTGTATATCTTTTACCCAACACACTGTAATATTGTCTGGTCACTTTAATCTCAAAATAGCCAAAACCACTGGTGGCCAGCGATATGCTCTGGACACACAGACACACTTAGGATTTGATACACCGTGCCCTCTGGAAATGTGCACACGATACAAGATTGTATACGTCTCCACAGGGCAGTTTCTATAGATGAATACGTCTCCACAAGGGAAAAAAGGGGATTTCACCATGAAAAGTGGCGCAAGTCTCTAAATAGACCCTTTCATAAATTTGGTCACTGCTCAGTCAATCGTGAATGTAATGACATGACCAGGGTGTCATTTCAAAGACGAGATTCAACCCTAACAGAGGATATCTCCCTTTGATTCACATGTGCCCTACTTCTGTTCCAATTAGCAATAATATCTTGGTGGTTTTTTTTATTCACCCTGTATACTTGGGTATTCTGGTATAAGAGGATTCACGGCATGCTCAGTACTACGCTTGCCCAGCTTAAAGTCTTTTTTTTTTTAATAATGTATAGACTGTCTGGTGCCCTTTTTAAAAGGGTCTTTGTTTCTAAACAAGTCAAAGCTTATATCTTACCTTACCGACATTTGTGGGAAATAAACAAGGATTTTTATTCACCTGATACAAAGACAACAAACTGTACGGTAGCCTCATTGCCTGCGGTGTCGTTCACTGTATAGATGACAGTAGTGGCTCCCAGATTGAATTGTTCCCCCGGTTGATGTGTTGACGTCACCGTGACGTCACCGCTGTTATCAGATACCATCGGTACGTCCCATGTTGCGGTACCCATTGCCGATCCTGGATCCGTCGAAATGCTGATATTGTCAGGACTTGACAGAAATACTGGGTCTTCGTCATCTGGTAAGTAAAATTTTTGCAATGAGTTAGTGAGCTCAAGGTAAAAAAGGTAAAGGGGACGAACCTGGGTTAACAGGAACGGAGTGACCATCTCTCTTTAGCGATTGGGCCAGAGTCATGGCAAGGAATTCCAGAGATGCGGTGCACAGCTGGAAAAGGCATGGTCCCCGTAGCTTGCCAGGCGAGTTTTGGGAAGAGAAAGTATCGGGGATGAAGACGATCTGAGGTCTGGTCGCATGTTGCGAAGTTGTAACAGGTCTCGTATGTAGGATGGAGCTAATCCATGAAGGACTTGGAATGTAAGGAGCAGGATTTTGAATTGTATTCTCTATTCAGCAGGAAGCCAATAAAAGGTACCCATTTATACTCCTGGGTGGAGAGAGGCAATTGTAGTAAAGTGTCTTGCCCAAGGGCACAAACAGCATGTTCCAGGCAGGGTTCGAACCCATACCTTTGTACATGAGTCAACCACCGCAACCACTGGACATACCTTCTACAGTGAAGCTGAACACACAAACAGCTTCGTTGCCGCTGGGATCGGTAGCCGTCAGGGTGACATTCACAAAACCAATTTCAAAGGTTCCATCAGGCGATGGAACGGAGGTGACCTCAGCACTGCCAGAGTTGTCAGTCGCATTAGGAAGACGCCATGTTACCGTAGCAAAGGCTTCGCTATCATCAGTGGATATGAAGCTTGGTACATCAGGTGGACATGTGTCAAAGACAGGTAGATGGATGTCTGATGGAATCAACAAAGAGTTTACTCATGAACAGGATTCGTTTATGTAATCATTCACAGAGAATGCTAGGGAGATGCCTTTTTATTCTCAATCAGCTTTATGACGTTTCAAAGTGATGGTATCAGTATCAGACAGAGTCTTGAAAAGGGCCAGGGAATGCTTAAACAAATTGATAAATGAGATTTCAATTTCAAAGTTTAAAAGTAAAACAGGGGAAAAAATTGTGAGGCATTTTTTTAACAGATGACACGCTGAGGCCTACCTTGACCTTCATTTTCAAGTCAGTTACTCACATGTTAACTCCTGATCAAATGCACTTTTAAGTGAGAATCCAATTATGCTTAGTCTGAAATCCACCATGATAACCTACCATGGTATCTACATGTACATTGTACTATGGTAGCCTACTACTATGCAATGCCAAGTCTGATATCCACTATGATAAGCTGCCATGGTGTCCCCTATGGCAACCTACTACTCTGCAATGCTAAGTCTGATATCCACTATGATAAGCTGCCATTGTGTCCTCTATGGTAGCCTACTACTCTACCACGCCAAGTCTCATATATCCACTATGACAACCTGCCGTGATATTTGCTATGGCAGCCTACTGCTCTGCAATGCTAAGTCTGATATCTACTAGGATAACCTGTCATGGTATCCACGTTGGTAGCTATACTCTACCATGCCAAGTCTGATATCCACTATGATGTATCCACTATGATAACCTGCCATGGTATTCGCTATGGTAGCCTATATGCTAAGTCTGATATCCACTATGATAACCTACCATGGGTATCTGCTATATGGTATGGTAGCCTACTACTCTACCATGGTAACCTATTATGGTATCAGCAATGGTAACCTACTACTCAGCTTTGGTAACCTACTACTCAGTTATGGTAACCTACTATGGTATCAGCAATGCTATTAAACCTATACTCAGCTATAAATGCCATGGTATCCGCAATGGTATCAGCTATGGTAACCTACTATGGTACCTGTAATGTCAACTCACACCTTTATGAAGATATATATGCCGATGAATCGAGGTTTCTTCAACACACCTCCACATACTTACTGTCCTATCTTTCCCACATAGGTCCTAGCAAATTTTGTGTGATACTTATACATTTTAATATGAGATGATTTGAAAGTTACAATCTGACAGTTTGAAAAACTAAGAATTGGAAACCTAAGAATAATTACATGTAAGAGAACTTTTGATTAATTACCAGAAACTGATATACGCAACGTTCGAGTGACAAGATTGCCTGCTGCATCTCGTGCTGTGTACACAATGTCGTGGTCACCAATTGCGAACGAGTGTCCTGGAACGTAGTCGGTGACATCAAACGACGGTGGCTCTGCGTTGTCTGTCGCATTGGGCAGTTGCCAGTTGACAACGACCTCACCAGAGTCGTCAGGGACGTTGACCATGATGTCATCGGGGAACCACATGAAAATTGGGTCCTCGTCATCTAAAATGCAAAATTGAAAGAATTGGTTTCAAACGAATCAAATGACAGATTCAACGCAAATTGGGCATGTCACAATTGTTTTAGTGAAGTTCTGCATGTAGCACTTTCAAAATCTAGGATATGAAAGCCCAATTCATAAGCTTTCTTTTAGTACAAGAATCATTCAAATCACTCATGTACTTTCCAAGTTACGGAATTTTAAACACAACCATCACCGTTTTAAAGTTCTGTCCATGGATCACAAAAAAAGTGCGCGTTCTTTCAGCAAAACAAAAACAATTCACACACATTCCTATGTGTTTGTTTTCGTTTTGCTGGCAAAATACTTACCTTCTTGTGATCCGTGGACAGAACTTTAAAACAGTGGTTGTGGTTAAAACTCCATGTATGTGAGTGATTTGAATGATTCTTGTACTAAAAGAAAGCTTATGAATTGGGCTTTCATATCCTAGATTTTGAAAGAGCTACATGCAGAACTTCAGTAAAACAATGGTCCCGACTTTTGGGTTTCGTTTTTTTCTGAACATACCAAATACAGTGATGACGAAGGAGCAAAGTCCGGTATTCCCCTCATTGTCTTCAGCTAGGTAAGTCACTGTATGCGAGCCGATTTCAAACGTATCACCGGGCATGTCCGAGGCTTCGACCGTCGGTGTCTGGCCAGAGTTATCGGTGACGTTTGGCACTGTCCACGACACAGTTGCAAAGGGGCTTCCTTCGTCAGTAGCTTGGAGGATGCTCATTGGACAGATGGGGAATACTGGATCTTCGGTATCTGTCAAATAATATTGAACAATATTTACTCAATATCTCCACACAGCTCATACACCAGTTGAATACAACTAAATCACAGGTCAATCGCCTCTCGGTCAAAGTCAATTACGAGTCAATGTTAATCACAGGCCAACACAAGTCCATCACAAGTCCATCACAAGTCCATCACAAGTCCATCACAAGTCCATCACAAGTCAATCACAAGTCAATCACAAGTCAATCACAAGTCAATCACAAGTCAAACACAAGTCCATCACAAGTCAATCACAAGTCAATCACAAGTCAATTGCAAGTCAATCACAAGTCAATTGCAAGTCCAACACAAGTCCATCACAACTCAATCACAAGTCGACCACAACGTACTCAATCACAAGTCGACCACAACTCAATAACAAGTCAAACACAAGTCCATCATACAACTCAATAACAAGTCAACAACAAGCCAATCACAACTCAATCACAAGTCAACAACAAGCCAATCACAAGTCGGACACAAATTAATTAAAAATCAATCCCAGTTCCATCACAAGATCGTCATAACTTAGTCACAATTCCATCACAACTCAATCACAAGTCAATCACAACTCAATCATAAGTCAATTGCAAGTCGACCACAACTCAATCACAAGTCGACAACAACTCAATCACAAGTCCAACACAAGTCCAATCACAAGTCAACAACAAGCCAATCACAAGACAGTCGGACACAAATTAATTACAAATCAATCCCAGGGAAGTCCGAGTTTTCAAACTCAGGTGGCACGATGCAGACTTGCAGAGAAAGGTGTAGAATGCTGGAAGCAGGCAAGCCGCGAATAGAAAAGCTGTCGCCCAGAAGATCACTGAACTCTGCTCGGCGAGTTTTGGTATAGCGGCGTACCCTAAGCGGCCGGCAGATTGCGATGTACCAATCGAAAGTCACCAATGTGATGAAGAGCAAGGAGGCAAAGTACGGCATGTCCAAAAAGCCCGGCCGGAGAATGCAGCCTGGTTCGAAACCAATCGACGACATATCCAACTGGATCGCAGTCGAGGAAACCAGCACGATCTTCTCCACCGCGGCAACTAGAAGAAAGATCGTGTCTGACACGGCCAGTTGTAGCACATAACAACTATAGGAGTCCGCATGAAGGGGACTTTGTAGACCACAAGGATGAAAGCAAGATTGGACAGGATACCGAAGACAGAAATGACCGGGATGATCTTATCGATGGGTTGATACAAGTAAAGAGAAGCTTTGTTAGGATCATCCAGATAAAGGATGTGACTGAAGTCGAATGAAGAGGAAAACGAAATCGTGTCAGATCAATTCGTCTGCAATAAATTCAGATCGTTAACTCTGCTGTCGCAGACGGTTAGATGGAGCTGCCTGGTATACTCTAGCTCCTCTCTGATGAGAAACTTCCAATTTTATTTTTACCAAACAAGACCAAGTTTTCACGGTTCGATTAGCTCTGACAATTTCCTGTAAATGTGCGACTGTGCATTCAGTCGGCTTCAGGTCTGCTCAACTGAAGACAACTCGACGACAGGCTGACTTTCAATATCACCAGCCTCAGTATATTTGCAAAGGAGCCTGGGGCCGAATTAAACAGCTCAATTGGGATTTGTGTCCCTTGTATCGCTGCGAGCAACATTCTGCAGCATCCGGTTTCAAACAAACTCTCTATGGAGATCTCAGGTGTTGAAAACAAGTCGATTTGAGCAGGATGGTTGTTATAAAATTATGAATATTACTATATACACAACAACGATAATATTGGAGAGACACGCCCTATTGGCGACAGTGTTTTGTTTCACTTTTGTTCTTCTCCTTGGCAGCCCTGCACTGTTCACGTTCTGTCTTTCGTGTGTAGTGTTTACTTGGTTTCTTATTGTTTGTATATCCTTTTGTTTTAATATCAAATTTTATGTATTTATTGTAATTTTGTGTGTCAATTTGCCCAATAAAATATTATTATCAACGATTTCTGATGAGTTTGCGTCTAACGTTACATGGAACTCGAACCCCAAAAGGCCGCGCCGCGCCGTCCGAGTCGCACGCACTTCCATTTCGTCACCGTTTTCACGAAGAGCCACATAATTATGTGGATTTTGAAGAAAAAGCGTTTTCGAGATAATCGCAAAAGAAGTTTCTCATATTTTAAAACTGCAAAAAATACCACTTTGCAACAACTTTTTGCAGCAAGAAAACCATCACACGATTCTACGAGAGCTGAATTTTTACATGTACCCAGTAATCCGACTGAATACAGCAATTAATTGGTGAAAATTAATTAGTAAAGATATGTGGCTCTTCGTGAAAACGCAAATTAAGGTTTCCGACATATTGGCCCTTTCTGTTCAACGTGCATTTCCATAGGCGCGCGTGAGTACGCGCGCGCAGCTGAAAATGTAACAAAGGTATGTGGCTCTTCGTGAAAACGCAAATCTCATTTGACCTACTTTTACGTATTTCCGTGCAATGGGTTTTGTACGCGTTCAAAGGGCCAAAATGTATGTGGCTCTTCGTGAAAACGCAAAATGCATTTATCGAGATTTCTGCCCCTTGCAACATTAATGTAACTTGGAAATTAATGATGTTTTGCTTACAGAAACATGTCAAAATGGTTAAGTACATTGTTTTAAAGCAAAATATTGAAAAAAAATCAAAATCGAAAAATGAGAACTGATCTGACTCCTTTTCCCTATTACTGGTTAATCCAATCCCTCGCACGTGACAGGTCACTCTCCCACGTATGATTCTAAAACATAGCATATTATCGTACTTATGCATGCGCAATATACTACAATGGGTCCATATTTCATGGAGTCGGCTATTCACGCTACACCGGCTTCGTATTTCTCCACGTATAAGCCATGATACTACTGTGCGAAGTCATAAAGTGTGTACCTTATTGCTTTTCAGATAATAAAAACTTACGCGAATGGGTATTTTGTACCAGGTTAGCCTGTGGAAATGTCCTTAGCTAGCTTTGCAGGTGAAGCAAAACAGCTCAATGCCAGCTGCGCGCCAAAACCAATGTCCGCACATACGGCGGCAGTGCAAGGTTTGTGATCATACTGTCAGGCTTTCCCCAATGTATGTGCGTCATTGTCCAGAGCCACCTGCCTCCGGCCCATCTGAATTTGAGTGACGAGTGACGAGTGACGAGTGACGAACCAGTTAAGTGCTGGAGAGCTACCTACATCTAAGAAAGCCACATTAGACTGGGCTCGGTCCAGTAATGAAGTCATAAAGTGTACCTAATTGCTTTTCAGATAATTAAAAAATGCCGGTATTTCATACCTAGTGAGATCAATTGGAAATGTCCTTCCAGTGAAGCGGAACGATTCCGGTGGCAAGCTGCGCGCCAAAAACAAAAATTTGATTCGATTCAATTCAATTCAATTCAAGGAAACATTCCACACTATTATTAGTCATCAAAGTGAATAGCATACAGGTGTGCAGGCATAATTGAAAGCGTAACTGGACCATGATCGTTTTTGCAGGCCGTTGTGTCCTACCGTCAAGTAAATAAATTAACTGTAATAATTAAAATTGAATTAGCCATACTGGAACGCCCTCCCTACGAAGTATTGCGTTTTACGTTGTGATCGCAAAGGCGAGAAGTGACCAAAGTACAGGGTCTTTGTCCAGAATGATCTGACCTCAAGAAGATAATTGCGAGGGACCGAAATACCTAACTTGGGCTGAGAACTGACAGTCTCCCGCCGCCAAAATAAACAGAAAAAGCACAGCAAATCACAGCCATGTGGGTACTTCGGGAATTCAAACGATATCATCAGGTATCTTGGCTTGATTGCTTCAAATCTCTACTGATATCGGAGTCAGCTCTGTCATACATATTACTATTTTCAAGGTTCGTCTCAAGCCCGAATCTCGATCCCAGCGACTTCGTGAACCAGCGAGATGTTCCTGAATCGGAGCTCTTCACAGTTCGACTTGGGCGAAATTACATGTCTTCGTTTCGCTGTTTTTAGAAACACAAAACAGTTCGTGTGTTGTGGTGAAATTGTACAGTAAATAAAGGATTAAAACCTTAGCCGGAGCGTGGCTGGTATTTATCGCTTCCACATTTCTTTGTTTTATATTGTCCCAGCCACGTGGTAGCCATGCCCCAGGTCATCTATCACTCGATCCTAGTATCCTAGCTCTATGTATGGACCATGCATGTACAAGACCAAAATGGAACTGTCAAATGGCATTGACGGGGTAAGTTTAATGGCTGTTTAGGGTCTGAATCAGGGGTGAATCAGGGGTGAATGGTCTGGCTGTGAGGGCCGGGTGGCTCAAATTACATAGTGTCATCAATCATTCCCGCCAGGCACCCGATATTGTACATTATTAAAGTGCACGCTCCGGCGAAGCACGGATAACTGTATCAGTTCAAGGTTTTAAAATGCACTGGACCATAACATCACGGCACGTACTCACAGAACAGCTTTATTTTGTGAATTGTACTGGTATACGTGAACAGCACAGAACATTCTTCAGACAATTTTGAAGAGCAGCTTTATTTTGTGAAATGCACTGGTACGTGAACAGCACAGGCAATTCCTGATAATTCAACTTTTGAAGGTCGGTTTCGTTCTGATTATGAACGTTTATTCTTACATATCATGTTCTTCCAACAACATAATTTCTGACGATTGAAGATATCTCACCACAAATTTCAGGGGATCTCTTGCCATTAAGGCAATTTCGCTAATGGCACAAAATCTGATGTCCTAACGATGACAAAAACGATTGATAGCTGCAATTAGGGGCACTCAATCTTTACTTGTTAGTGTCCCATTTAATTGACCATCATCTACTGACAGTCCGGCTTCTGCCGCAGCGGTAACACGCGCATGAGTCGAGCTTCCCACATCGCTGAGAACAAAAATATGACTGGGTCGCTGAGTGCCTAATTTTTGGAAAGAAAAATGACTTCCGTGATTGCTTGGCTCGCTAATTGCCGGCTTGATTTCAAACTGGCTGAGTGGTTGGGTGTGAAATTTATTTCTCGGTTTATTGATTGGTTAATGTTTAATTCTCCGAAATTGTTGTAAGCCTTGAACTCCGAAAAAGACAGCAATACTACCCGCAATACTATCACGGCCAAGTCCATAAAATATACTAATGGGTTTGTTCTAATGACGAAGAGATCTTGAAATGGGGGGGGGGGGGGATTGTCGTGATTGTACGGGCATAAATTGAGGGCTTCTATACAGGTTTACGTGCGCAAAGTTGACTGACAACTAGATCGGGTGATCACGGTACGACCTCCTGTCAGCGAATCTGTTATAAAAGCAAAGGACAGGCAATTTGTTCCAAAGAGACAGCTTCAACTATTGATCTCCATTAGTAAGCACGTACAGTAAATGTCTTTGATATCACTTGCTGCTGCCTACATGCTGTTAAAGGTGATCATTCACGATTTCTTCCATCAGGCCTTTGTTGGAGATTTTTGCCACTAGCGGCAATATCACAATTCTGGAAGCGCCGTACGGTGGATTGATTGTTGCGTGAAACCTACTGGCCGAGCTGTTCGTTCCGTGTAATTGTGACGATGCGCAACCGACGCGATAGTATCCGATGTGTCATGCCATTGTGTCTACTCGTTTTTCTCCTAGAATCTACCTCCACCGTTGCCCAAGAGGGTAAGTAATGTAAAAATTAGACCCATACTAGTCCGAGTAACTTGGACCCAACTTATCGCCTTTTCAACATTCGTACATGGTCTAGCGACTATCGCCAGACCATGTCCGAATGTTAAAAAAGCGATAAGTTGGGTCCAAGTTACTCAGACTAGACCCATACAGACATTGAATGGTAAATCGACAATGGTTGAATGTCAGGCGGCAATATAATTGAAGAGATAATTGAAGAGACATTATGTAAGTTTGGATGTGCTGCTGCTACTGCCACCGCTGTTGCTGTCTGCTACTGCTGCCGTTGATGCTGCTATTGCCGTTGTTGCTGCTGTTGCTGTAGCTGCTGCTGCTGATGTTGTTGCTGCTGTTGCTGTAGCTGTGGATGTTGCTGTTACTTCTGCTGCTGTAGCTGCTGCTGTTGTTGCTGTTGTTGCTTCTATCTGTTGCTACAGCTGTTGTTGCTGCTGTTGCTATAGCTGCTGATGTTGCTGTAGTTTCTGCTGCTGCTGTTGTTGCTGTAGCTGTTGTTGTTACTGCTGTTGTTGCTGCTGCTGCTGTTGATTTTGCTGATGCTGCTGCTGCTTCTGCTGCTGTTGCTGCTGTTGTTGTTGTTGCTGTTGCTGCTGTTGTTGTTGTTGCTGCTACTGATGCTTCTGCTGCTGTTGCTGCTACAGCTACTGCCACTGCTGTTGCTATAGCTGCTGTTGCTGCTGCTGTTGCTGCTTCTGTTGCTTCTGCTGCTGTTGCTGCTTCTGTTGCTGTTGCTGCTTCTGTTGCTATTGCTGTTGCTTCTGCTGCTGTTGCTGCTGCAACTGTTGTTGCTGCTGTTGCTGTTGCTATTGCTTGTGCTTCTGTTGCTATTGCTGTTGCTTCTGCTGCTGCTGTTGCTGCTGCAACTGTTGTTGCTGCTGTTGCTGTAGCTGTTGTTGCTGCTAGTGTTGTTTCTGCTGCTGCTGTTGCTGCTGCTTGTTGTTGATGTTGCTGTTTCTGTTGCCGTTGCTGTTTACCGCCACCCTAGCATCATCCATCCCTTCTCAACCCCCCCCCTCCCTTCCTGCCCCATCCCATCCCTATGATCATCATCTGCTGCCACACTGAGTAGCCCTGTTAAATCCCTCTTGTGTGTTCCTCCTTCTACCCTGACATGTGTCCCCTTCATGTATATTTTTTGTACCATCATTTGTCTCCGAAGCATGCAGAGGCAGATGGCGGAAATATTTGGGGAGAATTCGTTACTTTGATGAGAAAAGCATGGTGTTTGGCACACAGTCAGAGTATATCTTATGGCAATCGTAGATTTGTCCTTTGACAACATATAGGTAGAATAACAAGCAATGGCAGCCATTGTGAAAAATCTGAAAATTGCTTGTTATTCTGCCTATATTTTAGGGCAAATCTGCGATGCCCCCAGATAGCCAAATATCTTTCTTATGACATACTCTGACTGTGTGCCAAATTGCTTTTATCATCAAATAAACAATCCTGTCATCTATCTGCCGTACTAGCATGTAACGAGATATCAGGCCAGGTCATTTGGTTGTTGTTGATGTGTATATTTTTAGATCAATCTAGTCAGTAAGCAGTTTGCAGCAGTTCAATTAATTTTCTTTTTTTTGAAGCCGATACTGTTCGTCTAGTGGACGGAAATTCATCATCCGAAGGCCGCGTGGAAGTCTTTCATGACGGGGAGTGGGGCACAATATGCAGCGACCACTGGGGCCCTGCAGACGCCAAGGTCCTCTGTCGTCAACTCGGCTACGGGTTCGTGCATTCAGACCTGGCCCATTTTGGTGAGGGGCACGGGCCGATACTTCTTGACGATGTGCGGTGCTCTCAGTATGATGGAATGATTGAATACTGCGATCATAAGGGCTGGGGCAACCATAACTGCAACCACACCCAAGACGTCGGCGTGGTGTGCTCAGAACACTTCATTTATAATGGCAACACCGTGATAACAGGTAAAAGCTAATAGACCCATATCTTGTTTTTCCGCAGCTGCTGTCGTTCAAGTCATCTTCGTGGGAAAATTCTGAGAAAACATGTAGCCGACCGCCACTCAAGTCGATCGGACAAGCCATTGTTTTGCAATTTAGAATCAGGTTCAACATGTCATAGTTCTCTCGTTTGGGCAAAGTTGTAACACCGGGCATTTTCAAGTTTAATTCCGAAACATCTTTTATTACCAAGCCGCACGCGTAACTGCAGGGATGGTACCGATATCATCATCTAATATAATAATATCAACAGTATCTTCACCAGGGAAATACAAGACTCTTTCCAATTTGGTGTATATTTTTCCTCAGATGAACTGAGGTTTGAGCTGAAGTTGATCGACTCCCGCTTCGAGGCCTCTGGCTTTTTGGTGGCGCGCTATAGTCCGGCCAAAGAGTGGGGCGCCATCTGCGGCGACCACTGGGACTACCGAGACGCGCAAGTGACCTGTCGTCATCTTGGATACGGAGCAAACATCGACACGAAGGGCAGCCGTTTGATCCATGAGAGCGCCATACCCGAGACCACGATGTTCTCGGCGGTCGGTTGTCAGGGAGACGAAACTGAGCTGTGGCAGTGCGAGCTGGTATCCGGCGCGGGGGTTACCTGCGAGACGCTTCCTTACATTGAATGCCAAACTGGTTCGTGGACACCATCTAGTTTTGTTTCATAAGGAATTTGTTACATGATCATTTTGCTGGTATAAACGCATGATGTACCTCTATCAACATACAAATCTTATTTTTTTTTGATAAACTTATTTTTTTTGGTCAATATTTATTATGAATTATAGAAACTGCAGTGTTTGAGGATCCCATCAATCTGTGTGGCGAGATAAACTACTGTGGTTTTGACTGCTACCAAGGCCCGCGTGACACACTGAGACACGATCTAGACGCTAGAGAGATGTGCAAATGCGACGACGCATGCGTATACTTCGAAGACTGTTGCTATGACTACCGAACCAACTGCGACCCACAGCCTGATTCGGGTAGAGACGTGATGAATGGAGTGGACCTGCGGTACTACGCATGCGTGAGCACGCTGGGAATGGATCTCGTAGAAAGATACGACCACTACTTCGGTGTCGCACTTGTGAGTTTCTGCCCCCAGCAATGGACTGGCCCGGACTTTTTGAAGCTCGAGTGCGAGCAGATGCCCTCCCCCTTAGACGTCATTGCCTCCCTCCCAGTCTTCGACAATGAGGGCGCCGTTTACAAGAACATCTTCTGCGCCCTTTGTCATGGCGTCGATGCGAATGAGATACACAAGTGGACCGCAAGACTCGAATACTACACGATGCCAGGCTCGACTTATACCGATCCGCGATTAAATGTGACAATTATCGACGGCAGATCAACAGGGAGGTACGTCGTTGAACCACCTGAGGATGGCTCAGGTGGTATCTCCCGCACATGTCCGCTCTCTACAATAGGTTCCTGTCTCCAAGAGTTCAGTAACTCGTCCCAGGAGGCAGCCTGCAAGGAATACTTTGCTCCGACACGGGTGAACTACGTCCGCTACAAGAATCCGCACTGCGCAATGTGCAACGGTGAGATTGTGTACCCCATTGATACCTGTGTATCACTCTGTCCGCTGCCCGAATGCAGCCATTTCGAGAAGTGGGAGCCATGCTTGCAGGATATATGCTTTGGGGGACCCGGAAACATTTTAACGGTGGAGGCGATGTTCGATTTTGGCTGGAGTGGCGGCGAGAACTCCGCCTGCCGCAGTGGGGAGTTGTACGATCCTTTTCTGGACAGATGTCGTGTTGTGACCTGTGCTGCGGGCTTTGTGCTAGCAGACGATGGCCAATGCTTACCTCTGCTAGAAACATTCTTTCCGATACCGCCACTTCCCCAAATACCCGAGACACTTAATGAAGAATGTCATTCAATCATCAATGATACTTTAAGCAGTAGCTCTGAAGTCGTACACTGGCGGTTGGTTCTACTTAACGGTACCCAATCAAGCGACCTTTCCGAAGAAAACTACTCACTTTCTATCCTTGGTAGGAGCTTTGAAACTCTCATAAAAGACATCGGTGATTTTCTGAACACCTTCAAGAACCACACGAGTGAACAAAGTAACTGCAACCTCCACCTAGTAACTGTGTACACTGCACAAGGTGCGGGGTTGTTGTCATCAATTGACGTCTGCGCTAACTCTACCATGAAATCGCGGGAAGTCTTCGATCCCTCAGTTGAAAACGAAACAGTCTATGACGTGGAAATCATTCGATCATTTCGCTGGACTCAACAAAATTCCACCTTCTCTAGAGAGGGATTACTGCCAACTGAGTGCACTGATATCAATCTGCTGAACTGCTCTGAGATGGTTGAACGATTAACCGCTGATGAGTATGTGTCCCAACCTGCATCGCAGTCGATACGTCATCTTCCAACTGGGCTTGAATTAGGTCCGGGTGAATTTGTCACTTTATCTGACCGTACAGCGATTATCTGTAGCCCTGTGGACTGGTCGGACCCCAGCAAGTACGCCTTGGGCTTTCTCTCCTTAATCCTCTACTGCTTGTCACTGTTGGCCCTGCTTGCTACTTTCGTGACCTACTGCGTATTCCTGACGCTGAGAAACATGGCGGGATTCCAGACTATGAACCTCCTGGTGGCGCTCTTTGTTGCTATCCTCTTGATCGTTCTGGCCGGCAACCTGAGTGTGAGCGGGAAATACTGCCAGGCAATGGCGTCGGTGACACATCTCTCGTGGTTAGCAGCGTTCTTCTGGATGGCGACGCTGTCTGTCAATGCCGCAAAGACTTTTGGGAGTAGGAACATCCTCCCCAGGGGTTCACAACCAAGCTCTCGTCAATTGCTGACTACAATGATGTTCATCTGGGGGACAGCTTTGCTGATAGTCGTTGTCGGCCTCGTTCTCAACTTTTGTGACTGTACCAGCCTTCCTGCCGTATACAGCGAGTCGCCGCCATGTTGGATCCCCAATGTTAACATACTACTCGTTGGCTTTGTTGCACCAGTGGCCGTTTCTCTGCTTATTAGTGTCAGCTCCTTTATTTTCGTCATCGTGAGGGTTCGGAAGATGAAGGGAGAGAGCAAGATGGTGCAGAAGAAAGGAAATCTGGAGGAAGTACTTGGGGAGTTGAAGATCTATGTCAAGGTAATATTCAAAAAATACTTTGCCTACTTGGTGATGACATGAAATATTTATTGGTCGTTTTATGAATTTATGAATTGGAACAAAAGAGTAATGAATCAGTCTTAACGGCCATTTGAAACCATGCAGGGTCGTGGTCGTGATGACTTGCAGGTCACAGGTCACTCAAAATCTATCCAAACAGAGTGTGAATTCATCAGCCCTTCCCAGCATCCTGTTTGCAGGGCAATGCGTTAAAATGTCACTCCAAGTGGTCTCTCCGAACTCTCCCTTTCTTACCGGTAAGATCTACTTGTGCACGGAGCCCATGACACTTGCATACTTCACTTTTCCATCCTCGTCCAAAGAAGTCATGAATTCTCCCGAATAAACAGCATGTCTCTCTTTTACAGCTGGCCCTACTGTTTGGTGTGTGTTGGCTGCTTGCGTTTGTGTCGGTGGCCGTGAACCACGTGATCTTGTCCTACATCAACGTCATCGTCAACTCGCTGCAGGGGGTCTTCATCTTCATGGCGTTCTGCCTCAACCGACGCGTGAGGGCTCTGTGGAGGGGTAGACTACTTGGTCGTGACGCGACGCGTTTTGAAGCCGGCAGGACAAAAGTGGGCACGAAAGCATCGAACAGTAAGGAAAAGCACGCAGTTACAGCAACTCGTACCACCACTGTATCAAGTAAGGGACCCAAAACCAAGGATATCAAAGAGGAAACTTATTTGTAGTGTAACAATTCAATGAAAGAGTGAGGAAAATATCTAGAGGAGCATTGAAAATCTATCCAATCAGAACGTGAATTCATCAGCCCTTCCCAGTGTCCTGTTTGCAGGGTGGGGGGTACGAGCGCTGTGGTCCAATGGTTACGGTGTTCGGCTCACTTGCCGCGGTACGTGGGTTCGAACCCGAACGGGGAACATTGTGCTTGCGTTCTTGGGCAAGACACTTTACTACAATTACCTCTCTCCACCCAGGAGTATAAATGGGTACCTGTGAAGGTAGAGACCAGATTGCGCTGATCTTGAGCTGCTGCAGAAACTGGTCTCAAGGTATAAAGCGCTATATAAGCACTAAAGATGTATTATTTATATATTATTATTGACCGACTCCATTCTATGCTACAATGTAGGTTGTCCAGCGGCGTAGCTAGGGTCAAACCTAGTGTGGGAGGGGGATGCACAACATTATAAATGAAACAAATCGTGTGAACAGTGCAGTAAATTGTTCTTGAATTCAGGCTTTCCAATGGAGGGCACCTGTGGGCCACACATCCCCTGGAGGCATTCAGTCCCCCTCATTGTAATATTAATGATCGTCAACTTAGTTGTCGTTAACATCGGGGAAAACCTAAAGTGTACACAACCTTAATATACCTCACGGCATACCAAATGTTAAAGGGAATGTACACCATTTGCTTTTGCTGCAATTTTCAGAAATAAATGGATTTGGAGGATTAGTATGTTATAGCAAATATTGTTAAATGACTTTTTTTCACGTTTGGGCTTGTAGATGCTGGAAAAACCAAGAAAACCAATCATGTTCTTGCAGTCTGGTTCCCTGACCCCACTTTTTAAGATGAAACGGAGCAATTAATAGACTTTGGGGAATTGTAAGGTCAGAGAATCAGTCTAGCAGACTTGTACCTCTTCACAGGTGTGTAATCAATTGCAAAGAAAATGCGGAATAACTAATTATGAATAATTCGGAGCAATTTTTGAATATTAACCAGTTTTCTCCAACGCTGGTCGGCCGACCAGCATTGGAAAAATACCAGTTTTCTTGAAAATGTCAGCACACCAGGAGCCACAATTTTACAGGATGCTTTAGACTGTCAATCCCTAACAATTCAGTAAGGTATTTCGTGATAATTTGATCATTTCATTTTTTGATGTTTGCAAATGTTGTATCTTCCCTTTAACTCTGACACCATGGAAGCAATGTCATTTCGACCTTTCTGGTAATGCCTTTGGATGAGCATGACGACTGTTTATAAAAGATCCAGACATATATCACACTCGACAGTTGGGATAGTCAGTGGAAAGACTTGCGTTAATAGCACACAGGTGTGTACAAAGTTACGAGCAAGAATTAGATTATTTTCAAGGCTGAACATGCTGAAAATAGATAATGAGGATCTTTAGTTTATCGCATTTGATTAACCCCTTAAGGACAGGGTGTAATGGGGACATTCCTCCACACAGAGAGCAAGTGGCCCGCGTGACTGCACAGCCTTTGTGTGGTAGCGGGACTGCACAAAAGCAGCAGCTGTGGAACTACCCACTAGCCGTGTGCCACGGCATACCACAGCTGGCAACTGTATTCCAATGAGGATTAGCCGCCGCGGCCATGACCACTTCCTGTCCTTAAGGGGTTAAAGGTCGTGTCATGTTTGTAAGTAAACATCAAATTATTTCGGTTTGCGGTAACACCATGTGGTAATAACTACTGCTTAGATGATATTTAGTTCTGAAAAGAACTTGTCCTGCTTATTATCAACTTCGCTAAGTAGTTTTTGTTTTGATAAGAACAGTCCTGCTTTAAATTCTAAAAGAACTTGTCACATGGTGTTACCGCAAACCGAAACGATACCGATACTCCACCATGCAAAGCCTCAAATCTTATAAACATCAAATTATTACAGAAGACAAACTACTGTGGTTAGGAGGATATTCTTCCCCCTCATTTTTCTCCTTCGTTTCCAAGTGATATTGTCATAGACGTTTGTTTACAAATGAAGTGGTGTACCCTGTTATTAGTTCCAGGTGGGGTTCGTCCTCTAGTTAAGTAGGATGATCAGAGTCAAAACTGCCGTTTGATTCTCTGGATCTAATTCAAATCCGAACTACGTAAAACGTTCAGTCAGTAATATTTCTGCAAATAATTATGTATTTGTCGCTGTCTTTCTGTAGTTATAAAAATCTAAACATATGCTGATCTATGGAGATAACAAACTTGGTTGCCATAATAATAAGGAGCCGGATGGGAATTTCCCCGTGTTTTCTCCCAGAAGGGTTTAACGCGGGTTTTTCGCCCCTTCCGTAATCAGCAAATATAATTATAGCTATATTTGTTCTTGATGTTATAAGATAGATCCAAATTCTTTGTCTTCACTGAATTCACTGTATAGTAAAGCCAGTTAGCGATGTTGTTTCACACTGTACATGTAGTTATAATAGTTTAACTAGTAGTATTTATAATATTTGCTTGAAAATTATGCATTAATCCAATAATGCTTTTATCCCATTGTATTGTATTTTATTTGTAATGTATTGTATTTGTATACATGTTTGTAGTCATTTTTTTTATTGTATGCAGGGCCCCAATGGAAACCAGTTTTGAACTGTTTGGGCATACCCTGGGTTAATAAATGTAATAAATATAAATAAGTAAATCTTTAAATTTTTTTAAATTCTTGATGAATGTAGTTGATACAATAAGGCCGGCGACATTGCACCATGTACATGATGTAATAAATAATTATAACAACCCTGAAATGAAAAGCCAATAATATTCCCTCTTAATTCAGTTCAATTGAAGTGTCTGCCGTTGTTAAGCAAAGCTAATCCGATTACGTACTTAGACGCTATAACAGAGCAGTGAAATTCATGCATCCCAAAAACATGGCATTTTGAACGTTGTGTTTCTCAAAAAATATACTCATTGTGATTGAAATGTTAAAATATAATGAAAGAAGACATTCTAAACTTCATGTCAGTGAAAAAAATCGCCGTCATCGATGCCGAAATGTCAATACTAGTTACTGGTAAAGCTGACCTTCACGTCTGGAAGAAATCGTTCGAAAACCTCCCCAAATATATGTACTTATATCGATTTCTAGGAATCTACTCAAGTTGTTATTTCGCGAGTAGTTAGACACTTATATCATCAAAGGATATTCCGAATTTCAGCTTAATCTGTTGTTGTAGGCGCTAGAGTTACACTTTGAACTATCTCCAAGGAAAATTTTGACGAGGATTATTTTCTGACCAACCCATGTGCATTGTTCAGACCGAGATCTGCTTTGGAGGGCCGTATCGAGGTGTACTTCAACGGTGAATGGGGGACTTTGTGTGACAATGGCTGGGATATACAGGACGCCCCATGTGGTGTTCCGGTCCCTGGGATATCACTCCGCCCTCTTAGCCATGGTCAAGTACGGCAGGGGCCAGACCAATTGCAATCACCAAGGAGATGCAGGCGTCGTCTGCTCAACTGAAAACTCAGACGAACCCCAGTCCTCGGAGCCCTCATCAGCAGGCTCATGCTTTTACAGCTCGGAGGGTTCATCCTTTGAAGACAACGCGGAGGCAGAATTACCCCGGTGAGTCTTCGTTCAAATCAGTAATAAGAAACTAAGATCAAGTAAAGACAGTTTATGTGTTTGGTCGTATCGGCCATGTGGCAATTATTCATTTGATTCCACTAATTGTCTTAGACCTGTTTACGCAAGATCAAAAGTACTGATTGGTACTAGGTCGTGTATATGTTGTGTTGCACTATGAGACAGTGTGCGCCACCTCCCAATAGGCACTTTTCGAAATGTTAACTGCACCATAATTCAGTGCAACACATTTCCTCAATGCATAATATGTCCGGTGTGTGAACAGCTATTCGGACAATGTCTATCTGGCCAACACAATTCGGTGGTGGTACCACGTTCACATGCAAGTTATTTTTGGTGTAAAAGTGCAAACATCTACGATGTGATATGGAAGCTGTCTCACATTGGATGTGGTAATAAGTATGTACTTTTTTTATACAGATATGCAATTCTTTGATGATGTACGTCTATCTGATGGAAGGTCCCCCTTGAGTGGCCAGGTCGAGATATTCTATAACGGACAATGGGGAACCGTCAGCCTGTCTGGATGGGATTTGCAAGAAGCCACTGTGGTCTGCCGTCACCTAGGTTACCCCGCCGCCATTTCTGCCTACCCGAAAGTAAATCCTGGCTCTGGACCGATTCATCTGATTTGGGTGGGATGCCAGGGGAGCGAATGTTTTTTGCCTGACTGTTCTTACGACTGTTCGGCATCAATACGCCCTGCAACCATAGCAGGGATGCTGGCGTCGTCTGCTCAACAGAGGGCTTACAGATATCCTACCCTAGTACAAGTCAAAGTTCGTCACCGTTTTCACAAAAAGCCACATTATTATTTAGATTTTGAAGAAAAAGCGTTTTCGAGATAATCGCAAAACAAGATTCTCCTATTTTAAAACTGTAAAAAAATATTACTTTGCAACAACTCTGTGCAGTAAGGAAACCATCACATGATTCTATGAGAGCAAAATTTGTACGTGAACCCAGTAATTCGAATTAAAACTACTGTATTAATTAGTTAATTAGTGAAAATTAATTAGTAAAGATATGAGGCTCTTCCAGAAAGAAAATTAAGTTTCCAACATTTTGGCCCTATCTGTTAAACGTGTTTTCCATATGGAAGGGGCGCGTGTGTATGCACGCGCAGCTGAGAATGTAACAAAGATATGTGGCTCTAAGTGAAAACGAAAATTTTAATTGACCGAACTTTGAACGACTCGACCTGGAGCACGCTGTGCAGCTCGAGGACGGCGATACCACCGGGTGTCGGCGCCGACATCTGCAGGCGACTGGGATATAAACTGTTCTGTCACTCTGAAAATGATGCAGCTGTTCCTGATACCCTTGGAGACTCCCCGTTCGTGAGGGTCGCTGATGACAAATGCTTCTGCTCATCGGCTGGTGTCTTCCAATGTGGTCTGGTGCCGGACATAGGATACGCCCAGCCAAGAGTTTACCACGGAGAGTTTATTTTTCCCAGCGCAGTGTGGGAGATGGTCAACATTTTCACAGTGCGAGACATATCAAATTGTTACTCTTTCCGGTCAGTAGTTTCGTAAGCGTATGACTCGAGTATATGTTTGCCCTTTTCTTTTCTTTTTATCAATATGGTGTTTTTTGTAAGGCAGCAGAACGCTATATGCAAATCTATAACAAATTTGCTCAAGTTGTCTACTGAGGCTCATTCAAATGGGCCGTATTTTGTGGACCGTAAACTTGAAAAATGGACTCTCCATGGCAAACTCTTGGTGGAGCACGGCATTGTGAATCGCCCGAATTGGCTGATCCTCTGGACTGAGTAGGAGGTTAACAAGATGTTTGCGAGAATTTCACGTTTAAAACAAGTCAAAGCACAACAAAGTCTTACCATATACGATGACTGTAAACGAGCAAGTGCCCGTATTTCCAGCCGCATCTTCGGCCTCGTAGGTCACCTCAGTTGGGCCAATAGGAAACACATCCATAGGCACCTGATTGGAGGTTGTATTAACGACCTGAACATTGTCTACGGCCACCGGGACAGCCCATTGGACGACGGCAGTGGCGGTGCCCAATGGCGTGAATTGCTCCACTGCGGACGTTGGGCAGGTGTCATTGAAATTCGGTGGTTGTCTGTCTGTAAATGCAATGGACGAATTAAACGAGACTGTCAATTTCTCTTGATCGCTGTCTCTGCGTTAGCTATTTAACATGACCAAAGTCTGTGAAAAATACCCAAAAATGGTTAGTCCCAAGGATTCATTCAGAAACTTTTGGTATTTTCACGAGGCTGTATCATAAGTCCAACGCCTCATAGGTCCGACACCTCATAAGTGTCGGACTTGTGTTTTGCAAGCATGGCTATGAAGCGTCGGAGCTATGAGGCGTCGGACTTATGAGGCATAACATTTATTTATTCCGCCTCATAGGTCCGACGCCTCATAAGTCCGACGCCTCATAAGTCCGACAACGGAAAAACGAGACGTTTAACTTGTCGGACTTACGAGGCGTCTGACCTATGAGGCGTCGGACTTATGAGCCTTTATTTGGTAAGGGGATGCGATTTTGTCGGACTTATGAGGCGTCGGACCTATGAGGCGTTGGACTTTTGAGCAGACCCCATTTTCACAACTCATTTTAGTACGGCAGATAGGTGATGGGATGGTGCCTTTGATGATACAAGCATGGCATTTGGCACACAGTCAGAGTATATGTCATGAGCAGGATATTTGGCTATAGGGCCATCGCAGATTTGTCCTTTGAAATAAAATACAGGGTAGAATAACAAGCAATGGCAGCCATTTTTAAAATATTGAAAATTGCTCGTTTTTCTAACTATGCTTTTTTAAAGGACTAATATGCGCCGTTTTCACCGTATGCCACGAAGATGCTGTAGTTTAGGAATATCTTGAAACAATTTTTAAAATGTCTCCCCAACTCCAAGAAATCTGCATCAGAAAAAGTGTAAATATTTTTTTGGACTACCCTGTTTACTGTTAATACTGCCGTTGTAATTATATTCTGTCGTCAGACATAAAAAGAACAAATGTTCAGTACCTTCAACAGTGACGACGAATTGGTGAGATACGAGGTTACCGCTACTGTCCGTGAAGTTGTACGTCACCACAGTCTGTCCCAGTGGGAAGACGTCACCAGGGTCGTGGGAACGAGTGTCAGTAACAACGAGCTGGTCATTGTCAGTGACAGAAGGCAGTGGCCATGTCACGACAGCATTAGCCAGGCCGGGATCCGTGGGTTCGGTGATGTCAGTGGGAGCTGATTGGATCATCGGGTTCTCAATATCTGACGAAATGAGTTGAAAGTCCATATTATAAAGAACTCAACTAGCAACTTTCAACCATAACATTTAATATCGAAACTGTATAGCTGAAATGCATATAGTTTAGTTCCACTTTTGTCTTTTCTAAAACCAGACGCGATTCCGGGGGGGGGGGGGGGGGGGGGGTTTTTGGGGGTAAAAAAAATACCCAGCTTTGTCAAAAATTGTTTTTTTCCCTAGAAATGCATAAGAAATACTTAGACACCCAAAAAGAATTCCAAAAAGAATTAGACTGGTATTAATATACACCTGTGCACAAAATAAGGACAGAGACTGCTGGGTTACGGGGGTATTTGTACACTATCCTGTAATTATAGTGTTAATAATCTTTGGATTCGAACAGCGCCCCCATTGAAAGGGTTACACCTCTATGTTCCGACACCCCTATGTTCCGACTGGACATATTCCTATTCCTAACCCTAACCCAAACCCCAACCCTAACCCTAACCCTAACCGGGAGTTACAATCTTGCGTGCGGGTTGTCGGAACATAGGGGTGTCGGAACATAGAGCAGTCACCATTGAAATCATGGTATGAGTCTAAAGACGCATTTTAAAAAATTCCGTCAATAGTTCGTTTTTAGTTCGGCAAAGCCGTGAATAGGTTTCACAAGCGTTGACACAACACGCATACACGCCTGGTTGCTATTATTTGTCGATGCAGTGCGCAACATCGCGTAGCTGCAGTCGGCTGAATGAGAACGTGTCCCGGATGCTGATATCAGGCACAATTCAAAATACGACACCGCAACTGTTGAATTGAAATCGAGATTCTAGAATATTGTTTTCTCAGAATATACAGCATTCACTGAGCTAAAACTTCATCAGGTTAGTTGTTAAGCACCCTTCTTTAGATTTTGAGCACGTTTGTTGCTTCAAACGAAAAAAAAAAACGGCACCAATGACAAATGATATACTCTACCTTTAATAAATAATGCACTTGATTACCAAATTGTCATGATTTATATCACCCCGACGCAAAATTCCATCTTATAATAGTTTATGAGGTACCCGCTGCTATGTACATCAGATTCGAACTGGCCAACCGATCCCGTTAGCTCGGTGGTCGAGTGGTAAGATCTGCACTAGAAAGAAGGAGGTCGTGGGTTCGAGTCCCACCCGAGTGATTTTTTCTAACTTTCACTCGGGAGGTAACACACTGAGTATACAGTGTTTAAAACGTCGGTGAAGGGCAAAAACCTAATTTGATTCAAATTGTCATCGATTTAGCTTTTTGGTAGGTCAAAGTGTCCTCGTTTGTTCAGAAGCCTAGAATCGCAACAAACTCTTACCTATTACAGTGACCACAAATGTGCACGTGTCCGTCAAGTTATGTGCATCAATCGCCGTGTAGGTCACCAATGTATCTCTAATGTCAAAAGAATCCCCAGATTGGTGATCAGATGTCAGCGTCACTTCGCCTGCTCCGAGTTAAAAAAAAAATAAAAATTTCAACTTCAAAACTAGATTTATGTTTGTGGACAAACACAGGGATGTTTAGGCAACTTTTTTATGACATATGTGACATGTAAAGTTTCAAGTATAAGTTCCATCCAGGAAGGATATGTAGCTCTGTTTATAATAAATGGTGGGGCTTTGAATTATGACGTCACGTGTCATGTGATGACGTCATCATGATGTCACATCTAATTTCATCTATAACACATCCCGGTCTAGGTGCATACCAACTTTGAACCCAATCGGACCTGTAGTGCAAATTACAATGCACTTCCGGTTTTAACCGGAATGAAGGGTCACGTGATTTTGCACGTAATATTAAAAAATGAAGACCCTAGATTATTCTATCAACTCCTGCAAAAGTCATGTTCAGGTCTCTTACAGAGTATTTTATATTGATTTTCAAAGATTAAAAAATAAAATCTTAACGAAAAGGCTGTTTCAGCGTGTTTGCCGAAACAGCCAATGAAGTCAGCAGTGTTTAAAAAAAAATACAACATTTGCATTTGCTGTAATTTTCAGCCATGGATAGACTTGGGGTAAGTAATATATAGCAAATATTGTTACACTGACTTGTTTTAAGTCTGAGCTTTGAATTTTGATGCTGGAAAAACCAAGAAAAATAACCGTGTTCTTGTAGTCTGGTTCCCTGACCCACTTCAGATGAAACGGAGCAATTTATAGAGATCAGGAAATTGTAAGATCAGGGAACCAGTCTAGCTGGCTTGTACCCGTTCATAGGCCTGTAATCGATTGCAAACAAAATGTGGACTACATGTAACTAAATATGGCAAATTGGGGCAGTGTTTGAAAAAAAGCCAGTTTTTTTTCAACGCTGGTCGGCCGACCAGCGTTGGAAATTGATACCAAAATACCACTTTCTGGAAAATTATAGCACACCGGGTGCCATGATTTTACAGGAAGCTTTAGACTGTCATTCACTAACACTCCAGTCAGGTATTTCATAATAATTTGGTACAGTAAAACCTGCCTTAGTGACCCACTGTACACAAAGACCACCTGTCCGTAACGACCATTTAAAAATCCCCCGCTGACAAATCCCATTACTTAAGTCCTGTATAGAAAGACCACCTGCTTAACGTGACCAGCGACGGCACATTTTGCTTCCATAGGAATGCTAAAGTCTGTACAGAACGACCACAAGCTATGACAAGTGACCACAAAATGCCCACTTGCTTCAGTACAATGGTTGATTCCTTACTCAAAAGAAAAAGCAAGAGCCACATAAACCACTTCAGAGGATTAGTAACTCAACCACAGGATTTCCAGGACATTTTCAAGCTTAATCTGGGTCTGTGGTCCATCAACAATGCCCCTATTGTCAGTGCAGCAGCTTGGATAGCTGAGCTCCATTCAACAAAATGCACTAGGCAAGTAGGCATGTGCATGACTTGAAAGCATTCACATTTATGACTTTTAATTTCATTATTTTTTTTAAAAGAAATAGTTATGTTTTAAACAAATAACTAAAGGAAAGAAGAACATACATGTACTTTTGGATGAGGCAGGTTTAGACTGTAATGACCCCCCGCATTAAGTTAGGGAAGCCAAAGGGAGGGCAAATATTTCCAACCTGTACAGAGAGACCACCTGTCTATAAAGACCGCTTTTATTGTTTCCCTTGAGCGGTCTTTCTGTACAGGTTTGACTGTATTTTGTTTTTGTTTTTTAATGTTTGCAAATGTTGTGTATTCAGTCCCTTTAAAGGGAATATACATCATTTGCTTTTGCTGTAAATTTCAGAAATGGATGGAATTGGGGGGTTGGAAATATATAGCAAATATAGTTACACTGACTTTTTTGAGGTTTTGGGTTCGAAAATGCTATAAAAACCAAGAAAAACAACCATTTTCCTGTAGTCTGGTTCCCTGACTCCATATAAGAAGAAACAGAGTGCAGTTTACATACATTGGGGAACTGTAAGGTCAAGAAACCAGTCTAGCTGGATTGTACCCGTTCATAGGTGTGTAATGGATTGCAAACAAGTGCGATGGTCAATTGGGGCCAGTATTTCAAAAAAGCCACTGACCAGCGTTGGAAATTGATACAAAAATACCACTTTTCTTGAAAATGACAGTATACCAGGTGCCATGATTTTACAGGATGCTTTACACTGTCATTCACTAACAGTCCAGCAAGGTATTTCAAAATGATTTAGTAGTTTTATTTTTTGATGTTTGCAAATGGTTTATTTTCCTTTTAAGCTAGCAATCCCTATACATAGAAACATACCCTTTGACTTGAGATGCATTTTGTTAACTTTAATTTAATATCATTTTTTGGAAAGATTATTTTGTTTTCATTGACGCACCTAAAAGATTTCTGCCATAAAATGGCTCCTGTATATGTGCAAAGATTGAAGTTAATTTCAAAGACAATCCACTCAACAAGAAGAAATTCATTTGCATTTTTCTGACTAGCTTTGGTCAAGGCGTTCGTCTTTATTCGTCCGTTCGCAGTAAACGATCGGCAACATATCCTCGTTATGCAGTGCATTAAAAATTCAACGTGAACAGCGACCTCATGCGGCCACTATTTTATGCAAATCATTTGCGAAAGCTTACGTTTTTCCTTATTTTGCACTAGATTTCCAGCGAACGACCTCATATGCGAATACAGATTTTGTGTAGGCGGGGCTAATATGTGGAGTGTCCAATCACATGTTGGTAAATCTCGACGTCATCCAATCATTTGCAGCTACTCGCCCTTTGCGGGCGTGTCAGAAACCACATTTTTTTGTGCATTGGTGCTGTGTGTAAGGTGAGACATCGACACACAACGTGTGTATGTATTATGTACAGTACATGTCTAGCCGGCCGGTACCGCTAGCTAAATAATGCAAGTTTCCACACAACGAATCGACCAATAAGAAAACAACTTTTAAGGTTAGGCTATTCGCATAATGAGCACCACCCCCAAAACCTCACATGGAGGACTGGACCAAGGCATTCGTCGGGATCCAAATGATTTGCATAAAATAGTGGCCGCATGACTAATGAGGTCGCTGTTTGCGTTGTATTTTTTAATGCAATGCATAGCGAGGATATGCCGCCGATCGTTTACCGCGTACGGTCGAAAACTGACAAGCGCCTTGTCCAAGGCTATTTTCTGACCTGAATTATCGGTCGCTTCAGGAGTTGTCCACGTCGGATACCCAACAGCTACTCCAAGGGCTGTGTTTATTATGATGTCACCAGGACAACCGTTGGTGATGTTGGGGGGATCAACATCTGAGAGAAAATAGCAACAACAAAAAATATCAAAAGATCTATCCTCACGTAAAGTTGTTTCAAGTCTAGTCTTTTTTTAAACTGTCACTTTTTAAATTTCACATAACAACATTGATACCAGTAAATAAAAGATACCTTTTTGGGACTTGAGTCACAGAGCTCGTATCAGGAGCTTGAGACACCATCACGGTGTCGTTATCAACTGGTGTTGTTGCGTTGTGAATTTAGGACTATAAAATACTGACTAACTGGTAGTATTGGGCATGCCTACGTGAGTATTACGAACGTTCAACCAAAAAGACGGTAAGAGGCACTGGATTTTTAGAAGTCCAAATTTCATGTGACACTGGAAAAGTGTTTATAAGACCAGCTAGCCATGTCTTTATCATCCGTTTAAGACTAGCCACGTGACGGGCTCTCAACCAATAGGAATGGGTGAACTGTCTTAGGTATTTATGAATATTATTTATATATTACATTGTGGCAAACGTACCGACGACTTCAATGATGTAGCTGCAGGTAGCGTTGTTACCAGCGCTGTCCTCTGCATACACCGAGACCTCCGTCAAACCGATAGGATAAGAAGACAACTCGTTGGTGTAGACAACAGTTGCTAACCCACTATTGTCATCTATCGCTACCACGAGGTGATCCTCAGAGAACCAGGAATCTGACCCAGGGTCGTTGTCGAAGGAAAACCTCGCCGGACAGTCGTTATCGAAGTGAGGAGGTGTCATGTCGTACGCTAGAAAGTAAAAAATACAGCACGTAAAATGATCCCCCTGGCATGGTGGATGTGACCCTAGATGACCTTTGACATGCTGCTCTATCAAAGGAAGCTGCCTTTTACTGAGCAAGTGCCCCTTTTTAGTGATGCCCCCCCCCCCCCCCCCAGTTTCAAAAACCATTCCGCCGCCACTGGTTGTGTAGCCAGTTTATCATTGATGAAAACCATTTAAACTGTTGTTCACAATCAAATCTTCTTGTCTAGTTTCGGTTTGCGGTAACACCATGTGGTAATAACTACGGTACCGTCGCTTAGTACATTTAGATCTGATAAGAACAGTCTGATAAAATAACAGCGTTGCTGTTGAAACCCCTCAGCCAGAGTCAAATTATCATCCGGAAACCATTAACCTTTAACTCAACATGGTGACCTTGACCTTTGGTCTTTGACCCCAGAACCAGTCCCAACATGCCTGTACCAATGGAAAAACCCCTACCGAAGTTAGACACCAAAATTTCATTTCTAACTCAAGTTATCATTCGGAACCATTTACATTTAACTCGCCACGGTGACCTTGACCTTTGACCTTTTGACCCCAAAACCAATCCCAGCTTGCTTGTACCCAAGGGCAACCCCCTACCTAAGTCAAACACCAAAATCTCATTTCTTACTCAAGTTATCATCCGGAAACCATTTACATTTAACTCACCACGGTGACCTTGACCTTTGACCTTTTGACCCCCAAACCAATCCCAACTTGCCTACTCCCAAGGGCAACCCACTACCAAAGTTAGACACCAAAATCTCATTTCTAACTCAAGTTATCATCCGGAAACCATTTACCTTTAACTCACCACGGTAACCTTGATCTTTGACCTTTTGACCCCAAAACCAATCCCAACTTGCCTACTCCCAAGGGCAACCCACTACCAAAGTTAGACACCAAAATCTCATTTCTAACTCAAGTTATCATCCGGAAACCATTTACCTTTAACTCACCACGGTAACCTTGATCTTTGACCTTTTGACCCCAAAACCAATCCCAACTTGCCTACTCCCAAGGGCAACCCCCTACCAAAGTTAGACATCAAAATCTCATTTCTAACCCAAGTTATCATCCGGAAACCATTTACCTTTAACTCACCATGGTGACCTTGACCTTTGACCTTTTGACCCCAAAACCAATCCCAACTTGCCTACTCCCAAGGGCAACCCTCTACCAAAGTTAGACACCAAAATATCATTTCTAATTCAAGTTATCATCCGGAAACCATTTACCTTTAACTCACCATGGTGACCTTGACCTTTGACCTTTTGACCCCAAAACCAATCCCAACTTGCCTACTCCCAAGGGCAATCCACTACCAAAGTTAGACACCAAAATATCATTTCTAACTCAAGTTATCATCCGGAAACCATTTACCTTTAACTCACCATGGTGACCTTGACCTTTGACCTTTTGACCCCAAAACCAATCCCAACTTGCCTACTCCAAAGGGCAACCCTCTACCAAAGTTAGACACCAAAATATCATTTCTAACTCAAGTTATCATCCGGAAACCATTTACCTTTAACTCACCACGGTGACCTTGACCTTTGACCTTTTGACCTCAAAACCAATCCCAACTTGCCTACTCCCAAGGGCAACCCCCTACCGAAGTAACAACCCCAAACAACATTTCTAACTCAAGTTATCATCCGGAAACCAAGCTACCCGGACGGACGGACGGACGGACGTTCCAGCCAGACGGAATTGTGGGGTGATAGCATTGTGTTCCCATTATCCCTTTTTCTAAAGATTCTCTTCTGGGGTGATGTTTTTCTATTGTGAAAAAAGTGGGGTGATGTGTCCTGAAAGGAACATCACCCCATAAGGGTGGTATGGTCAGAACGGACATACGGACGGACGGACATTCCAGCCAGACGGAATTGTGGGGTGATGGCATTGTGTTCCCATTATCCCTTTTTCTAAAGATTCCCTTCTGGGGTGATGTTTTTCTATTGTGAAAAAAGTGGGGTGATGTGTCCTGAAAGGAACATCACCCCACAAGGGTGGTATGGTCAGAACGGGCGGACGGACGGATGGACGCCCTAGGCGATGACAATACCCCTCGAGCCTCTCGGCTGAGGGGTAAAAACACAATGCCCAGCAGACAACCAATCAGAATCCACCAACACGAGCACCAATCATAATACATCCCATTCACACTCCCAATCTTAACACAGCCTACTTTAAGGAGAAGCATCTCTTAGTCTCCAGACGATGACTAGAGCAGGCTAGTCGAAACGTCAAAACTTATCTCACTCAGCCTCAGTGAAGATAAATGCGAGAAGTCCCACCGCCTTTCAACGTACTTAGCGAAAGTAGCAGTGTTGTAGTCGAGTACTTTTTTCCAAGTTCCGAGTACTTTTTTTCAAGTTCCGAGTACTGCCGAGTACTGCCGAGTACTTAGGTTACCGAATACGAGTATGAGTACTTGTACTTCTGAGTACAAGTACAGGTCTCCGAGTATGAGTACTTGTACTCCCGAGTACGATTACGAGTACTTGTACTTCCGAGTACGAGTACTTGTATTCCAAGTACGAGTACAAGTCCTTGTTTTTCCGAATACGGCCATACAGCGAATGGTTTATTGTGCGTACTTGGCCCAGGCCCCAGTGAGACCGATATACAGACCCACTCACGGCTAGCTGTTAAATGTGTTTGTCCGGACGTGCACAGAGGAAAATCAGGAAACTTGGATTTCTCCACAAGCCAATCAACAATTTCAAAAATGAAAGTATCGATGAAATATGGCCTGGTAAGTCAAGCTATACCATATTTTTTTCGAGTACTGCTATTCAAGCACTTTGATGATCAAGTACAATCTCGACATGTCGAGTATGAGTACTTTGCTGCCCGAGTACGAGTACCATCATTTCGTACTTTGACATTCGAGTACAAGTACAAGTATGAGTCCTACAACACAGGAAAGTAGATAATAAAACAGGACAAGGTCATTTTAGAACTAAGCCGGACTGTTCTTATCACAACTGAATCTACTAGCGACAGTAGTTATTACCTTATGGTGTTACAGCAAACTGAAACTATAATGATACTCCACCAAAAGTCTAAAATGTGTAATCTTCTGGTAACCATTCCTAATCTTTCAAGTTCATGTATTTGCAGATATGCTTCATTGGTTTAAGTTCATCTCATACTTGTGGCAAAACAGAAATCAAGTACGGTAGTACTACCCACCACGGACTTCCACGATGAACGTGCAGACTGCAGTATTGCCCGAAGGATCCGCCCCAGTTATAGTCACTGGATAAGTCCCTACAGACTGCATCTGATTGTTGGAAATGGGAGTGGAACTCACGGCAACCTCAATGCCGGAGTTATCTGTGAAGTCTGGTTCCTGCCACCCTACGGTGACGGTGCTCGCCATCGAAAGTTGAATGATGAAGACCTCAAAGTCTGACGGGCAATTCTGAACATCAGGGCTTTCCATGTCTGCAAATTAAAAGCAAAGTACAAGTAATGAAAACAAAAGCTAAAGCAGTGCTCACCAGGACTTATTCTGGCTAAATTTTCGGCCCCGCTGGGCTTTCATCAGAGCTGGACTGACTGTTTGAATGCAGAAAAATCCACATCCAAACCGTCTGGTGTGAGCGTTCCAAGCTTGTAGATGATGTGTTGCTCCATCTCCAAGCGCTGGGCGTTCGATGTTGTCATGGTCAGGACACACACGCGTCACACATGTGTAGTGGCTTGGAGAAGTGGCGTGCCACAGGGTGTCCGGGGAGATTGAGTCGGACACTTGGAAGGTGCTCAGTATATCGGTCAGCCAAACGACGCTTCATTTCGCCGATGTAGTGGACACCGCATAGTTGGCAGGAGATACAATACACCAGGTTGGTGGATACGCAAGTGAATTGTCCTCTGGGTGTATAACTGCCTTTGGGACTGTCGATCTTGGGTGGATTGTGGATGGACCTGCACATATTACAGTGTGGGCGATTGCAAGCTGTGGTGCCAGTGTTGATGTCGTTATAAAACATCGGAGACTGGTGGGAGCATTGATCGGAATAAAGTCTGTCCAATGGACAGACATTTTGAAGTAATTCCTAACGTCACTTAATTGACTGAGCGAGTTACCTTTTTTTCAGTGCGTTCGATTACTTCTCCCGCGCTTACTCGTTCAATTTACCTCTCACGTGACTTCTCGTGCTTACTCGAGCCTGGCCCAAGTAACCGACTCGCCGAGCCGGTTCCTTGGGTAAGTATCCCATAAGGCCATGCAATAAACATGGCTGCCAACGTGACGTCCGACGGGCGCCTCATGTGTCATGTCAAGTTCAACTTTCCAGCTCTTGCACGAAACTTTACCCGAAACCGTTCCTTGCTTAGCTTCACTGCGCATATCTGTCATCACGCGAGGAGCCAGGCGCGAGTAAGCTGGGGGAAGTAATGGAACGCACTATTTCTTTAAACTAGACTACAATTACATCTAATAATTTCTAAATGTAATCAAAGCTTTTCATTCTCAGGTTTTTTGGGGGGTCTTTCTCATGCATACCTATTTCTCCACATATTGCAGTAAGCTTGTTAAACTCGATAACAAGACTCAAATGAATCAAAACATTTCAACTTATTTTTCTTATAATTCATTTGTTTCTGGTAATGAAACCAAGGATTCCTGAAGAGTGCTGTAGGCACTGTAGCACGCAGGCCTAAAGAAACCTGCGGAGAGAAGACAATGACAAAAAAATGACAGTTTTAGAGGTTGGAGGAAAACCCCAGAAGAATATTCTGGGGAAAACCTCGGAATCAGGCAGGGACTGAAAATCCAAATCCAGATATTGGCCCAGGCGGATTTCGAACCCGGGTCACAGCGGTGGAAGGCGAGGAAAGTACCGCTACGCCAACCTAACTCACCTGTTTTACTTTACCTGCTAACCAATCAGCAGGAGGTTGTGGGTTCGATTCCCACCTGAGTAAACTTCTGATTTTAGTTTTCTCCCAAGCCCTCGAACAACACTGACAATGTTAATAAAGTATGTCGGTGAGGGACAAAACCTGATTGTTCAAGTTGCGACCGATTTGTGATTGATTTGTGATTGACTTTGGATTGCCATCTTTTTTTCATTCACTTACCATAAACTGTAACTGTAAAACGACACTCTGCCAGATTTAGTGCTTTGTCGACGGCGACGTAAACTACCTCTGTCGGCCCGATCTCGAATATGTTGCTCCTTTGAAGTCCTATCACCTCGACCGATCCTGAATTGTCGACAGCTGTCGGTTCTTCGTAGGATGCACGTCCAAAGGGCTCTCCGAGATCAGTGGAGTAATTCAAATTCCCCGGACATCCGTAAATAACAGGATTTTCAATGTCTGTGAGGAACAATTAGCACCGTTGATGAAAAAGCCAAAAATAAATATCAGTTTAAAAATGACATAAACAATAATCTTTCTCACGTACTCAAATGTTTCTCTACAAAGAATATGTATTTTGTGTTTTGATTGACTTGTGATTGACATGTGATGGACCTGTGATTAAATTGTGATTGATTAGTGATGGACTTGTGATTGACTTGTGATTGTCTTGTTATTGACATGCGATTGACTTGTGATTGACTTGTGATTGCCCTGAGATTGACCTGTGATTGACTTGTGATTGACATGTGATTGACTTGTGATTGTCTCGTTATTGACATGCGATTGACTTGTGATTGACTTGTGATTGCCCTGAGATTGACCTGTGATTGACTTGTGATTGACTTGTGGTTGACTTGTGGTTGACTTGTGATTGACTTGTGATTGACTAGTGATTGACTTGTGGTTGACTTGTGATTGACTAGTGATTGACTAGTGATTGACTTGTGATTGACATGTGATTGACTTGTGATTGACTTGTGATTGACATGTGATTGTCTTGTGATTGACTTGTGATTGACTTGTGATTGATTTGTGATTGACTTGTGATTGATTTGTGATTGACTAGTGATTGATTTGTGCTTGACTTGTGATTGACTTGAAATTGACTTGTGATTGACCTGTGATTGACATGTTATTGAGTTGGGATTAAAATGTGATTGACTTGTGATTGACTAGTGATTGACTTGTGATTGACTTGTGATTGACTTGTGGTTGACAAGTGATTGACTTGTGATTGACTTGTGGTTGACTTGTGATTGACTTGTGATTGACTTGTGATTGACTTGTGACTGACTTGTGTCCAGACATGTGCTTCACTTGTAATTGATTTGTGCTTGGATTGTGATTGACTTGAAATTGACTGGTAATTGACCTGTGATTGACATGCTTTTGAGTTGTGATTGACATGCTATTGAAATGTGATTGACATGTGATTGACATGTGATTGACATGTGATTGACTTGCGATTGACTTGTGATTGACATGTGATTGATGTGTGATTGACTTGTGATCATGGAGGACATTACATCAAGTTTTCTCAAATCGCCTGATGTTTACACCGACTTCTTTATGTTATATATGGCATCTAGGCCCTATTATTGTTGAAAATTCTTTCGCGTGAGCGTCAGGCGTCGTCGGCGCACAAACACGTTCAAATTTAACTGGCGATGGTGTCCCAGACTAATACCCACCCCCAATAACTTTGGATCATACGAAATACGCAGTGGATGGACCGGGAACCAGTCTAGGTCTCCCCCAACTCTCCTAGGCCATTGAAGGGGTACTTGTGCACAAAGGCCATAGCACAACTCCAGTAAAATCTAACACCAGATGGTCCTGCATAGATCCCAATGGTGTTAAATTTAACACCGCTGTAGGGTACCTCTAAATCTACAGATGTCCAACTGGGAGCTATTGGGTTATCGCCATACATTCATAATATGAGTTATCTTACCGATTATCGTTATGGTGAAATGACAGGAACCATTATTTCCCGCCGAGTCGGTCCCTATCAGTTCGATAGTGACCGGGCCTAAGGGAAACAGCGCCCCCTGTTGGATGTCCGAGGTTATTGCGATTGGCTGATCAGGAATGTTGTCTGTGGCGGTTGGGTTTGGCCAGGATACCGGCCCGTAGGATCGGTTGAAAAGCGTGGGCAAGGTCATGTTGTCTGGGCAGGTCAACACTGGAGGGATGTTATCTGCCAAAAAGCAAAAATGTAAAACGGATTTGAAACTCGGAGACGACGAGACAAAACCAAATTGAACGGGCGTTTCGAATTGAGCTGGGACCAATTATCAGTGGTCTCGCAGAACTGTCCTGGATCCCATCAGTATATTTTTAATTTATTATTATTATTTTTTTTAGTAACTATTTCCACAAAAAATAGACAGGTCTGAATGACAAATAATTGAAAACCAAGCCAAAAAAAAACCATTACAATGCATAGATTCTTGCTTTTTCCTCCATTTCGAATAAACACAAGAATTAGGTAAGAAGGTAAGAATTTCTTAGTGCTAAGAAGATTTCATTGGTGGGTAGTACGAAAGAGTGTCATAGGTATATCCATTAATCGAATACATCTATGACAACCAAAAACCCCAGAAAACAGTTAGCAAACAGAACGAAATAACAGCTCTAAAGATGTAGGGACACTAAGGCTTTTGAGTCCGAGTCCGGGTCATTTGTCTTAGTGACCCGAGTCCGAGTCATTTGCCTTCATGACTCGAGTCAGAGTCAGAGTCACGGAAAGTGGAAACTGAGTCACGAGTCATACTAGTCTGTCTGTCACCTTCAATGAAGACTGTTATGTTGCAGGATGCCACATTCCCTGCCCTGTCTGTGGCAATGTAGGTGACGATAGTCGACTCCACCGCGGGAAATTGCGAGTTATTGGCAGGAGTCGTCTCAATGAGTATCTCCCCTGGTACGTTATCTGTGACATCAGGGACTGGCAGGGAGACGGCCACAGTAACAACTCCATCTGGGATGTCCAGGAGAACACCTGTTGGGCAGGCTATCTTGGGCGGTTCATCATCTAATGAAAGGATAAACAGATGCATCTGTTAAAGGTAGAGTACATCATTGCAGCTGTCCACAAAAGCAACTGACAAAAATGTTGTTGAAAAGCATACTTGTTTAAAGAGGTTGTGGAATGCTCGAAGACATTTCTGTCATTTTTCGGGTATATGTAGCCTAAGGTGTGATGAAATAAAAACGACTATTGTTTCTGTCATGAAATGAGTACAAAAGGTACTTTTGAGAGCTGTTTTTCAGGTCCAGTTTCGACCCGAACGTGCAACTGTGTAAAAGTCGTCGTTGCGGGCAGCAAACAAAACACAGTAAATCGTGACGTAATAAACAGGACTCGTGTATGCTACTGTGCATCGGGAGTCCTGTTTATTACGTCACGATTTACTGTGTTTTGTTTGCTGCCCGCAACGACGACTTTTACACAGTTGCACGTTCGGGTCGAAACTGGACCTGAAAAACAGCTCTCAAAAGTACCTTTTGTACTCATTTCATGACAGAAACAATAGTCGTTTTTATTTCATCACACCTTAGGCTACATATACCCGAAAAATGACGGAAATGTCTTCGAGCATTCCACATCCTCTTTAAAGATAGTAATGGTACTAAAATCCCTGTGAAATCATTCTTTCTGGCATGCTGTTGTTTTTAAGAAAACAATAAAAGAAGATCATTTCCACAGATGCGTCTACAGACGCATTTTTGAAAATTTCTGTTTTAGTACAAGTAGTTCATTTTTAATGGGTGCGCGCAAGCATTGACACGCATGCATCGTTGCTATTCGTTGGTTCAGTGCATGACACCGTGTAACTGCTATCGGCTGAATGAGAACGTTTCCCAGACCTTGATTTCAGGAGAAATTCAAAAACATTTCTCGGCAACTTTGAATTGAAATCAGGATTCTAGAGTACGGAGTGAGTAAAAAAAAAAGGAAACCCAAATGTTGGGACCATTGTTTTAGTGAAGTTCTGCATGTAGCACTTTCAAAATCTAGGATATGAAAGCCCAATTGATAAGCATTCTTTTAGTACAAGAATCATTCAAATCACTGATGCACTTTTCAAGTTATGGAGTTTTAAACACAACCACCGTTTTAAAGTTCTGTCAGCAGATCACAAAAAAGATGTGCGTTCTTTCAGTGAAACAAAAACAATTGCCACACATCCTTATGTGATTTGTTTTCGTTTTGCTAAAAGAACACTGACCTTTTTTGTAATTTGTGGACAAAACCTTAACACAGCGTTTGTGTTTAAAACTCCGTAACTTGAAAAGTACATGAGTGATTTGAATGATTCATGTACTTAAAGAAAGCTTATGAGTTGGACTTTCATATCCTACATTTTGACAGTGCTACATGCAGAACTTCACTAAAACAATGGTCCCAACATTGGGGTTTCGTTTTTTTCTACTCACCCTGTATTGTTTCCTTGGAATACACAGCTCAGGAGTTGAATTGCGAAGGACAATGCTACAACGTGGTCGTGCCACAGGCACGTAAAGGCACCTCTGCCGGCCAGCCGTATGACCCTTGTTTGACCACGGGGCACAGCAAGAGATAAAAAGTGTTTGTTGTTTTTTCGGAAGGAGGAAAACCGGAGGGTCCGGAGAAAAACCCTAGTAGCACAGGAGAGAACCAACGCACAACTCTACTCATTTGGTCCGAGCCGGGAATCAAACCCGGGCCACAGTGGTGAGAGGCGAGCGCTTTACGCACTTGCCACCCATGAAACCCAATAATGTCTGGGCATTGTAAGATGACAACAACAAATTTTGCCACAAACATAAATATAGATTGAGGGGACGTTACGTACCATTTACTGTGACAGTAGCATTACACACAGCCTCGTTCCCATCGAAATCGGCCACGTGGTAGACTACAACGTGTGGGGTCGAGGGTGTGTGTTCAAACCTCGTTGGGCTCATTGTACCGGATGGCAGAGTGATGCTACCGAATGTTACCCAGAATGACACAACGCCAGTATTGTCAGTCGCCGATGCGGCGAGGAGTGACACGAGGCCATACGATTCGCCATCGACTGTGTCAGTGACAACATCAGCAGGACACGTGACATTGACAGGTGGCTCAGGATCTACAGTCAATGACAATCACACTCAATTTTAAGACATATAACAACGGCAGTGCAGGGTGGCTAAAAACAAGCGGAACCCAAACCCCAAAAATTATACTTCACATTTTAAAAAATATGCACTGGTAAGCAGCAAATATAATGAAACAAAAGCCAATTTCATAAGCTACTTTTAGACGACAAAAATTTACTGAAATTGCTCAATCCGTTAAAAGAATATATATCACCATTTAACCCTAAAGGGCCAGGGGGGCGGAATCCCCCTCAACTTTCTCCGCCATAGCCTCAAATTTTCGTTTTTTCGCAACCTGAGCTAATATGACTTTTTAGCCTCGAGCCTTGCGCATCTTTTGATACCAAAATCATTAAAATCGGGCCACGGGTTGTCGCACAGTGAAAAATTTTCCGGCGCCACGCGGTGTGAAAACTGAATTTTTCCATATACGTCGTGTACACAGCGCAGAATTACCATTTGTACATATGTATAATTAATTAGCCATAATTCCAAAACCCTTTGATCTATAGTCATGAAATTTCTTCGGTATGTTTATGACGAGTTGCTCTATGCATGTACCAAGTTTCAAAATTCTTCGTCACTCGATGACTGAGATCTTAGAAGGGGGTGGAATGCACGCGTTTAAATTCGCGCAACAAAGTTGTGCTACTTATCACAAGATTTTTTTTTTTTAAATCGCATATGTACATGTATGTCACATGTGCCTGAACTAACTGTTGTAGAACCGTAGAACCGCGCCTGAAGAATGCTCTCTTAAGAAATGAAATTTGCCAAACATTTCAAGGTGATCACTTACCCGTCACGGTCACATTGAGGTCACAGGAAGCATAGTTTTCACGCGTGTCAAAAGCGTAGTAGGTTAACACAACAGGAACAGAGTTTTGGTACCAGAAAGACACATTGTCCCCGACTTCAAAACGTCCTACATGTAAACTGGACCTGACAAAGCTAGGTCCCAAACCAACATTGTCGGACCTATCAAGGAATTCTGGCAAGGGAACGAGCACCTGGTTCGATCCTTCTTGCGTTTCCACTGAGAAGGAAGACGAACAACTGACGGCTGGTGGCTCCATGTCTGCACCAAAAAAAAAGAAGAGAATACATGTATTCTTCATTTTCATTTTGTGGTTTTTTTTTAGATTTGACGTTGATGTTCATAAAAATGACGTGTTTCTTGTCCACTTGTTTTTTTTCCGTATAAACTAATTAGCAAAGACCATAAACTAGTAAGAATGCACGAGAAGCCCTGGTCGTCTTGCATGAAAGTCTTGCATGAAATTATACAATTACTCACTTGGTCAGGATTGTCGATTGAAATAAGCAGTTCCCATTTTGTTGAAAAATGCAAAAATAATAGCGGCCTCCATAATACAACTGTATCCTCACTTGTATGCCCCGAGACTCGTTAAATTGACACAGGGCCAGAGGCAGGGGTGATGCATAGTGACAGGTGTACGGAAGCCCCCTAACTTTCTAAGTTCGTAGCGCACAAAAATACCACCTCACTATCACATTACCACACATTTTCTTGCCTCTATTCAAAAAAGTTCACAAACTATGCCACAAATTGTTGCAAACAATTTTTGTCAAGTATTTAACCCTTACCCTACTAGACCCTCCAACGCATGCCAATATGTGCCTCAAGAAAATCTCCTATGTTTTTTGCATGGCCCTCCAATATCTGCCATGTCATTTCAAGGGTAACTGGACAGGCACTCCAATACATGCCACAGAGAACAATGAGAGTCCTCTGATAACAAAGTGAGTGCCCCCAGCTGGTCAGTATCAGGCACCCTCCAGGGCCTCCAACTCCTGCCAATTGGAGCCTTCACTGTTAAGACTAACTATCTGCCAATAAACTGCAGCTGGAGGGCATTGGCATAACCAACTGACATGCAGTAAACTACCCTCAGAGAGTAAGGGTTAATGTATTTTGTTTGATTTTTTTCAACAGTTACAATTTGGTACAATTTGGCGAGTTAGGGGGTTCATTTTTGGTATTTTTTTGGGGGGAGGGGGAGCCGACCGACCGAAAGACCAACACCTGAGTGACTTGTACAAGTTCTGTTGTCACAGCTTAAAAAAAAATCACCGTTGGTGTAGCGGTGACTGCTCTATGTTCCGACACCCCTATGTTCCGACAACCTGCACATAAGATTGTGTACTCCCGGTTAGGGTTAGGGTTGGGTTAGGGTTAGGGTTGGGTTAGGGTTAGCCAGTTAGGGTTAGGAATAGGAATATTTGCAGTTGAAACATTGGGGTGTCGGAACATAGGGGTGTCAAACTTAGGGGTGTCGGAACATAGGGTGTTGTTATGGAGTACCAAAGTGAGACATCATTTAGAACCAGAAAGTGTAGTGCAAACGAATGGACTGCAACATTGTCATTTTCGACGTCTTCGTTGGGAGGTGTAATGGTAGCATACGCCTGCCCGCTATCCGTATTTGCATTTATTGACCCATCTTATGGACAGGTTATAGTGGGCATTTCATCGTCTGTAAAAATGAGAAACACAAGTCAGAACCCAATTGAATGTTAGCATTATATTATAAATTTTCCTACTTGGTATATATACATTTTATCAAAGAATCTGATCAACATTCCCACTGTACACGATCTAACACGTCTGGAAACATTGTACCTTCTCATCCTCAGTCGGAATCGGGAAGGTAGACCTTCAAATTCAGAGGGGTGCAAACCTGGAATACGCTTCCATCTCATCTTAAAAACCTGTCTACACCCAACATTAAACATTTTATTTCGGAAATCCACTCACTACAGTAGTTGTTTTTTAGGCTTTAAGTTTTAGTTTAGATTCTTCGGACGTTTAGATGTTGTTTTTTTTATTAAGAACCACTTACCTTCAACTTCAATTGTCAATGTGCAGAAATTCTCGTTGCCAGCAACATCTGTTATCTTGTAGTACAAGCTGTTGGTGCCGAACTGGAAAGTCCTATTAGCACCAGCAGAGAGAACTTCGCCATTTTGATCATTAACCGTGATATTGACACTCAAGACTTCAACGTTGTCATTTTGCATGTCTTCACTGGGAACTGTGCTAGTAGCATACGACTGCCCGTCATCCGTATTTAAGTTTATTAACCCATTTGCTGGACAGGTTATAGTGGGCATTTCATTGTCTGTAAAAATGAGAAATCCAAGTCAGAAACCAATTGAATGTTAGCATTATGTTATAAACTTCGCAACTTTTATTTCCATATTTGTTAATCCAAGATTGAAATGGCTTTGACGGTTCATACACATTCTGTGGCAGCACAGTATCTATAATAGGCTTCTTTTCCCCTTTCTCATCGGCAACAAGAGAAAGGCTTAGAAGCTCCTCCTTACGTGTTCCACTTTTAAGCAGAGGCATACCCTTTTTCTTAAGAGAACAAAACGGTCCAAACTACATCCACTTTACTTCGCCAGTTATAAGGGAAACTTATTTTCTCCAAAGGGTGTAATGAATTTCAGCATGACGACAAAAGTGAGCAACATGCATACATATAGTGGAAGTGATTTCTAAGCAATTAGTGTTTTTAGGAAGAGTTATTTTTCTATGAAGAACGACTTACCACCAACTTCAATGGTCAATGTGCAGGAATTTTCATTGTCAGAAGTATCTGTTATGATGTAGTACACATAGTTGGTGCCATACGGGAAAGTCATTTGATCACCAGGATGGAACATATCTCCGCCAAAAAGAAGCCTTCTTCGACGCGATGCGCCATTTGGATCAACAGTCGTGATAACGACACTGGCGACTGCAACATTGTCATTTTCGACGTCTTCGTTGGGAAGTGTAATGTTAGCATACGCCTGCCCGCTATCCGTATTTGCATTTATTAACCCATCTGATGGACAGGTTATAGTGGGCATCTCATCGTCTGTAAAAATGAGAAACACAAGTCAGAACCCAATTGAATGTTATCATTATGTTATAAATTTTCCAACTTGGTATATATACATTTTATCAAAGTATCTGATCAACATTCCCACTGTACACGATCTAACATGTCTGGAAACATTGTACCTTCTCATCCTAAGTCAGAATCGGGAAGGTAGACCTTCAAATTCAGAGGGGTGCAAACCTGGAATGCGCTTCCATCTCATCTTAAAAACCTGTCTACACCCAACATTAAACATTTTATTTCTGAAATCCACTCACTACAGTAGTCGTTTTTTAGGTTTCAAGTTTTAGTTTAGATTTTTCGGACATTTAGATGGTTTTTTTTTTATTAAGAACCACTAACCTTCAACTTCAATTGTCAATGTGCAGTTATTCTCGTTGCCAGCAACATCTGTTATCTTGTAGTACAAGTTGTTGGTGCCAAACTGGAAAGTCCTATTAGCGCCAGGAGAGAGAACTTCGCCATTTTGATCATTAACCGTGATAACGACACTCAAGACTTCAACGTTGTCATTTTGCAATGCTTCACTGGGAACTGTGCTAGTAGCATACGACTGCCCATCATCCGTATTTAAGTTTATTAACCCATTTGCTGGACAGGTTATAGTGGGCATTTCATTGTCTGTAAAAATGAGAAACACAAGTCAGAACCCAATTGAATGTTAGCATTATGTTATCAATTTTCCAACTTGGTATATATACATTTTATCAAAGTATCTGATCAACATTCCCACTGTACACAATCTAACATGTCTGGAAACATTGTACCTTCTCATCCTAAGTCAGAATCGGGAAGGTAGACCTTCAAATTCAGAGGGGTGCAAACCAGGAATGCGCTTCCATCTCATCTTAAAAACCTGTCTACACCCAACATTAAACATTTTATTTCTGAAATCCACTCACTACAGCAGTTGTTTTTTAGGCTTTAAGTTTTAGTTTAGATTTTTCGGACGTTTAGATGGTTTTTTTTTTATTAAGAACCACTTACCTTCAACTTCAATTGTCAATGTGCAGTTATTCTCGTTGCCAGCAGAATCTGTTATCTTGTAGTACAAGCTGTTGGTGCCAAACTGGAAAGTCCTATCAGCACCAGCAGAGAGAACTTCGCCATTTTGATCATTAACCGTGATAACGACACTGGCGACTTGAACGTTGTCATAATGCATGTCTTGACTGAAAACTGTGCTGGTAGCATACGACTGCCCGTCATCCGTATTTAAGTTTATTAACCCATTTGATGGACAGGTTATAGTGGGCATTTCATTGTCTGTAAAAATGAGAAATCCAAGTCAGAAACCAATTGAATGTTAGCATTATGTTATAAACTTCGCAACTTTAATTTCCATATTTGTTAATCCAAGATTGAAATGGCTTTGACGGTGCATACACATTCTGTGGCAGCACAGTATCTATAATAGGCTTCTTTTCCCAAGAGTTAGTCTATCGCAGGTACATGTCAAACCAAAAAGTTTTAAGACTACAAAAATCTGGAAGGCTTTACTGAAGCATGCGACTCAGAATTAGCAATCCGTGTCCATTTCAATATTATCAGAACACGTAATAGGACCCTCGCTATCTATGTCACAAGCAACAGAATGCAATAAATCCATGGGGATATATGGACACTTTTTTTCAAGAACTACGTCCATGTCGTACGTTAGAGAAAATATCGCAAAATGGTATTATTCATATTCATCCGTTATTTAAACAACAGACACTCGAGTTATCAACTACGTTCTTCAAAATTGGACATTGGTTAATGTTCGCAATGAGTATCATTCAAATCATTTGGAGCAAATGAGGCAATGTGTAGTTTGGCCAAGTCTTAATCTAAGCACGAAATAACTCATATCACGATATATGTGATTTTGTTAACTATGACATAAAGGGGTCTTTGTCGGTCGTTCACCTTCTCTATCAATTGCAACCATCGCCAATTTACAAAGCAAAGAAACGATGAAGAAATAATTTAGAGAAACCAGTTTGCCGACCAGAGTAAACCTAATGTATTTAATTCTAAATCAGCAAAAGCGGTGGAAAATTCAAACTCACCCCAAACTGTGACTGTAATACTACAGCTGACTGTATTTCCAGCGTCATCTTGTGCCTGATAAGTTACTTGATAAGGCGTAGTACTGTAGTCAAATGAAACCGTATCGCCTACATCATGCACAGAGCCCCCTGCGTTGATCCAAGTGTCAGTGATTCCTACATTGTCTGACATACTCATGAAATTTTGAAGGGATACTGAAGCATATGACTCTGCAACATCTGTGTTTACGTTCACATTTGCAGGACACACAATCATGGGATCCTGGTCATCTATTTTGCAAAGAAAATGAAAGCGAGAATTTCATTAGGTGATACAGGCTTGAATTACTCATCGGCAACAAGAGAAAAGCTTAGAAGCTCCTCCTTAGGTGTTCCATTTTTAAGCAGAGGCACACCCTTTTTCTTAAGAGAACAAAACGGTCCAAACTACATCCACTTTACTTCGCCAGTTATAAGGGAAACTTATTTTCTCCAAAGGGTGTAATGAATTTCAGCATGACGACAAAAGTGAGCAACATGCATACATATAGTGGATGTGCTTTCTAAGCAATTAGTGTTTTTAGGAAGAGTTATTTTTTTATGAAGAACAACTTACCACCAACTTCAATGGTCAATGTGCAGGAATTTTCATTGCCAGAAGTATCTGTTATGATGTAGTACACGTAGTTGGTGCCATACAGGAAAGTCATTTGATCACCAGGATTGAACATATCTCCGACAAAAAGAAGCCTTCTTCGACGCGATGCGCCATTTGGATCAACAGTCGTGATAACGACACTGGCGACTGCAACATTGTCATTTTTGACGTCTTCGTTGGGAAGTGTAATGTTAGCATACGCCTGCCCGCTATCCGTATTTGCATTTATTAACCCATCTGATGGACAGGTTATAGTGGGCATCTCATGGTCTGTAAAAATGAGAAATCCAAGTCAGAACCCAATTGAATGTTAGCATTATGTTAGCAATTTTCCAACTTGGTATATATACCGGTACATTTTATCAAAGTATCTGATCAACATTCCCACTGTACACGATCTAACACATCTGGAAACATTGTACCTCCTCATCCTAAGTCAGAATCCGGAAGGAAGACCTTCAAATTCAGAGGGGTGCAAACCTGGAATGCGCTTCCATCTCATCTTAAAAACCTGTCTACACCCAACATTAAACATTTTATTTCTGAAATCCACTCACTACACCAGTTGTTTTTTAGGCTTTAAGTTTTAGTTTAGATTTTTCGGACGTTTAGATGGGTTTTTTTTTATTAAGAACCACTTACCTTCAACTTCAATTGTCAATGTGCAGTTATTCTCGTTGCCAGCAGAATCTGTTATCTTGTAGTACAAGCTGTTGGTGCCAAACTGGAAAGTCCTATCAGCACCAGCAGAGAGAACTTCACCATTTTGATCATTAACCGTGATAACGACACTGGCGACTTGAACGTTGTCATAATGCATGTCTTGACTGAAAACTGTGCTGGTAGCATACGACTGCCCGTCATCCGTATTTAAGTTTATTAACCCATTTGATGGACAGGTTATAGTGGGCATTTCATTGTCTGTAAAAATGAGAAATCCAAGTCAGAAACCAATTGAATGTTAGCATTATGTTATAAACTTCGCAACTTTAATTTCCATATTTGTTAATCCAAGATTGAAATGGCTTTGACGGTGCATACACATTCTGTGGCAGCACAGTATCTATAATAGGCTTCTTTTCCCAAGAGTTAGTCTATCGCAGGTACATGTCAAACCAAAAAGTTTTAAGACTACAAATATCTGGAAGGCTTTACTGAAGCATGCGACTCAGAATTAGCAATCCGTGTCCATTTCAATATTACCAGAACACGTAATAGGATCTTGGCTATCTATGTCGCAAGCAACACAATGCAATAAATCCATGGGGATATATGGACACTTTTTTTCAAGAACTACGTCCATGTCGTACGTTAGAGAAAATATCGCAAAATGGTGTTATTCATATTCATCCGTTACTTAAACAACAGACACTCGAGTTATCAACTACGTTCTTCAAAATTGGACATTGGTTAATGTTCGCAATGAGTATCATTCAAATCATTTAGAGAAAATGAGGAGGCAATGTGTATTTTGACCGAGTCTTAATCTAAGCACGAAATAACTCATATCACGATATATGTGATTTTGTTAACTATGACATCAAGGGGTCTTTGTCGGTCGTTCACCTTCTCTATCAATTGCAACCATCGCCAATTTACAAAGCAAAGAAACGATGAAGAAATAATTTAGAGAAACCACTTTGCCGATCAGAGTAAACCTAATGTATTTAATTCTAAATCAGCAAAAGCGGTGGAAAATTCAAACTCACCCCAAACTGTGACTGTAATACTACAGCTGACTGTATTTCCAGCATCATCTTGTGCCTGATAAGTTACTTGATAAGGCGTAGTACTGTAGTCAAATGAAACCGTATCGCCTACATCATGCACAGAGCCCCCTGCGTTGATCCAAGTGTCAGTGATTCCTACATTGTCTGACATACTCATGAAATTTTGAAGGGATACTGAAGCATATGACTCTGCAACATCTGTGTTTACGTTCACATTTGCAGGACACACAATCATGGGATTCTGGTCATCTATTTTGCAAAGAAAGTGAAAGCGAGAATTTCATTAGGTGATACAGGCTTGAATTACTCATCGGCAACAAGAGAAAGGCTTAGAAGCTCCTCCTTAGGTGTTCATTTTTAAGCAGAGGCACACCCTTTTTCTTAAGAGAACAAAACGGTCCAAACTACATCCACTTACTTCGCCAGTTATGAGGGAAACTTATTTTCTCCAAAGGGTGTAATGAATTTCAAAATGACAACAAGGTGAGCAACATGCATACATATAGTGGAAGTGCTTTATAAGCAATTTGTGTTTTTAGGAAGTGTTATTTTCTTTTATGAAGAACGACTTACCACCAACTTCAATGGTCAATGTGCAGGAATTTTCGTTGCCAGAAGTATCTGTTATGATGTAGTACACGTAGTTGGTGCCATACGGGAAAGTACTTTCATCACCAGGATTGAACATATCTCCGTCATTAAGAAGCCTTCTTCGACGCATTGCGACATTTGGATCAACAGTCGTGATAACGACACTGGCGACTGCAACATTGTCATTTTCGAAGTCTTCGTTGGGAAGTGTAATGGTAGCATACGCCTGCCCGCTATCCGTATTTGCATTTATTAACCCATCTGATGGACAGGTTATAGTGGGCATCTCATCGTCTGTAAAAATGAGAAACACAAGTCAGAACCCAATTGAATGTTAGCATTATGTTATCAATTTTCCAACTTGGTATATATACATTTTATCAAAGTATCTGATCAACATTCCCACTGTACATGATCTAACATGTCTGGAAACATTGTACCTTCTCATCCTAAGTCAGAATCGGGAAGGTAGACCTTCAAATTCAGAGCGGTGCAAACCTGGAATGCGCTTCCATCTCATCTTAAAAACCTGTCTACACCCAACATTAAACATTTTATTTCTGAAATCCACTCACTACAGCAGTTGTTTTTTAGGCTTTAAGTTTTAGTTTAGATTTTTCGAACGTTTAGATGGGTTTTTTTTATTAAGAACCACTTACCTTCAACTTCAATTGTCAATGTGCAGGAATTCTCGTTGCCAGCAGAATCTGTTATCTTGTAGTACAAGCTGTTGGTGCCAAACTGGAAAGTCCTAGTAGCACCAGCAGAGAGAACTTCGCCATTTTGATCATTAACCGTGATAACGACACTGGTGACTTGAACGTTGTCATGTTGCATGGCTTCACTGGGAACTGTGCTAGTAGCATACGACTGCCCGTCATCCGTATTTAAGTTGATTAACCCATTTGCTGGACAGGTTATAGTGGGCATTTCATTGTCTGTAAAAATGAGAAATCCAAGTCAGAAACCAATTGAATGTTAGCATTATGTTATAAACTTCGCAACTTTAATTTCCATATTTGTTAATCCAAGATTGAAATGGCTTTGACAGTTCATACACATTCTGTGGCAGCACAGTATCTATAATAGGCTTCTTTTCCCAAGAGTTAGTCTATCGCAGGTACATGTCAAACCAAAAAGTTTTAAGACTACAAAAATCTGGAAGGCTTTACTGAAGCATGCGACTCAGAATTAGCAATCCGTGTCCATTTCAATATTACCAGAACACGTAATAGGATCCTCGCTATCTATGTCACAAGCAACAGAATGCAATAAATCCATGGGGATATATGGACACTTTTTTTCAAGAACTACGTCCATGTCGTACGTTAGAGAAAATATCGCAAAATGGTGTTATTCATATTCATCCGTTACTTAAACAACAGACACTCGAGTTATCAACTACGTTCTTCAAAATTGGACATTGGTTAATGTTCGCAATGAGTATCATTCAAATCATTTGGAGAAAATGAGGCAATGTGTAGTTTGACCAAGTCTTAATCTAAGCACGAAATAACTCATATCACGATATATGTGATTTTGTTAACTATGACATAAAGGGGTCTTTGTCGGTCGTTCACCTTCTCTATCAATTGCAACCATTGCCAATTTACAAAGCAAAGAAACGATGAAGAAATAATTTAGAGAAACCAGTTTGCCGATCAGAGTACACCTAATGTATTTAATTCTAAGTCAGCAAAAGCGGTGGAAAATTGAAACTCACCCCCTACTGTGACTGTAATTAAACAGTTGGCTGCATTTCCAGCGTGATCTCGTGCCTGATAAGTTACTTGATAAGGCATAGTACTGTAGTCAAATGAAACCGTATCGCCTACATCATGCACAGAGCCCCCTGCGTTGATCCAAGTGTCAGTGATTCCTACATTGTCTGACATACTCATGAAATTTTGAAGGGATACTGAAGCATATGACTCTGCAACATCTGTGTTTACGTTCACATTTGCAGGACACACAATCGTGGGATTCTGGTCATCTATTTTGCAAAGAAAATAAAAGCGAGAACTTCATTAGGTGATACAGGCTTAAATTACTCATCGGCAACAAGAGAAAGGCTTAGAAGCTCCTCCTTACGTGTTCCATTTTTAAGCAGAGGCACACCCTTTTTCTTAAGAGAACAAAACGGTCCAAACTACATCCACTTTACTTCGCCGGTCATAAGGGAAACTTATTTTCTCCAAAGGGTGTAATGAATTTCAGCATGACGGCAAAAGTGAGCAACATGCATACATATAGTGGAAGTGATTTCTAAGCAATTAGTGTTTTTAGGAAGAGTTATTTTTTTATGAAGAACGACTTACCACCAACTTCAATGGTCAATGTGCAGGAATTTTCGTTGCCAGAAGTATCTGTAATGATGTAGTACACGTAGTTGGTGCCATACGGGAAAGTCCTTTGATCACCAGGATGGAACATATCTCCGCCAAAAAGAAGCCTTCTTCGACGCGATGCGCCATTTGGATCAACAGTCGTGATAACGACACTGGCGACTGCAACATTGTCATTTTCGACGTCTTCGTTGGGAAGTGTAATGTTAGCATACGCCTGCCCGCTATCCGTATTTGCATTTATTAACCCATCTGATGGACAGGTTATAGTGGGCATCTCATCGTCTGTAAAAATGAGAAACACAAGTCAGAACCCAATTGAATGTTAGCATTATGTTATCAATTTTCCAACTTGGTATATATACATTTTATCAAAGTATCTGATCAACATTCCCACTGTACACGATCTAACATGTCTGGAAACATTGTACCTTCTCATCCTAAGTCAGAATCGGGAAGGTAGACCTTCAAATTCAGAGCGGTGCAAACCTGGAATGCGCTTCCATCTCATCTTAAAAACCTGTCTACACCCAACATTAAACATTTTATTTCTGAAATCCACTCACTACAGCAGTTGTTTTTTAGGCTTTAAGTTTTAGTTTAGATTTTTCGGACGTTTAGATGTTTTTTTTTTATTAAGAACCACTTACCTTCAACTTCAATTGTCAATGTGCAGTTATTCTCGTTGCCAGCAACATCTGTTATCTTGTAGTACAAGCTGTTGGTGCCAAACTGGAAAGTCCTATCAGCACCAGCAGAGAGAACTTCGCCATTTTGATCATTAACCGTGATAACGACACTGGCGACTTGAACGTTGTCATAATGCATGTCTTGACTGAAAACTGTGCTGGTAGCATACGACTGCCCATCATCCGTATTTAAGTTGATTAACCCATTTGCTGGACAGGTTATAGTGGGCATTTCATTGTCTGTAAAAATGAGAAATCCAAGTCAGAAACCAATTGAATGTTAGCATTATGTTATAAACTTCGCAACTTTAATTTCCATATTTGTTAATCCAAGATTGAAATGGCTTGGACGGTTCATACACATTCTGTGGCAGCACAGTATCTATAATAGGCTTCTTTTCCCAAGAGTTAGTCTATCGCAGGTACATGTCAAACCAAAAAATTTTAAGACTACAAATATCTGGAAGGCTTTACTGAAGCATGCGACTCAGAATGAGCAATCCATGTCCATTTCAATATTACCAGAACACGTAATAGGATCCTGGCTATCTATGTCGCAAGCAACACAATGCAATAAATCCATGGGGATATATGGACACTTTTTTTTCAAGAACTACGTCCATGTTGTACGTTAGAGAAAATATCGCAAAATGGTATTATTCATATTCATCCGTTACTTAAACATCAGACACTTGAGTTATTAACTACGTTCTTCAAAATTGGACATTGGTTAATGTTCGCAATGAGTATCATTCAAATCATTTGGAGAAAATGAGGCAATGTGTAGTTTGACCAAGTCTTAATCTAAGCACGAAATAACTCATATCACGATATATGTGATTTTGTTAACTATGACATAAAGGGGTCTTTGTCGGTCGTTCACCTTCTCTATCAATTGCAACCATCGCCAATTTACAAAGCAAAGAAACGATGAAGAAATAATTTAGAGAAACCACTTTGCCGATCAGAGTAAACCTAATGTATTTAATTCTAAATCAGCAAAAGCTGTGGAAAATTCAAACTCACCCCAAACTGTGACTGTAATACTACAGCTGACTGTATTTCCAGCGTCATCTTGTGCCTGATAAGTTACTGGATAAGGCATAGCGCTGTAGCCAAATGAAAGCGTATCGCCTACTTCATGCATAGAGGCCAGTGCGTCGACCCAAGTGTCAGTGATTCCTACATTGTCTGACATACTCATGAAATTTTGAAGGGATACTGAAGCATATGACTCTGCAACATCTGTGTTTACGTTCACATTTGCAGGACACACAATCATGGGATCCTGGTCATCTATTTTGCAAAGAAAATAAAAGCGAGAATTTCATTAGGTGATACAGGCTTGAAATACTCATCGGCAACAAGAGAAAGGCTTAGAAGCTCCTCCTTAGGTGTTCCATTTTTAAGCAGAGGCACACCCTTTTTCTTAAGAGAACAAAACGGTCCAAACTACATCCACTTTACTTCGCCAGTTATAAGGGAAACTTATTTTCTCCAAAGGGTGTAATGAATTTCAGCATGACGACAAAAGTGAGCAACATGCATACATATAGTGGAAGTGATTTCTAAGCAATTAGTGTTTTTAGGAAGAGTTATTTTTTTATGAAGAACAACTTACCACCAACTTCAATGGTCAATGTGCAGGAATTTTCATTGCCAGAAGTATCTGTTATGATGTAGTACACGTAGTTGGTGCCATACAGGAAAGTCATTTGATCACCAGGATTGAACATATCTCCGACAAAAAGAAGCCTTCTTCGACGCGATGCGCCATTTGGATCAACAGTCGTGATAACGACACTGGCGACTGCAACATTGTCATTTTTGACGTCTTCGTTGGGAAGTGTAATGTTAGCATACGCCTGCCCGCTATCCGTATTTGCATTTATTAACCCATCTGATGGACAGGTTATAGTGGGCATCTCATGGTCTGTAAAAATGAGAAATCCAAGTCAGAACCCAATTGAATGTTAGCATTATGTTAGCAATTTTCCAACTTGGTATATATACCGTAATTTTCGTAATATAAGCCGCGGCTTATACGTTGAATTTGCCCATGAAAATGTTTACTGCGGCTTATACACAGGGCGGCTTATACGCCGAGACTTGAAGAATAAAAATGACATTTACATGTGTATTTAATGTACTGGTACAGGAAGAGATGTGTTGCTGAAATAATTATCAATTAAGAAAGTCATTAACAAACCGAAAGCACGTCCCACAAAAAGGTACTGAGCGGTAAAAAGTACGGCTAGTGAAAGCTGTCCCTTGGACATCGAAAACCGGCCGTTCGTGATGCTGCCTATGCTGCATGCATGCTGCATGGATTCCCCATGGACCACACCATTTGTGGTAATAAAGGGGTGCACTTTCTTGGGAACAATAATTACCAATATTTCCCCATTTAAAAAAAAGGAAAAAGACAACTAATACTTTTTATGGAGTTTGAAACATATCTTTATTTGATAATCAGTTGTTCAACGTCACAATATAATTTTTTTTCTTGAAATGTATTCAAGAAACGATGTAAAAGTCAAAACAGGGGTGAAACCACCCCTACGAAATTAATGGATTCGTCTATAAAATCTCAGCATCGTGTTGACTGTTTTCGAAGAAAGTTACGATCCAAACTTGAAGTTTTGACGTTACTACTCGTTAGTAATCACAACAATTTGATAAGTTTTGCTTTAAAAACGGACTTGTTTATCCTTTAGGACAAAACAACTTAGCGTCTGTTGCCACAAAGCAGGATTTGTAGCGCTCCAGTCAGACAACACATGGTGGGTTGCATACTCTCTCAAGTGCTGGGGGAAAATAATGTCATTCGCCGGCACAGGCTCACTGATGAGCCAGCCGGCAGCAATTCCCATTTTTTATTTCTCATCATCAATTTCCATATTTGTTTGTAAGAGTAATCGACTGTAAATGATTTGACATAACATTTGTGGCCCTTTTATAGCTTTCGTAGTGCAAATGGAACTGGTTCAGAGCATTTTGACTAAAATTTGGAGGCCTTACAAAATTGAACCGCTGCGGTTGGTGCGGCTTATACGCCGATGCGGCTTATACGCCGACTTCAAATCTTAATTTGCAGATTTTTGCGTGCTGCGGCTTATACGCCGCGCGGCTTATATTCCGAAAATTACGGTACATTTTATCAAAGTATCTGATCAACATTCCCACTGTACACGATCTAACACATCTGGAAACATTGTACCTCCTCATCCTAAGTCAGAATCCGGAAGGAAGACCTTCAAATTCAGAGGGGTGCAAACCTGGAATACGCTTCCATCTCATCTTAAAAACCTGTCTACATCCCTGCGATTCTAACGCTGGGCTCTCTTGTCTGAGCGCCTAGCCTGGGCCTGGCAGTGGTTTCAGTTCCATTTGTTTTTCCATTATTTTATCCTTGTCATTGTTGTATTTTTGGGTCATTTTCTGAGGGCTTTGTAACCCTAGGAAAAGCCGCTTTATAAATGTTATTATTATTATTATTAAATCTTAAAATTAATGTGGCCTGACGTTGCGAACTTAGCAAGTTCTTCTTCAGAGGCTAAAACAGAAATGACAGAGGTACATACATTAACATGGGGGTGCACACAAACATGCAGGGCTGAAAGAAGAAACACAAAAGGAGGATTAGGTGTGAAAGGTGTGGAAAGATGCAGGGGAGGGTGGATGAGAGAACAAAGAAACAAAGGGAGATGGCAAACCACAAGGGGAGGGACCAGAAAGGGGAAGGATCAAAGGTCACAGGGAGTGGGAACGGACAAAAGAGTGTGAGAGTGAAGGGATGATGTGGGGGGGGGAACAGTATTGAGGTGGAAAGGGATGAAAGATGGGGGAAGATGGGTAAACACAAACAAGGAAGACCAGATGGATTATCTGTAACAGAAGACAATGGAGGAAGAAAAGGATTAATCATTTCCAAGTTGGATGTTGAGACCATGTGGTTGAATAGTTCGAAGACGATTCATCCACACTTTCTCTCTGCTGAGGCGAACTGAGTCCTTGCGATGGCCAAGAGATTCAATGCCCTGCAAAATCATATCAGAAATGGAGTGGTTAGGCAGGTTGAAGTGATGACCAACAGGGGTGTCTAGTTTCTTGGTGTTGACCGTTGACCGGTGGGCATAGAAACGCTTCTTGAGCGTATTCTTAGTCTCACCTACATACTGCACTCCACAGACCCTGCAAGAAATGAGATATATGACATTAGAGGTGTTACAAGTGATGTTACCAATGGTTCTGTGGGTAGTGACAGAAGAGTGGCCAGAAAAGGAGTCAGACTCCTGGATATGAATCTGGCAGACAACACATCTGGAACTGCACTTGAAAGTACCATGCTGGGTGGGAGGGGATGCAACTAAGGAAGGGACTTCAGCTCGAACAATCAAGTCCCGTAGATTTCGAGGACGCCTGTAAGCCAATGTGGGGCCGTTGGGGATGGCGCGGGCAAGGCGATCTGAAGTATGGAGGATATGATGATTGTCATTAGTGATTTTGCGAAGGGGAGGGAGATTGGGGTGAAACGTGGTAACCAAGGGAATCATGGGTTTGGCCATGGCATCAGGGGCCTTTCCCGTGAGAGCTTGATTTCTGGGGATAGCTTTAGCTCTGGCAATGGCACGATGAACTTGGCGAGAGCTGTGACCCCTGGCCACCAAGTTGTTTCTCAGTATCTGTGTATGGCGGGAGAAATCGGAATCATTAGAACAAATTCTTCTGAGTCTGAGTGCCTGGCTAAACGCTATGCCAGTTTTGCAGTGCCTGGGGTGACAGCTGGAGGAGTGGAGGTACTGGTGGGTGTCTGTGGGTTTGGAATACAGGTCAGTGGTTAGTGAGTTGCCTTGCTTGCGGACGGTGACATCCAGAAAGTGGGTTTGGTGAGCCGAGAACTCCGATGTGAATTTGATGGTTCTGTGGAAGGAATTGATGTGGTTAGTGAAGGTCAAGAGACTGTCCTCATCACTGGTCCAGATGAAAAAAACATCATCAATATATCTCCACCAGATCCAAGGGCGACATGGGGCCGAGGCAAGAATGCGTTCTTCGAGGTCGCCCATGAAGAGGCAAGCCATCGACGGGGCCATGCGAGTGCCCATTGCAGTGCCGTGTACCTGTAGATAGTGTTCACCAAGGAAGGAAAAATTGTTCTTCGTTAGTATAAGTCTCATGAGGGTGCCAACATCACTGATGGGAGGAGTCGTGTGTCCTGCCTTGGCCAGAGCCAAGGAGCAAGCACGAACACCCTCCTCATGTGGGATGTTGGTGTACAGAGATGAGACGTCGAAAGTCCCAATGATGGCTGTGCTGGGAATCTGGTCCTTGATTCCTTCAAGCTTGCGTAGGAAGTCTGGGGTGTCGTGAATGTATGACGAAATCTGTGGGACAAGGGGTTTGAGAAAACTGTCAATGAACAGGGAGATGCGTTCCGTGGGTGAGCCATTACCGGAGATGATGGGTCTACCGGGGTTGCCAGCCTTGTGAATCTTGGGTAGAAGGTAAAATCTGGCAGTCCTACAATCACAGGGAGAAAGAAATTTGTGAGCTTTCTTGGACAACTGGTCACGTGATCGCATATCGTCAAGTACCTGTTGTATATCTCGACAGAAAGTGCCTGTGGGGTCAGAGTCAAGGCGGGTATAGTTAGTGCGATTTTCCAACTGGCGGTTGGCCTCATCAATGTACTGCTGACGATCCATGATGACCACAGCTGAACCTTTATCTGCTGGCTTGATGATGATGTCGGTGCGAGAGCGCAAGGAGTTGAGAGCCAGGCGCTCCTCTCTGGGGAGATTATCATGAGTCCTGTGGGGGAAGTTGTCCGGGTTAGTGACTTGGGAATTGATAACTTGAACGTATGTCTCTATGGCTGGCACACGATTCTTGGGGGGTACCCATGAACTCTTGACTCGAAAAGGCTCTGGCTCACACAGTTCACTGTCCAGGAAAAACTCACGCAGACGGATTCTACGGTAGTATTCCGTGAGATCTTGGCTGAGCTGAACCTGGTTCACAGAACGGGGAGCGGGACAAAAATTGAGACCCTTGGAGAGAAGTTTGTGCTCTGCGTCAGATATTGATGAGGAAGAAAGATTAACTACAGTGTTGACAGGGGGTTCTGGCGGTGGCGTGGTAGATGGGGACCTAGGACGTCTGAAACGTCTGTGTCTGCGTTGCTGTTGCTTGGCAAGCAGGTCACCAATCTTCTTGTTCCTCCCTATTATTATTATTAACATTAAACATTTTATTTCTGAAATCCACTCACTACAGTAGTCGTTTTTTGGGCTTCAAGTTTTAGTTTCGATTCTTCGGACGTTTAGATGGGTTTTTTATTAAGAACCACTTACCTTCAACTTCAATTGTCAATGTGCAGGAATTCTCGTTGTCAGCAACATCTGTTATCTTGTAGTACAAGCTGTTGGTGCCAAACGGGAAAGTCCTTTCAGCACCAGCAGAGAGAACTTCGCCATTTTGATCATTAACCGTGATAACGACACTGGCGACTCCAACGTTGTCATTTTGCATGTCTTCACTGGGAACTGTGCTAGTAGCATACGACTGCCCGTCATCCGTATTTAAGTTTATTAACCCATTTGCTGGACAGGTTATAGTGGGCATTTCATTGTCTGTAAAAATGAGAAATCCAAGTCAGAAACCAATTGAATGTTAGCATTATGTTATAAACTTCGCAACTTTAATTTCCATATTTGTTAATCCAAGATTGAAATGGCTTTGACGGTTCATACACATTCTGTGGCAGCATAGTATCTATAATAGGCTTCTTTTCCCAAGAGTTAGTCTATCGCAGGTACATGTCAAACCAAAAAGTTTTAAGACTACAAAAATCTGGAAGGCTTTACTGAAGCATGCGACTCAGAATTAGCAATCCGTGTCCATTTCAATATTATCAGAACACGTAATAGGATCCTCGCTATCTATGTCACAAGCAACACAATGCAATAAATCCATGGGGATATATGGACACCTTTTTTCAAGAACTACGTCCATGTCGTACGTTAGAGAAAATATCGCAAAATGGTATTATTCATATTCATCCGTTACTTAAACAACAGACACTCAAGTTATCAACTACGTTCTTCAAAATTGGACATTGGTTAATGTTCGCAATGAGTATCATTCAAATCATTTGGAGAAAATGAGGCAATGTGTAGTTTGGCCAAGTCTTAATCTAAGCACGAAATAACTCATATCACGATATATGTGATTTTGTTAACTATGACATAAAGGGGTCTTTGTCGGTCGTTCACCTTCTCTATCAATTGCAACCATCGCCAATTTACAAAGCAAAGAAACGATGAAGAAATAATTTAGAGAAACCAGTTTGCCGATCAGAGTAAACCTAATGTATTTAATTCTAAGTCAGCAAAAGCGGTGGAAAATTCAAACTCACCCCCAACTGTGACTGTAATTAAACAGTTGGCTGCATTTCCAGCGTCATCTCGTGCCTGATAAGTTACTTGATAAGGCATAGCGCTGTAGCCAAATGAAAGCGTATCGCCTACTTCATGCATAGAGGCCAGTGCGTCGACCCAAGTGTCAGTGATTCCTACATTGTCTGACATACTCATGAAATTTTGAAGGGATACTGAAGCATATGACTCTGCAACATCTGTGTTTACGTTCACATTTGCAGGACACACAATCGTGGGATTCTGGTCATCTATTTTGCAAAGAAAATAAAAGCGAGAACTTCATTTGGTGATACAGGCTTAAATTACTCATCGGCAACAAGAGAAAGGCTTAGAAGCTCCTCCTTAGGTGTTCCATTTTTAAGCAGAGGCACACCATTTTCTCAAGAGAACAAAATGGTCCAAACTACATCCACTTTACTTCGCCGGTTATAAGGGAAACTTATTTTCTCCAAAGGGTGTAATGAATTTCAGCATGACGACAAAAGTGAGCAACATGCATACATATAGTGGAAGTGCTTTATAAGCAATTTGTGCTTTTAGGAAGTGTTTTTTGAAGGTTTCAAGAAGGTTCCAAAACAGAATTGTACACGCATCTCCAAATTCCATTTATGCAATCACTATTTCTGTTCATTGTTCATAGGCAGGGCAAAACAGTGTAGTCAAAGGTTGTCTTTTGTTGGTAAGTTCAAACCGTACATCTGACCAACGTAAATTCCTACATCGACAGAGTACAAAATATCGAGATTTGGAGACTATATGGCCACTTTTGTGTTCTCTCAAGTTGAAACATTACTCACCATCCACAGTAATGGTCATATCACATGAGCCGACGTTGTTGCTTAGATCTGTCACCGTGAATGTGATGGTATGTGTTCCGTACGGATATCGGTCGCCGGACTCGCCCCCTAATTGCTGGAAGGCAAGTGAGTCATCGGAGTTATCCGAGTAACTAGCTTGGCTGAACGACAACTGTACATCATGGACTCCTGGGTCTGTGACCCCCTGAACGTCATCCGGACAGAGGACAGTTGGACTCTCGTCATCTTAGAAAACAATTTCAGAACAACTCGTTGATTAGTTTTCAAGAGTATGGGCTACGTTCGCTAACAAAAGTGGCGCCCTCTTCTTTAGGCGCACCCTTTTGTTTCTTACCACTTTTGAGAGCACCAAGGATAGGAGTTGGGACACACTGTGTGAGCATGGGCGCCGCGAGGGGGGGGGGCAAGGGGGGGCAACCAAAAAAAAAAAAAAAAAAAGAAGAAAAAAAAAAAAAAAAAAAAAAAAAAGAGGCGCGAAGACAAAGTGGTGTAAAGTTAATGAGTTGGGGGGGGGGGAAATGTCCCTGCCCCCCTCTAAAACTGATAAATCGAGAATGTGTTGAGAAATACAAGCATTTTTTGGCAAAATTTTTTTTTGCCCCCCTCTAGAAAAAATCCTGGCGACGCCCATGTGCGTGAGGCTTCTGCATGGTTTGCGTACGTAAAGTGTGAAGTACGCACGAGTACTTTTAGCCGGAGTGTGCACAAAGCATTATAGTCTTCGCGTGATCGTCAGGCGTCGTCGGAGATGTGATCGAATGTCTCTCTCGATGGGCTCCCTGAATTCTCCCTTTCTTGCCGGTGAATGGGTGCATGGGCACGGACCCCACAATGTGTCCGTCCTTTGGCCAGACATCATATTAAGAATAATAATAATAATAATAATCGGCATTTAACGCTCTTATTAGTAAACTAAATCACAGCGCTTACAGTATTATTATTACCCCTGATCATTGGGCCAATTAACCCTTACCCTACTAGACCCTCCAACGCATGCCAATATGTGCCTCAAGAAAATCTCCTATGTTTTTTGCATGGCCCTCCAATATCTGCCATGTCATTTGAAGGGTAACTGGACAGGCACTCCAATACATGCCACAGAGAACAATGAGAGTCCTCTGATAACAAAGTGAGTGCCCCCAGCTGGTCAGTATCAGGCACCCTCCAGGGCCTCCAACTCCTGCCAATTGGAGCCTTCACTGCTACATCAAAGTATCCTCCAATAAACTGCAGCTGGAGGGCATTGGCATAACCAACTGACATGCAGTAAACTACCCTCAGAGAGTAAGGGTTATTAAACATTCCAAATACCATCTCAGCTCCCTGGGGAGTATACAGCTCGATGCTGCCTGTTAGGCGCAAGGAAGCTAATTCAATCACAATAACCATCTCTTTCCTCACAGGTACCCATTTACTCCTGGGTGGTGAGAAGCAATGAGTGACAAAGTGCCTTGCCCAAGGGCACACGCACCATAACCCCAGGCTGGACTCGAACCCACAACCCGCAGAATTACCCGCCGACCACGAATTCAATGCCCTTAACCACGAGGCCACGGCACTCCAAAATAAACAACAAAAGTGAAGAAAAAAAATAGTTGTACATCTACATGTCAAAAATCTTGTACAATCAGGCTATGGGCCTTATTCACGAGTTGACCATTTTGTGGAGTTCCCTGAATGTATTTCATTAATTGTTAACTGCTGAATGGGATGGTGCCAGACTATTTATTGCAGGCACAATGCAGCCTTATTTTACTGTCGTGTTGCTTTTTCAATCTGGCTTTAAACATTAGGGACTGTTTGATTACGAACTGTACATTATTCATTGAAGCAGATTGGAATTTATTATAAATTGACTTGCTTTCATTTCTCTTCGCAAGTACCCAACACTTAGGATTTTACCTAACTTTCAATTTAATACGTCTGACTCGTGAATGAGGTTGCCAAGGCCCAGCACCCATATTGCTAGTGGTATTTTCCATGCCCGCGTTCAATCACAAGCAAGCCTGCACCCGATTTCACATAGCGCTGCGACGCGTCGCAACTCAAGTTACGACGTGTAACACGTCGCAACTCGCGACGCGTCGTATCTTCCATTTCACTAAAGTTGCGATGTGTTGAACGCGTCGTAAGTTCCTTGACAACGGCTTAAAACACGTCGCAAGTTACGACGTGTCTAGTGGTCATCGCAAAATAAGAAGAGTAATTTCTAAGCCAGTTTTATGCAACACAAACATTACATTAACGAGATTATAATAACGAGGCAATGTGTGTAAAGTTGTAAACAGAAAATGCATTGAATATTTATGAATTAGACCGGAACATTTAGAGTTGAAATTTCAAAGTAGCTATACAGTCCAATGAGAGCTTGTTTTCCTTCAAAATTGCATCGCACGACCGCCATTTTGTTTTACGTTTTAACAAATTTCGAGCTGAGATCCGACGACTGTTTGTTGAATATCAGAGGACTATTTACTGTACGCTGACTAAAGACATAAAACAGTCACCGAGTTGTGCTATAAATACACCTACGACACGTCGCACTTATGACGTGTTTAGTGAAATTGATCGCAGGACGCGTCGCAGCTGCGACGCATCGTAGAGATACAACGCGTCGCATCGTTGTGATGCATCGTAAGTTACGAAGAGTTTCGTGAAATCGGGTGCTGCTCCTGCAAGGCACCGATCATACCAAACCTTTGCAACTTTCATTTCACAAAGACAATCATCAAATAGAATGACTCACCTATCACATGAAAATAGTCGGCGCATTGAGGACAAACAGCGTTACCAGCTGCATCATTGAAACACATCGAAAGGTAATAGCTGAATGTCAGGTTGTAGTCCAATTCTATGCTGATGGGTAGTTCGCTGATGTTATAGGCGAGAGGTCCTATTAGCTCGGCAGACCTGTCCGCGGGTGAATACAGAAAAACCCTAGTCTCATAAAATCCAGAGTTGTCGCTAACGGAGGGAGAGTCGATATCTACTGTGCTATACCGCTGGTTCGAATCAGTTGAAAAGGGACTCCCGGTGAAAAAGTCACAACTACCGACCACAGGAGGCTCATCATCTTGAAGAAAAGACACCAAAGAAATAAGTCACGGTTATCCATTATATTTCTGTTGTCAATTCAGCTTGCGAAAACCAACTACAGTGGAACGTCACTATGGAGTACCGAAGCATGACGTCATTTAGAACCAGAAAGTGTAGTGCAAACGAATGGAATACACGCGCGTGTTGGTTCAAGGGCTGAATCACGCGCTTATGTCTTTCACACACTTTTTGTGCGCATGACGTATTCACTTTGGTACTCCATACCGAACATCGCTATACCAAACATTCGGCTATACCGAACATCGTCCTTTGCTCTTGATTTTCGTGTACAAAATGTACCGAATATTGCTGTTGAAAAATGTCAACAGAAGAGCGAAAAGTGGCAATTATTTCCCCAAGGAATAGAAGGGGAAAGCCACCTATTGCTGTAGGTACCGGTAGTAAGCTCACAATCTGTGTTCATGTAATTACATTATTCAATAGTCGGCAAGTGTTCAAAGTCATCTTTCAGTAACTAGAAGTACCAGGGCGTGCAGGGTGAAGTTCTGAAGGGCGCTATTTATTGAAAAATGAGTACCGGAGCACCAGCAGCTTAAAATCGCATTGCCGAACGATCGCTATTACGAACAATTTCTGTGGGTCCTGCGATGTTCGTTATAGCGGCATTCCACTGTACAAGTGTCAAGAACATGGGTCCCTTTAGCGAGAAGCATTGTGATTACATTTCGCATAATTAGGCCTATTGCATATCGCGTGCCCGTATTGCACACTGATACGCGCGCGAACTGCTCAGCTGGCACGCATGTGTCTAAGTAGATCGTGTGCACAAACGTTGACACCATATTCCGGTTCGTAAGTATGACGTCACTTCAGTTTAAAGGGAATATACAACATTTGCATACATCAAGAAGCAAAACTCCCAAACTTTATGAAATACCTTACTAGACTCTCAGTAAATGACAGTCTAAAGCATCCTGTAAAATCATGGCACCTGGTGTAATGTCTTTTTCAAGAAAAGTTGTATTTTTGTATCAATTTCCAATGCTGGTCGGCGAACCAGCGTTGACAAAACAATGACTTTTCCCAAATACTGCCCCAAATTTAGAGAATTGCGCCACTTCTCAATTGTGGTTTTTGTGGTGTCATTTGTCACAGAGTGAAAGGCTATGGTTGCCAATCAAGGCAGGTGGGGGGGGGGGGAGGGAGAAGAGATTTCACCATGAAAAAGTAGCGCAATTCTCTAAATAGACCCTTTCATAAAATTGGTCACTGCTTCAGTCAACCGTGAAGGTAATGACATGATCAGGGTGTCATTTTAAAGAGGAGATTCAAGCCTAACAGAGGATATCTCCCTTTGATTCACATGTGTCCTACTTCTGTTCCAATTACACCAATGAACATGACGACACCAAAAAAAGCAAAATAGTACCCCACCTTGTCTGTACAATCCAAGCTTGGAAAAAAAAAAGTTGCGTCACCACATCAATTCCGGAACTTTGGTCTGACCACAGACTGAGGGTTTTTTTTTTGGCCTAATTACACATCATGGCTCAATTCCATGGCTCTGCTAACCACAGAATTCCGTGCTTACGATCACCATTTTGTGCTAACCGTGCCAGCAGAAAAATTCTGTGCTAACCCTGTAAGCACAGAATCCTTAGTTCTGAGATGTCCACATGCGCATATATAAGCCAAAATTCCTCGCTAATCTGTGAAATACGCTTACCGTAAGTACACAATTTTCTGCTACAGTAAGCAGGCATATTTGGCTAACGGTAAGCAAAGCCACGAAATTGGGCCCAATAAACCACGACAATTGTCGGTGGTAACAACATGAAGTGTATTTTACTTACCGTACACGTTGACCGTCCAGAAACAACTATTGTTATTTCCTGCTGTATCTGTAGCTATGTAGTACCAAGAGTAGGGGCTAGCAGACAGCAAGAAGTTGTAGCTATCCCCAGGCGCGAAGGGTCCCTCGCCGTTTACCCCGACGACGTTGACGTGTGAGATCCCTAGATTGTCCGTAGCAGTATAGCCGGTTGGCAAAGTCAAAGAAGCGAAGGCCTGCCCGGAATCTGTCGGAACACTGACGTTGGGTGGGCAGGAAATAACCGGGTCTTCCAAGTCTGAAAACAAATTGCCAAAAAGAGGTACGATGTTTTTATTCACTTCAGATGATTGGTAGTGCTTAGGGACTTGTGTGGTCTAGCGGTAGAGCATTGGATTCCTGATCGTGAGATTGTGGGTTCGAGCCCCGCCGTGGCCATGCAGGTTGTGTCCTTGAGTAAGGCGCTTTACCTCAATTACACCTCTCAACCCAGGTGTTAAATGGGTACCGGCATTATTCAATGCTGGGAAGGTAACAGACTCGCTGTGGAGGAGGTGTGGCGATCCCCCCACAGCAGCATTTGATGCACTCGAGTCTGGCCCAATCGCTTTGCAAGAGAGATGGGCACTCTGTTCCTGTGAACACAGGTTTGTCCCCTTTACCTACTCACTTCAAAAGCGTTCCTCAAAGTGCACGAAGATAGTGAAGGAATGTTTAGCTTACAGAGGAGGCAGGACAAAACACGGACTAAATTTTCCAGAAAACCCTAACAAGCATTGGTTTGATATTAAAAAAAGTTTAAAATTAATTGTGTTCAAATAAAGGCATGTCGAAAGCAAACTCAACCGATTTCAAGAAAACTTAATGATGCAGTACATCAGATGCAAACTCGAGTCACACTTAGAGCGCACTTTTGAATAGGTACGTACTTGTACGTGAATTTCAAAATTGAACTCGAAACGAAGAACAATATTGTGAATACATTTAAGGTGTAGTCTACGTGGATTGAAAAAAAAGGAAACACAGAAAATTAAAGGCAACGAGATTCCACATCAGACAAATGCGCATAAGTGATTTTCCTTGAAATTGGTTAAGTTTGTTGTGACATGCCTTTTTTTGAACACGAATCATTTCAAAACCATATTTAAAATCAAACCAATACTAACCAGAGATAAAGTTAAGATTCCAAGCTTTAAAATGATGTAAAATAACTGCCGTACGTGTTTCCGCAGCGCCGCTAGAGCCTTGCCAAAAAAATGTTGCGGGTATTTTGGGACGCGCTGTATTTTCTCCTTGCGAGCTCCGTGACATTGAGCGGTGGGTTCAGACGTACCTATAACCTCCAATGTTATGGTACAGTAGTTGACATTGACAGGCTCCGCTTGGTCTCGGAAAACACAGGTCACCATGTGGCTTCCTAAGGTGAGTGGAGCACCTAACACCGGTATGCACTGCACTGTTACAGCCAGACCCGAGTTGTCATCCGCAGTTGGTAGGGTATATGCGGCCGTGGCGATCACAGATCCTGGGTCAGTAGAGACGAAACCATCCCCACATGTAAGATTAGTAGGTCTTTCGTCGTCTGCAAAAACAAAGAATTCAAATCAGCTCATGGACAAGTTTAAAGTTGAAACTGATCGGTTTGAGAAAATCGTGGCTTCACGGAGTAAAGTACATGTATGCAACTCCACGGACCTTGAAAAGGGTAAAGAATGGTAAGTACTTGTGGACTAAAGTCAATATCCGGTTTGTTAGTGCGACGTCATTTCAACTTAAGCTACAGCACATCATCTGCAGCTATCCAAAAAGTAACTGATGAAATTATTGCTGAAAAAACATACTCGGTTTAAAGATAGTAATGGGACTAAACTCACTGTGAAATTATTCTTTCTGGCAAGGTGTCATTTTGAAGAAAACAGGGGAAAATGGCCATTTCCAACGATTTCCGTTAGTAGTTCGTTTTTATTTTGGCAAAGCGCGTGCAAGCGTTGACACGATGCACATGCATGCGCAGTTGCTATAATTTACCGGTTCAGTGCTCGACATCGCGCAGCTACAATCAGCCGAATGAGAACACTGAATTTGGGCGCAATTCAAAACAAGACTCTGCAACTTTTGATTTGAAATCGAGATCCCAGAATGCTGTTTTTCTCAGAATCTGCAGCATTCACTGAGCTAAAACTTGAGTTTTTAAGCACCCTTCTTTATATTTTGAGCACCTTTGTTGCTTCAAACGAACATAATGCACAAATTACAAATGATGAACTGTAGTACCTTTAACCACGCGTACTGCACTCGCTGTAGCATTGAGCGAAAGGAACCAGAAGTTAACACACTTTGTGTTTAGCCAATAGGCGCTTGTAACCGGGCAGTGCGTGCGCGTGTATGACAAAGTCGCTTACGGATAGGATAGAGAGGCAGAAAGTTGGGTGAAGGAGACCTGCACCCGGTTTCATCAAACTCTTCGTAACTTACGATGCATCGCAGCGCTGCGACGCGTCGTATCTCTACGATGCGTCGCAGCTGCGACGCGTCCTGCGATCCATTTCACGAAACACGTCGTAAGAGCAAGCGTTGTAGGTGTATTTATAGCACAACTCGGTGACTGTTTTATGTATTAAGTCGGCGTACAGTAAATAGTCGTCTGATATTCCACAAAGAGTCGTCGGATCTCCGCTCAAAATTTGTTCAAACGTAAAACAAAATGGTGGTCGTGCGATGCAATTTTGAAGGTAAACAAGCTCTCAGTGGACTGTATAGCTACTTTGAAATTTCAACTGCAATATTCCAGTCTAATTCATGATTATTCAATGAGTTTACTATTTACAACTTTACACACATTGCCTTGGTATTATAATCTCGTTAATGTAATGTTTATGGCACAAAACTGGCTAACAAAGGGACTCTTCTTATGTTGCGATGACCACTAGACACGTCGTAACTTGCGACGTGTTTTAAGCCGTTGTTAAGGAACTTACGACGCGTTCAACACATCGCAAGTTGGGTGAAGGAGACCTGCACCCGGTTTCATCAAACTCTTCGTAACTTACGATGCATCGCAGCGCTGCGACGCGTCATATCTCTACGATGCGTCGCAGCTGCGACGCGTCCTGCGATCCATTTCACGAAACACGTCGTAAGTACAAGCGTTGTAGGTGTATTTATAGCACAACTCGGTGACTGTTTTATGTATTAAGTCGGCTTTATAGTCCACAAGTACGTACCATTCGTAACTTGCGACGTGTTTTAAGCCGTTGTTAAGGAACTTACGACGCGTTCAACACATCGCAACTTTTGTGAAATGGATGATACGACGCGTCGCGAGTTGCGACCTTTTACACGTCGTAACTCGAGTTGCGACGCGTCGCAGCGCTTTGTGAAATCGGGTGCTGCATGGATTCAAACTCCTGACACTCTGATTATGAGTCACAACTAATCGGCACTCACAAAGGTACGGGTGTGACGACTGTAATGTTTTACCTATGACTGTGATTGTCACTAAACAAGAAGCACTGTTTCCGTTGGAATCCTCCACACTAAAAGTCACTGGGCTGGCTCCGATTTCGTAAGGTCCTGTGTCATCCACTGTAAATGCGATGTCTTCCCCAGAATTATCTGATACCGTCGGAAGACCAGGAGCATCGGAGGAATGAGGCATGCCAACATCAGTAGATCTGGAATCGTCGGGAGGACACATTATCACAGGAGCCTCATCATCTGCGGAAATGAAAAACAAAACAATCGGTTGCTGCAAAATAGCTTGTGCCGACTGGATTGACCCAAAATATAAAAATCATAACAGATCGAGTATCGGTTTTCTTTCACGTTTTGTAATTGTGTAGGTCTACACACATCGACACATTGGAAAACAGTTCCTAAAGGGGCACTAGGTCCTGAAATCCCCGAAAATTTCACGTTTTGGATTGTTTACTTATCCTATTTCAAACATCTGGTTGAAAGGAAACCAACCTAATGTCTTATCGTTCCCGAGAAAAGAAAATCCCTAGTTGTTTACATCGGACACAACGGAGCACGGATACGGGGGATGACCACAATCAAAAAATTGCCCGGCCATGGACATTCAAAAAAAAGGGGGGGGGGGGTTGAACACAACATTACACTTGGGGGCGCTCTTCATGATATAGATGTTTATCAAAGTGTATACTCGCGATTACATCAAAAGAGCACATTTTTAAAGCTTTTGTACCTTGTTTCTCCATTTTTCAGTGCTATTGATTAAAATCTGCACTTTTTTCATCACGAAAAAGTGTGGGGGGGGGAAGATTCAATAGCCTGTTCCCCCCCCCCCCCCCCCCCCCCCGCAATCAATATAAACCCCCTCCCCCCTCCCCCCCCCCCCCCCCCCCCCCCCCCCCCAACCAGGAATGAGAAATAAAATTTTGGAATGAGAAATAAAATTTGAAAAACCTTAATAATCCACTACATGTCTGAAACAACAGTATTAGTATTGTCTACAATTTTTGAACTTACCCTCCACAACTATGCTGACCGCACACGCCACCATTTGCCCCGAACCATCCACCACCGAATACTGCATGGAATAACTCTCATCATAACGAAAGGGTTGACTTAAAGCAGTGTCGTACACAATCTCTGAACCATCGGGGTATGTGATGACCGCTAGAACGGTGTAGTGGCCGGAGTTATCGGAGACCATAGGTGGTTCTAGTGGCAACGTAACTGATGCATAGGGCTGTCCAGCTTCAGTCGTGTAGTTTAACTGTTGACACTCTATCTTGGGTGGTTGGTTATCTGCAATGTTTAAAAAAATAAAACAATTTTCAAGATTGAAATTGCACAACTAGTTCATGTTTTACATGCGCGTACTAAACGCAGGGCGCCCTCAAGAGGTGACGAGGTGAGATAAATAACGGATTTGTACTGACTCGAGTCATCATACTCCTACTCGGAAGTACTTTACTCGTACTCGTACTCGAAGGTACTGGTACTCGTACTCGGAGACTTGAACTTAGACTCAGAGGTACAAGTACTCATACCCGTACTCGGCAACCTAAGTACTCGGCATATATTGCTCTGTTTTATCTTGAGTGGGGTCAGGGAACCAGACTACAAGAACAGGGTTCGTTTACTTGTTTTTGGGGGATATACAAGCCCAAAACGTAAAACAAGTCAATTTAACAATACTTCTCACCCTCCAAATCCATTTATTTCTGAAAATTGCAGCAAAAGCAAATGTTGTACATTCCCTTTTACTAAGAAAAATTTCAAATGAAGACCTTGTGCTTAGCACAAAAAAAGTCTGCCTTATAAAAGCAGGTTACCAGCCAAAACTCCATGTGATGTGCTAAGCAACAGCTGAATACTAATCACAAGCAATATACTTCACATGGAGTTTTAGCTGGTAACCTGCTTTTGTATAGCCAGACTTTTTTTGTGCTTAGCAGTGCCATGAAATTGGCCCCCTTTCGTGAGCGTACCAGTTACTATGATGTCAAAGGTGCATTCTGCCGTGTTGCCACTCTCATCTGTGGCATTGTAGGTAACAACGTGACGGCCAATTGGTAGATTGGCCGGGCTGACAAGGTTTTCATCCTGATTAATCACTCCACCAGAGTTATCGATTGGCGCAGGAATCATCCATGTTGCAATTCCGTGGGGGAGATCGATTTCGGTGTTGATTTCCAGCGTGGGGAGACATTCCAAGTACGGTATCTGGTTATCTGCGTAAAAATAGTATATAATGTAAAAAAAAAATTAAATAACTGGGGGCGCGAGAATTGAACTTTCGGGCCGTATCATAAGTCCGACACCTCATAGGTCCGACGCCTCATAAGTCCAAAATTTCGGACTTATGAGGCGTCAGACTTCTGAGGCATGAAATTTATTTATTCTGCCTCATAGGTCTGACGCCTCATAAGTCTGACAACGGAAAAAAAGAGGCGTTTAATTTGTCGGACTTACGAGGCATGGGAGCTATGAGGCGTCGGACCTATGAGGCGTCGGACTTATGGGCCTTTATTTGGTTAGGGGATGCGATTTTGTTGGAATTATCAGGCGTCGGACCTATGAGGTGTCGGACTTATGAGTGGGCCCCGAACTTTCGACCTCCGCAACACCATTTCGGTGCTCTCAACTTTCTAATTCTACATCCACACTCGACATGCTTGAGTAACTTTTTCAAGGTCAAATAATCAAACACCTGTTGTTGTTTTTTTGCATTTTAATTAAAAAAGGTTGAATCCTATATGAAACAGCTCCACAAATGTGGTCAAGACTACCTCCGGAAATAATGGTCACACTCGGAACATTTACCCGAAAATGTAGAACTTTGTCAAGCTTTTATTTTCACATTTAGACTTTGTTTGTAAGTGTGGCCTTTATATTTATGGACATGGGCGTCAAGGGTGGGGGGGGGGGGCAGGGGGGGGCGCTGCTTGCCCCCCCCCCCTCTCCATGGATGCGCAAAAAAAAATTAAAGAGAAAAAAAAGAGGCGCAAAATCATATTGTTGTTAATTTAATGGGTTGGGGGGGGAATGTCCCTGCCCACCCTCGAAAAAAGATCAATGGGGAAAATGCTGGAATTAGTGATTTTGGGGGAAAAATGTGCTTTGCCCCCCCCCCCCCCCCCTAGAAAAAAAAAACCTGCCGATGCCCATGTTTATCATTTTATGGAGGTAGTTCAGACATTGGCCACATTTGTGGGGCTATACATGCTATATGAAACACTGAGATTGGCAAATTTGGCCAAAGGATGTATGTGTACGAACTAGCCCCATATGTGGCCTATTTACTGGACTACCTCCGTAAACATAGGCCACACATCCACATGTACAAAAACGTGTCGCACTTTGCCAAATTTTGATTTTCATATAAGGCTTAGTTTGTAGGGTTTTTTTGCTTTAGAAGCATACTCACCCTCTTTATAGGCTAATCAAAAAGTGCTGCCTTTTTCAGATATCTAATTTTTGTGAAATTTCATGTTAAAATTTTGATACGCAAACGTGCGCAAATGAATCTGGAAATTTCACGAAAAATAGACATCTGAAAAAGGCAGCACTTTCTGATTAGCCTATAATTTTTTTATAAAGAGGGTGAGTATGCTTCTGAAGCAAAAACACCCTACAAGTACAAACTAAGCCTAAGTATGAAAATCAAAATTTGGCAAAGTGCGACACGTTTTTGTACATGTGGATGTGTGGCCTATGTTTACAGAGGTAGTCCAGTAAATAGGCCACATTTATGGGGCTATGTACATGTACGAACATGAAGAAGCACCACCGACCACAGCGCTGTGTGCTTCGACCACCACAGGACCGGGTCCGTCATGTCCGTAGATACACGATCGCCATAATTTGGGACCTTTATTTCCACATGATCAGTGTTTGCAGTCACAGTCAGTAAGTTACAACTACAAATCGATATCTCATCCCAAAAAGCACTCACGCGTCACGTTAAAATCTGAACGATTATGCGAAACGAAAAATGATCCGATCGTGCACGTGCATGTCTATGTGTGCCGCCATATTCTTTAAACAGCGCCCTCACACTTTCAGTTGTTGTTTTTTTCGGGGTCTGCAGCTATCAGTCCGACACCTCATGTCCGACGCCCGGTCCGACGCCTCATAGCTCCGACACCTCGTCAGTCCGACAAATTAAAACGCCTCGTTTTTCCGACGTCGGACTTACGAGGCGTCGGACTTATGAAGCGTCAGACCTATGAGGCGGAATAAACAAATTATATGCCTCATAAGTCCGACGCCTCAGTCGGACCCACGCGCGGATCCAGATGGGGGCACACCCGGCCCGTGCCCCCCTTTTTGCAACTGTTTTTTTTTTTTTTTTTTTTTTAACGAGTCATCTTAGGGCGGGCGCGCATTAAATACATCCCTTTGAGAACATGGCTATCTTTTTCCTTTTTGAGGAGTCATTATGGCGGGCGGACGGGCGGTCATCAAATCAATCGCTTGGAACATAACTATTATACATAATTATCAACAAAAATATACAATGTATAAGTTTTGAAGGTCGCCTGTCAATCATTGTCTCAAAATTTCTTTCAAAGCAAGAATATATTTTTATAAGACACTTTTTTATTTCCCGGCTGGACTAGGGGCACATTTAATACAGCACTTGCATTTAATGCTTCATGTCAAAATGTATTCCAAAATATATTCTAGAGTAGAACCAAGGGCGGATCCGGGGGGGGGGGGGCAAAGGGGGCCATGCCCCCCCCCCAAAAAAAAACCGAAACCATTTTTTTTTTTTTATGTGACATCGCAATAAAGGCAGGCAATGAGTACACCACCATCTTTTCCTCAATAAAACAGTGGTTAAAGTGGTCAGAAATTGCCTCAGATCGCACCACAGAGTATCTAGAATCCAAAAAATTTTCGGGGCCCTTAAGCGGGCCCCGAACCCCACGCCGTAATTTTTTTGACCCACTTTTTTGGGGACCAAAACTTTTTTGGGGGGGGGGACCAAAAATTTGTTTTGGCCCACCCCAAAATTGTGTTCTGGATCCACCCTTGAGTAGAACATGTACCGGTACACGAAATTATGTAGGCTATGTGTTTTTTTTAATAAATGAAGAATAAAATCGCCATCCCCTTCTTTTATTTTCCCGGCCTCAGAGAGAGATTTACGTCTGGTTCTCTACAAAAACTTTTTTTTTAAAGCAAAATGATTAAAAAAAACCTAGTTAGTTAAAGTTTGTACTCGAAGTTAATTCTTTTGTAGATTCCAGGGGAAATTTAATACGAATTATGCTCGGTTTTTCTTATTTTTAAATGAATATGATCAGGATTAACAACATCCCTCAAATAATAGCGTCAAAATATATTCCAAAATATATTCTAGAGTAAAACATTTTCACAAAATAATGTAGGCCATGCATTTTATTTTTAGATACACGAAGAATTAATCGTCATCCCTTTTGCCTCAAATAGAGAGAAATCAAATAAATAGGGGTTATTTTAATACGACTTAGTATGTCTTGTTCTCTCGATTTATTTTTAAAGTAAAACGATTTCAAACACCCTAGCCCATTAAGTTCTGAACCCTCAGTTAATTCTTTTGTAGATTCCAGGGAAATTTTAATACGAATTATGCTTAGTTTTTCCTAATTTTAAAAGGAATACGAATAAGATTATCAACAGCCCTTTGACTTCAAACTTAATTTCAAAATGTATTCCGAAATATTTTAGAGTAACATTTACAAAAATAATGTAGGCCATGCAGTTTTATTTTTTTAATAAGCGAAGAATAAAATCGTACTACGAAAAAAGACATCGGGAGCCCTACATTTAATGAATTATTTGGACTTGGAATATCATCCCCCAATCGTTTATCTATGTGCATGTACACAACACGGAGGTGAAATTTCACGTTCAATTCAGTTTCCCACATTTTTCGCATAAAGGTTTCCCCTGTCTCTGAGAAAAAAAAATGCCCAAATAAAATCTCAGCTCCGAAAAGCCTTTCCAGAGAATGATTGATAGCCGCATTGTTCAAATTGATACAATGCTACTCTTGTTCATTACAAAGCATATACATTTGGGTTCAGCTGTAGGCCACCGAACTTTAAGGCCTTTGATAACAGCTCAGGAATGCTGCCACTTTCGGGAAATTTGTGCAGACAAACTTTTTCATATTTTGGAATTTGGAATTTTGATGCAGTTTGCATTTCCGTTAAATTAAAGTTTGTTTTTTTGTTTTCTTTTTAAGAAAATCGGCGCCCCCCCCAAAAAAAAAAATACAAATAAACGATTTTCCTCAGGCCTTGACATTTCTTGAAGTGATTCGACAACACTTGCAGAATGCAGACGATTCATTTCGTCTTAAATTATTTAGCCAGCAGACTTCAAAAGAACATGGAAAAAAATGGTGGTTAAAGTGTATACAAGTGTATGTGACCGCAGTTACCTCACATTATATAAGGGACACAGGCGGCAGTCTTTTTGAAGTCTTGACTAAACATTTAAACGCTACGGGGAAATTTTGCTAATATCATCAATTTTTTTTATGACAACCGAGATGGTTTTGAAATAAAGTTTTATTTCTTCTTTTTGTTTGTAAAGACTATTCGTAATGTAATACTCAGCAGGCTTATAAGTTATACAACATTTTTCAAAGGAATTGGGACGGAGAAATTTTCTGGGCCGGTTGATTTGCTCAGCCGTGGGGTGGGGTGGGGGTAGGGGCTGCTTGGGGCAGGCTGTCCCCTAATGAAATTCAATTTATTTTATTTTCTTTGTTTGCAAGGCAAATTTCTGGGTAGAAATGTATGTTTTAATAGTAAACATGACTTTTTTTGGCTCGCTCGCTCCGCTCGCTCGCAAAATAACATATGTTCATATTTTTCACCCGGGGGCTGTCATCAGCACCTTCTAATTTTGGGGTTCATTTTCAACTTACATCAACAGTGACTTTAAATTCTATATTTGATAGGCAAAAATATATATAAAAAAAAAAAAAAGTAAAAAATAAACATTGTGAATTTTGCTCTTAATGGCTTAAAGTACTCATGATGTAGGAGAGAACATCTAGAATCGTAGAGCTTCCAGTGCCCTCAACCCTGCCCGCAAGGGATTTCGCGCTTCAGTCTCGTTATGTGTGCAACGCGCACAAAGTTTTTGTGCCCCCCCTTTTTGAAAATCCTGGATCCGCCCCTGGTCGGACCTATATGAGATTTTTCTCGGCAATCCTTTTGCGTGCAGGAAAACTACTTTCAGGATCACTAGTATAGATACCTCAAGAAGTTCAAACCAGCTGCCATTTTTTCTGACACTTTTTTTTGGCGGGACCCTTCGTGTGCAAAAACAATGATTCAGATAAATTCACTTTTTTTTTAGCATTTGGACAGCTCACCCAAAGTGCTACATCACGAGAATTTTTTTTTCAGAGTTTTGCCTATTCGGGGTGGGGCCACATTTTATGAAGCGGGGGGGGGGGGCAAATGTCATTACCAAAAACTTCCAAAGGGCCTCAACTTACAGTTTATATACTATACACTATTTGCACTTACCGGAAAAGCCTAAATATGACAAAGTCCAATATCTCAAAGAGCAATAAGTTAAAGATCAGAAGATTAACCGAATGAAATATAAATCACTTGTATCTAGACAAAAGTTTGACGAGGCGTTAGAAATATCATCATATCCATGACATAATAGCGAAAAAAAACTTGAGATCGTACCTACATAAGTATAACCCGTGGGGAAGGGTTTTGCAGGCCAGTAAATCGGTCCAAACTTGCCTACGCCGGCCAACCCACGATTTGCATGCCCTCAAAATCTTCGGTATTTTAGCGCAATGTGGGCCATGAACTTGAGGGCTTTTAAAAAAAAAAAGCCGGAAGCCGTGCACAGGACTGTGAGCTTGTAGTGTAATTTGGATGAAATTGGGGCCCTAAAAGCGCTCTATTTTGCAATGGAATGTAGGCATCGTTTTTCAAAATGGCGATGGGCTAAAGGACTATTTTAAGGGGTGATCATCTTCGGATGGAAATTTCTCCCAAAAGTCATCTGTTAACCCCCCCCCCCCCAAAAAAAAAGATGACGAAATACACTTTAATGTGATGTGTGTCTCGAACACCTCAGAGAGTTGTGAGTATTTTTCCTGAACTTCTTAACAGGGGGCATTTATCATTGGGGTCTATGGCAGTTTACTAGTCTGCAACCTTACCTTCAACATTCACCGTAAACGAACAGTTGGCTGTGTTCCCAGACGTATCTGTGGCAGTAAACGTCACAACGTGAGAACCAACGTTGAGGGCGGTACCGCTGATGAAGTCAGTGGTAAAGACCACGCCCTCAGAGTTGTCGCTGATGTCGGGTGTTGGTAAATAGTACTCGAATGTTGCCGTGTCTAGATCTGTATTAGCTGTGAAGCTTGCCGGGCAAGTTATTGTAGGGTCGGTTCCATCTATTTGAAAAAAAATGCCAGGCGTAGAATGTGTAACCAACCTAGATGATGATATAGATATGGTTTGAAAGAAGCGCCTTTCCACTTTAAAATGAGACATCAAACATCCAAATCTGATCATTTTACAGAGTTATGAGCATAACAAGATGGATGCATTCACACAAGATAGAAAACACACAAGCGTACGTGTGATGGGCGTGGTGCCATTCCGCGGTCGACAGTGTGTGTTTTTTGTTTGTTTGTTTTTCACGCAAAAAGATGGAAACCCTTAAAACAAAGTTGGAGTAACGAAACACCTTCAAAAATTACGATGTCCACTTTTGTCACAATTCGTATTGACTTCATAGAAAAACTTTTCTAGAGTTTCAGTGGTACCCGTCATAATTTTCCACGTATGCAGCCGTGTGGTTGCGAAGGGCGATTTCTAAAGGTTACGTAACACCTTATTTTGAATGAAACTACATGTACACAGACATGTTCACGTTGGCGGGTGAAATCTTTGAAAATTAATTACTCCCGTTTGGAAGACGTAATCTGCATGCAACTTTCAGGGTTTATTTCCCTTATAGTGATCCAAGTATGCATGCTAAAAATCGTGGTGATTATGTTCATTACTTTTCGTTGAAATTGGAAAAATAGGTCTGGCTACGTGCATTTTTAAAAGTTGTAACACTGGTGTTTGCAATATCTGTCAATCTTTTCAAGCCTCGCGAATATTAATAATGTTCGGTATTGTGTACAGTACAAATTTGCAGAAAAGCCTCCTTCACGAGTTATTAATTAATAAATGTCACCCTTTTTCCGGCTTCCATTGGTCGATACCGAGACCCACGCCAACTTGATCACGTCGGAGTGACGTTAATGAAATGCTAATACACTGTACAATGTATGCGATCTTTCATTAATGTGTTGCCGGGCCGAAATCGGTCAACCATAAGCGCCGCGCCTATACGCCGCTATAGAATCTTTTCTGACTGTGCGTGGTTTGGTCGGGGAAAAAAATGCTCGTTGTAATTTTCTTGGAGATATAGTTCAAGGTGTAACACTAGCGTTTGCAACAACAGATTAAGCTGAAATTCGGCATATTATAATGAAAAGTTGATATAGGCAAACGGACATAAGCTCAAACACGCGATGCGCTGCATACACCCACTACAGAACACACGTTACCCCAACAGGCGCGCACATTTATATACAATGTAGCCACCCACGCACGCGCGCCCGTGTGTAGGTGGCTAACCGTGGGCTAACCACGGGCTAACTAATCAAAACACTGACTGGCTATTATTTGTTCAAGCCAAAATATCGTTGGAATGTATTGTCCAATTAGCATGCTTCTTATATCAGCCTTTAGATAATTTTATCAACTTTATGAATGACGTCACCCCAAGGTTGCTGAACTTTTCGTTTTGACGCTGTGGTAAAAACACTGCGTGCTAACAAACTAGTTACGCTTCGTGGATGTGCACTATTGAATAGGAGCACAAAGCGTGGATGTGTTTTTGAAACTAAAATGGTCGTTATTGGCCGAGCACTGTCAATAACAAATTTCATCTTTATACAAAGCTGAAGATATCTTCTTTCGTGTTCTGATCACCCCAGATGTGTACGTTGCCCAGTTTCAAAGATGTGCCTGTTTATGTCAACAACGCACACGCACACATACTGAGCGTATACACGCAGTGTTGCGATGAACAAAATGTCCAAAACTTTTCATTATGACTCATGATTTAAGTGTTCAACTACTTGTGAAATAACAACCAATACATAGATTTGAGGAAGTTTTCGAACGATTTCTTCCCTACTTTAAGGTCAGCTTTACAAGTACCAGAATTGACGTTTCGGCATCGATAACGGCGATTTTCTTCACTGACATGAAGTTTAGAATGTCGTTTAGAAGTTTAGAATTTAACATTTAAATCATTTTGAGCATATTTTTTTTTTTAGAAACAAAACGTTTGAAAGGCCATGTTTTTGGGGGTGCATGAATTTCAGTGCTCTGTTATAGCGTCTATTACTAATCGGATAAACTTTGCCTATCAACGGGCCACGCTTCGCCTTTGCAACCATAATGGCTGCAAATTGCGACTTCACCGACAGTACATGTCAAATTGTCTAATCGTGATGTGCGCACGAACCGACCTGGCTTTCAGCTACTGCCTGCACTAAATACGTGTGTTATTCATTTGTTTAAGTCTTTTTGCTTTCTGTTCATCAGGTCAAATCTATCAATGTCAGAACAGACAATGCAGGTTTCCCCCTTTATTTGGTTTTGGAGCGACTCTTTATTTTCAAGGACCATTAAGTTTGGTGCATTTTCCTCTAGGTCACTTTATTTTCCTCGAGGTGACTGTTATCTTTCCACAAACTATAGCCTCGGGAGAATATGCCATAATTTATTACAAGCTTGAGGAATTTTCTATATTTCTCAATATACCCCCAAAAAATTATTAATGAACCATTGTGAAGGTACGGTTTCGCATCAGCGCAATGTATAGAAATGACAATACTTAAACCGGTAGACAAGTTGCTAAATCTCGATCCCACCATTAAAGCGAGAACCCATAGCGATAGAGGCTCTTTTTCAGAAGTTGTTAATCTCTGCCCATGTTATACACAAACAAAACCCGTAAAAACACTGTCCATTTCCCGTCATTTTTAACGGTTGATTACCGTTATTGCTCGAACCGTCCCAAGAAAAAAAAATGTGCTACGTGAATTTCCCGTAAACTTGGTGGCCTGACGCATGCCCCCCCCCCCCCCCCCTCAAGATTTTTGCGGTGGTTATATCTAATAACTTCCCACCGATCCATGAAAAATTTTTGAACAACAAATGCGAACATACATCTTTGCACTGTTCTTACATAAGATTATGGCATGTCAGTGTACTGTGCAGGAGTGCATCATAATGGACCGATCCAGTAAGCACCGCCCCATGGTATTCTGACCAATCACAGCCGTGATTTATGTTCGACATGCGTGCACAAAAGCTCGACATGCGTGCGGGCGCGTGCACGCGCGTACGTTATGATGCGCGCGGCAGGAAAATGCAGTGTATTGCAGTGCATTGGAGAGGAGCACGTGTTAATTTGCCCACGTGCGCAGTGGGAGGGGCTTACTGGATCGGTCCAGAAACGAGGCATTCCCTGATAGGCTATCATGAAAAAAATTGAATTCCGTGATATGCTATCGTGGAAACGCGGCATACTGTGATAGCCTATCACGAAAACGTGGAATACCGCGATAGGGTATCTCAGCAACATGGAATTCCGTGATGTTTTATCGTGGCAAAGCGAAATGCCATGATATCGTTAGCCTATCACAAAATTCCACGTTTCCACGATAGCTCATCACGGAATTACATGCTTTCACAATAGCCTTTCACCGAATTCTATGTTTCTGTGATAGGCTATAATGATATTCCACGTTTCCGCGATAAGCTATCACAGAATTCCACATTTCCACGATAGCCTATCACGGAATTCCACATTTCTGTGATAGGCTATTACAGTATTCCACGTTTCCACGATAGCCTTTCAGGGAATTCCATGTTTCCATGATATTTTATCTCAGTAACCCAGTAACGCGCATGGTCATAAACGCTTCCGTAAAGTTGTTATTGGTGAAGAGAGAAGAAAAGGAAAGTTGAGCTCCTCAGTCGTCCAAAATTTATCGAATCGAAAGAATCGAAAGAAACAAAACTACAAAACGAGCAGAACTCACCCAGAATTGAGATGTAGAATGTACAATCTGCTTGATCAAAGAGATCACTGGTGTCCGAGAGTTGGTAGATGACTTCGACCCGACCACCGTGCTCGTTGTTGACTGTGACCGGAAATTCGTTGCCGGAAGAGCAGAAAACGTCCGGGTCCATGTTAGGGTCCGGGTCGCAGAATATGAACGCGAGCGTACTCGCCGGCGGAGAAACGAGCACCGGGTTGGTCCAGGAGACGATGGCGGTCGACGACTCGGGAGCCAGGGTGATTTGGATGGTGTCTGGCGGGTCGCCATAAGTGGCCTCCGGTGGGGGACAGGTGGAGTTGTCGAAAACCAGAGCTGTCAGATTAAGTAAATTATAAAATGAAAGGAAATTATATTCTCTTTGAAATACCTCAGTAACTTTGCAATCATCGTCGTGTTCCAAGGAAAAAGGTCAAGCAGCCCAGGCACACACAAAAACACTTTTCGAGATAATCGAGTTGAAAGGTTTTTAGACCGTGGGCCAGAAATCCTATCCTGCCTAGAAAATGAAGTCCGTTCAAGATTTTTGGTGGCAACAAAAAAATGCTATTTGTGCTCCCATTAAAATAAAAATCACATGAGGCTGAAATTTGGACTCGTGAAAGTCGTTAATAATTACAATAAGGCCCCAAAAAATAGTCGGTCTCTGGTCAGACCGAAGTTCCGGAATTGATGCGGCGACGCGGGGTGTTTGGGTGTTTGGTGGCTTTTTTTTTCAAGCTTGTATTGTACAGACCAGGTGGGTACTATTTTGCTTTTTTGTGTCCTCATTATACATTGGTGTCCTCCATAATTTCCATTGGTACCCTTTATCATTTGCCTTGGTGCAATTTCCCCCTTCCTTGGTGCTCCTTGGTACAAAAATTTGAGGAGGCGCGGCAATAGAGGGCGCTGTTGTAGCTTCCGTGTTAATTTGAAGAGAAAAAAAAGGTTGACGCGCATGATTAAAATCGACGCGCGCGCTGACCAGAGACCGAGTATTTTTTGGGGGGGCCTAATAGTCTGCATTTTTATTTCAAAATATTACTTAATTTTGAAGTTATTTCAATTTCTCTGCTAGACCTTTTACCGGGTACTCCCTCTGCCTTAAACGTGAACTCTCCCTGCATTAAACGTGCGCTTAATTAAGCGGCATGTTAAATCCTAACGACTTTTGGCCGGGAACAAACTTGTCTTTACATAGCCACTTGAGTGGACGTTAGCGCATCTTGAACATAATTTTGTTACATTAGATGCACGCTAACGACCTTTTGCCGGGAACAAATAATGGAAACCTCTTTACGACTTTTGTTACTGTTAATGACGTCAGTGTGACGTAGCCCTTTGAGACAAAATGTATATTAAATGAAAGATTCATTCAGGGATATCCAAATCATCGCTGGAAAGTTTGGACGGTAGAGATGAATGGTTGTGGGGGTTTTTAACCCAATTTTATTTCTATGGTTTTTTTTAAATAAATTTTTGCTCATCAGCTTCCTTGCATTGTAAGTTACACTCAACGAATCCAATTAGCACTTCATCTTAAAAAAGAATCGAATCATTGAAAATGCACTAGCCTACATAAAGTGATATGTAACATCTGCTTTTGCTGTTACTTTCAGAAAAGAGTAGATTTGGTACTACTTGAGTATTTTTTTCTAGAGTACTCGTACTCGTACTTGAATGTCAAAGTACTCGTACTCGAAATGACGGTACTCTTACTCGGGTAGCAAAGTACTCGTACTCGACATGAAAAAAAGTTTACTCGATTATCAAAGTACTCGAACTCGAATAACAGTAATCGACAAAAATAGTATAGCTTGGCTTATCATGGCCTTATTTTATCGATACTTTCAGTTTGAAATGGTTGATTGGCCTGCAGAGAAATTGAAGTTTCCTGATTTTTCTCTTTGCACGTCCGGACAAACACATTCAGCTAGCCTTGAGTGGGTCTGTATACCGTATTGGCCGTATTCGAAAAACAGAACTCGTACTCGGAAGTACAAGTACTCGTACTCGGAAGTACAAGTACTCGTACTCGGTAACCTAAGTACTCGGCAGTACTCGGAAGAAATTCCTCGACTACAACACTGATTTGGGGGCTGTTATGTTATATTCATAAATACCTAAGACAGTTTACCCATTCCCGTTGGTCGACAGCCCATCAGTTGGGTGTTTTTAAAACGTTTGATAAAACACCGACTGACTATAAAACATCGTTTTTCCCTGCACCGCTGCCTTCTGCGCCACATCGCGCAGTACGCGCTGCGCGCGCCAATCTCCATGGTAAGGAGATTTTAAGTACTTGCGCGAGGCATATACCATAAACATAGCTAGAGGGGTGTTTCACAAAACATGAAGTAAAATTGTTGAACAGAATCATTGGACATTTATAATTTTTGACTTTTCATAAGACTTTTTGACTGAAAGGTATTTATGGATGGGAATAAATGTGCTTGGCCGGTATTAAACAAGTGCGTTTAAAACTGGCTAGAAGCCTAGTCGCCGATAAGGGCCCTCGCCTTCGGCTCAGGCCATTATCCCCGTCTGTTTAAAACTGGCCAAGCACATATTGGAAAAAAACAGTGTTTTCCCACGATGGGCGGTACGGCCGACCATCGTTGGAAATTGATTAAAAAAATGGTACTCTGCCTTTCGCCAGAGCCTATTGTGAACTCGCCCTGGTTTTTACCAACCTCGCATTCCCAAACTTTGTAACTGCACGACTGATTTTAAACTCCGACATGCTTCAATACAATTCAATGCATCCCTCCACAAATAAATTCCTTCTACTCACCAGGACCTTTAATCAAAATCAACACACCGAAAAGCAAAGGCCGCGGGGACTTTTGGGCCCATCAATGCCAAGGAGCTTTCTATTCATTTCTGTGGTATCTTCCCTCACTTGTCTCTATTCAAACAAACTGGCCTTGACATATGGCAGATAGTTTCAAATGGAGCCAAATCCCCTATGCTGGGCCATACCAGGTCAATTTTTGGAATCATCGGTATTTCTATCCAAATCTTCGCTGATTGATGATATCTTTAACAGACAGCACTAGCCTATTGTGTGCAAAAAGCAGGTCGGTGCGTAATTAAAAGCAAACGTGCTTCGTTGTTTGCCGTAGGCAGTTAGCATAGACAGCTTCTATTTCAATGATACCTTTGAGTCCAACAATGGACGACTAAAAATGAAGACCGAAAACCCTCGTGTCGAGAATAATTAATCGGTCTTCATACTACAAATAAGTTACTGTGGAAATTTACCCTCAGGCTGGCTTGTGTGGGTCTGTGCGGGTTGGGCCCTCGTGGATCTGTAGGGTACCACTTTTAAGGTAAATTTTCGCATGTTAGAACTCGCCTTTACCATTTTTCCCCCGCAGATGTCTTGGCTAAAGTGTGTTTATAGCTCCATGGTTTGACCATCAATTATGAACATCGGCGTACCTCTCTCGAGAAATGTCAGATTTTTGAACACCGCAATGTGTCGAAACCTGTTACCTTTTTTAATACACCGTCTGTGCGCAATGAAAGGTGCTGCTTAATGGTTAACCTTAATGTGAGTTTAAACTGAGTTTTCTAATAATTGTTGTCAGGGGGAAAATGTTATGGCCGGAGCCGTAGGCGAGGGATATTATCGGCGACCTGGCCCCGAGCCAGTCTTAAACGGACTTGTTTAATACCAGCCAAGCACGTATTTATTCCCATTCATAGATACCTTTTAGGTCAAAAAGTCAAAACAAATACAAAAATATAAATTTCCAACGATTTGGTTCAACAATGATACCTGTTTTTTGTTAACACACCTAAAGCTGTGTTATGGTATGCGCCTCTCGTGAGTAGCCGTAAACAAACTCCTTATGGAGATGGGCGAGCGCGTGGCGCGTATTTCCGCTACTGCGCGATGTGGCGCAGAGCGCAGCTAGCTGTCCGTCGGAGTTTAGGACTATGAAATGCAGACTCACTGGTAGTATTGCACCAATCTTGTCCCCAGGGTCTCGAGCAGTACGCGCCCACCACTACTTGCTATCTCACCCTGGTATTGGATCGTTTGCATGTGCGTATGCAAATGAGGAATAGTCTGGTGCCGGCATGTGCGTTACATTACCGTTTGTTTTTGTATGCGGTGTCTGGGGTAAACACAGCATCAATATTATTCGTCGCGCCGTGAGTTATGAAAACACAAACATATTAATTTAATGTTAATATGAGCAAAGTGGAAAGGAAAGGAGTATTTTTGAGAAGACGTGGACGTTATAATTACAATGATCGTTAAAACACGTAATGCACGTTGGAAATAACAACACCAACTACACGATATAAATCCATTACTAGCAAATTGCGGTATCGAATCAGGATACACGAAGAAATTTTCCCTTCCAGGGCTTACGATTGGAAACGAGGATGGAAATACAGTAAACACTGGGGACGAAGTTGGTATTGCACATGCATAAGTGAGGATTGTGAACGTGCAACCAATAAAAAGGGTAAATGATCCAGATTTTATACGAGTCCAAATTTCATGTGACACTGGAAAAGTGTTTAAGACCAGCCAGCCGGTGTTTTATCAAGTTAAGATCGGCCACGTGACTTACTTTCGACCAATAGGAATAGGTAAACAGTCTTAGGTAATTATGAATAACAAATACATTTCCTGTCATTCCTTAGGCACTCTTAAATATCTGAAAAGAATTTACTGGAAAAATAATGAAATCCGGACATTAAAGCAGATAATATTCACTACACCAACGCATAGGCCCACTACTCGACCTTTTTTTTCTCTGCATACAACTATATTAGCCTGCAAAGGTCAAATTGAAAGGTCTATTCGAGGGGAAAACCTTTATTTGACATGCAATGGATTAGCAGTCACCCCCAACAAGTTGCTCATCCATTTCAAGTCGGTCCCTTTGACGATCGCCCGATCTTCTGACCGTGACATAATGATCGCCGACCGTGACATAATGATAAATCGCCGGGTTGTTCAAAATGACAAAAGTGCTTACGACAACTGCAAAAGCTCAGGACAAATATTATTGTGTTCGGGTCCCAACAATCGTGAGGCAGGTTGATTTACCCGCGTTTTTGGAAAAGGTTCAGGAACACCACGCTTGGTATCCCACCAACCTTACAAAAGTCCAAGGCCAGATAGCAAGAACCACTCCACAATACAGGCACAACAGTTTTGACGAAATCTTTCTAAATTTGTGACTGAAAGGATCAACCCAGCCCCAGATTTGAGAAGTTTAATTATAATCATGTTCCCTAACGTGGCGCACTTCGACATTCCCCCAACTTTCCTCTCGCAGTGTCGCCAATTCTTTGTCGACAAACTT